CTTTTTGTGCAGCATTGAGGCATCAGGCTGTAGTTTTTTTGAAAACAGGATCCCAGTCTCTGCAGGGTCCAAAATACGCGGCATTTCGGGACCAAAAGCTTGGCATGGCCATTCCCAAGATGCGCCTGCATTTGGAAAAAGAAGAAGTCCGAGTGCATGTTACCACAATCATCACCTGCTCTACTGAAACAGGGCTAATATTTTCTTGCAACAAAAAGCAGCGAAAAGGCACCTGACTGACTGGTTTCTGATATCAGGACAAAAACATCCACCGCCACTCTGTTCTTTTGGAGGCAGTGAAGAAGCTGAATTCACACAAAGGTCGACGATTAGATCTTCTGGAACAGGTGGGATTGTGAGGGATTTCACCATGGGACAACTCGGGCAACTCACTGGATGAGTACGAAAGATATACTACCCTCTGGTTATGTCAAAATAGCTATTGAAAATGGCCATAGAAATAGTGAGTTTTCCCATTAAAAATGGTGGATCTTTCCATAGCTATGTTAGTTTACCAGAGGGTAAGTTACTAAACCGCTAAACATCTGGTTGGTGGTTGACCTACTTCTGACATTTTTTTGACTTTCCGTCCTGGTTAAATTAAGGGGACTCAACCACCCATGAATTTCTATCTGGTCGATTGGTCATGGTGACATCTGATGAAGAGATGAAAGATCCAATTGGTGGGAAGATCCCCGGATCTCTGGATTCTTTGTCCTGGAACAATGTGGCAGAGGGAGATGCCATGTCCTGTCGCTTTGGTACATGTTTTTTTTTGTTTATCAAGATTTATCATGTATTGACGTAGTGCACTGACCTGTGGCTGTAAAAATTTCATCTGGTGCCATTGAGATTTCATAGAAACGACAGGCGCTTAGTCAGACAGATGGCATCTTCGAGAAGTCGGCGGACATTTTGGCTTTGGCCATTGAGGCACTGGAGTTTTGTTAGCCGCAAGGGACGAGAATGGATGACATGAAGCTTTGACCTACATATTCTGAAAACAATATACACAAATGGGTATGGTCCAAACATTTTGACCCATTTAATTAACCATTTCACCCAACCTTGAGCATCATCATTTCTCTGGAAAGGTGTGTCCCCGATCAAGTTTGGCAGGTGACAGTGGACCTTCTGACGCAGGTTTCAAAGAACGAGTCTGTTCGGTGGCCTGGAGATGACTGTCGCAAGGAACCCGTTTCCTACCAGAGTTGGTCCCAAATACCACTGTTTTTTTGGCTGATTGAGAGTGATTAGCGAGATTTGGAGGACAATTTTATGCTTCGTTTTGGTTTTGGCCCCACATCAGCAGAGATTTTTTTTATCACAGCTGCAGTGTATTTTTTTTGCTGAGGTCTTGCTTGTGATGCAGTTTGAGTATGGAACCAGTCTGTTCCCGGCCAAACTTCAAGACAAAGATATTTTCTGGCAGGCACATAGCAGGGTACACCCTTGGTTTTCTGTGACAGTCAGAGCCCTTTCCTTGACCGATTTCTTCAGCGACATGACATTTTCTTCCTTGCTGAGTAGTTCCGAAGGATTGATTCAACCGTTATATCAGAACACTGTAATCAATTATAAGGGCTGCCGCCCCCTGCCGCCGACCCCTGGCATCTCCTGAACAAGGAGAGCCCTGAACAAGGGCCGGTCGGGCGCTCAGCAAACAGTACGTAGTCTCCTGAACAAGGAGAACCCCGAACAGGGGTTAGTTTTTTCGATCCATGTGTAGAGTGTGGAGTGTAAAATGTGAAGTATGAAGTGTGGAGTGTAGAGTGTGAGTGCGGAGAGTGTCAAGTGTAGACTGTGAGACTGAAGTGTGGAGTGTGGAGTGTAGAGTGTGGAGTGTGGAGTACAAGTACCGAGTGTAGAGTGGAAAGTGTGGAGTGGAAAGTGTGGAGTGTAAAGGGCGGAGTGTAAAGTGTAGAGCGGAAAATGTGGAGTGTAAAAGGGGGTGTACAGTGTCAAGTGTGGAGTGCAAAGTGTAGAGTGTGGAGTCTAAAGTGTAGAGTGTAAAGTGTGGAGTGTAAAGTGCGGAGTGTAATGTTGAGTGTGGAGTCTAAAGTGGGGAGTGTGGAGTGTAGAGTGTAAAGTGTGGAGTGTAAAGTGTAGAGTGTGGAGTCGAAAGTTGGGAGTGTGAAGTGCAGGGTGTGGAGTGTCAAGTGTAGAGCGCAAAGCGTGGAGTGCAAACTTTGGAGTGTACAGCGTGGAGTGGAAAGTGGGGAGTCGAAAGTGTGGAGTGTAGAGTGTGGAGGGTGGAGTACAAAGCGTGGAGTGCCGGGCTAGTGCCTAACATTGCTTTCTGAAGCCACTAGAAAAGACTGGAAAAGCTGGAGCACAGGCCCGGCAGCTGGCCACAAAGCGCCCGCCAAGGCGCTGCGGAGGGAAGCCGGGCTAGTGCCTAACGTTGCTGTCTGAAGCCACTAGAAAAGATTGGAAAAGCTGGAGCACAGGCCCGGCAGCTGGCCACAAAGCGCCCGCCAAGGCGCTGCGCAGGGTTTGAGGCCGGGCTGGTGCCTAACGTTGCTTTCTGAAGCCACTAGAAAAGACTCGAAAAGCTGGAGCACAGGCCCGGCAGCTGGCCACAAAGCGCCCGCCAAGGCGCGGCGGAGGGTTTGAAGCCAGGCTAGTGCCTAACGTTGCTTTCTGAAGCCGCTAGAAAAGATGGAAAAGCTCGAGCACAGGCCCGGCAGCTGGCCACGAAGCGCCCGCCAAGGCGCTGCGCAGGGCTTGAAGCCAGGCTAGTGCCTAACGTTGCTTTCTGAAGCCACTAGAAAAGACTAGAAAAGCTGGAAAAGCTGGAGCACAGGCCCGGTACAGGCCCGGCAGCTGGCCACGAAGCGCCCGCCAAGGCGCTGCGGAGGGTTTGAGGCCGGGCTAGTGCCTAACGTTGCTTTCTGAAGCCACTAGAAAAGACTAGAAAAGCTGGAAAAGCTGGAGCACAGGCCCGGCAGCTGGCCACAAAGCGCCCGCCAAGGCGCTGCGGAGGGTTTGAGGCCGGGCGAGTGCCTAACGTTGCTTTCTGAAGCCACTAGAAAAGACTAGAAAAGCTGGAGTACAGGCCCGGCAGCTGGCCACAAAGCGCCCGCCAAGGCGCGGCGGAGTGTTTGAAGCCAGGCTAGTGCCTAACGTTGCTTTCTCAAGCCACTAGAAAAGACTGGAAAAGCTGGAGCACAGGCCCGGCAGCTGGCCACAAAGCGCCCGCCAAGGCGCTGCGGAGGGTTTGGGGCCGGGCTAGTGCCTAACGTTGCTTTCTGAAGCCACTAGAAAAGACTAGAAAAGTTGGAAAAGCTGGAGCACAGGCCCGGCAGCTGGCCACGAAGCGCCCGCCAAGGCGCTGCGGAGGGTTTGACGCCAGGCTAGTGCCTAACGTTGCTTTCTGAAGCCACTAGAAAAGATTAGAAAAGCTGGAGCACAGGCCCGGCAGCTGGACACGAAGCGCCCGCCAAGGCGCTGCGGAGGGTTTGAGGCCACGCTAGTGCCTAACGTTGCTTTCTGAAGCCACTAGAAAAGACTTGGAAAAGCTGGAGCACAGGCCCGGCAGCTGGCCACAAAGCGCCCGCCAAGGCGCTGCGGAGGGTTTGAGGCCGGGCTAGTGCCTAACGTTGCTTTCTGAAGCCACTAGAAAAGACTGGGAAAGCTGGAGCACAGGCCCAGCAGCTGGCCACAAAGCGGCCGCCAAGGCGCTGCGGAGGGTTTGAGGCCGGGCTAGTGCCTAACGTTGCTTTCTGCAGCCACTAGAAAAGACTAGAAAAGGTGGAGCACAGGCCCGGCAGCTGGCCACGAAGCGCCCGCCAAGGCGCTGCGGAGGGTTTGAGGCCGGGCTAGTGCCTAACGTTGCTTTCTGAAGCCACTAGAAAAGCTGGAAAAGCTGGAGCACAGGCCCGGCAGCTGGCCACGAAGCGCCCGCCAAGGCGCTGCGGAGGGTTTGAAGCCAGGCTAGCGCCGAACGTTGCTTTCTGAAGCCACTAGAAAAGACTGGAAAAGCTGGAGCACAGGCCCGGCAGCTGGCCACGAAGCGCCCGCCAAGGCGCTGCGGAGGGTTTGACGCCGGGCTAGTGCCTAACGTTGCTTTCTGAAGCCACTGGAAAAGCTGGAGCACAGGCGCGGCAGCTGGCCACGAAGCGCCCGCCAAGGCGCTGCGGAGGGTTTGACGCCGGGCTAGTGCCTAACGTTGCTTTCTGAAGCCACTAGAAAAGACTGGAAAAGCTGGAGCACAGGCCCAGCAGCTGGCCACAAAGCGCCCGCCAAGGCGCTGCGGAGGGTTTGAGGCCAGGCTAGTGCCTAACGTTGCTTTCTGCAGCCACTAGAAAAGATTAGAAAAGGTGGAGCACAGGCCCGGCAGCTGGCCACGAAGCGCCCGCCAAGGCGCTGCGGAGGGTTTGAGGCCGGGCAAGTGACTAACGTTGCTTTCTGAAGCCACTAGAAAAGACTAGAAAAGCTGGAAAAGCTGGAGCACAGGCCCGGCAGCTGGCCACGAAGCGCCCGCCAAGGCGCTGCGGAGGGTTTGAGGCCGGGCTAGTGCCTAACGTTGCTTTCTGAAGCCACTAGAAAAGACTGGAAAAGCTGGAGCACAGGCCCGGCAGCTGGCCACAAAGCGCCCGCCAAGGCGCTGCGAAGGGTTTGAGGCCGAGCTAGTGCCTAACGTTGCTTTCTGAAGCCACTAGAAAAGACTGGAAAAGCTGGAGCACAGGCCCAGCAGCTGGCCACAAAGCGCCCGCCACGGCGCTGCGGAGGGAAGCCGGGCTAGTGCCTAACGTTGCTTTCTGCAGCCACTAGAAAAGATTGGAAAAGCTCGAGCAGAGGCCCGGCAGCTGGCCACAAAGCGCCCGCCCAGGCGCTGCGGAGGGTTTGAGGCCGGGCTAGTGCCTAACGTTGCTTTCTGAAGCTACTAGAAAAGACTGGAAAAGCTGGAGCACAGGCCCGGCAGCTGGCCACAAAGCGCCCGCCAAGGCGCTGCGGAGGGTTTGAAGCCAGGCTAGTGCCTAACGTTGCTTTCTGAAGCCACTAGAAAAGATGGAAAAGCTCGAGCAGAGGCCCGGCAGCTGGCGCTGCGCAGGGCTTGAAGCCAGGCTAGTTTCTAACGTTGCTTTCTGAAGCCACTAGAAAAGACTGGAAAAGCTGGAGCACAGGCCCGGCAGCTGGCCACGAAGCGCCCGCCAAGGCGCTGCGGAGGGTTTGAAGCCGGGCTAGTGCCTAACGTTGCTTTCTGAAGCCACTAGAAAAGACTGGAAAAGCTGGAGCACAGGCCCGGCAGCTGGCCACAAAGCGCCCGCCAAGGCGCTGCGGAGGGTTTGAGGCCGGGCGAGTGCCTAACGTTGCTTTCTGAAGCCACTAGAAAAGACTGGAAAAGCTGGAGCACAGGCCCGGCAGCTGGCCACAAAGCGCCCGCCAAGGCGCGGCGGAGTGTTTGAAGCCAGGCTAGTGCCTAACGTTGCTTTCTCAAGCCACTAGAAAAGACTGGAAAAGCTGGAGCACAGGCCCGGCAGCTGGCCACAAAGCGCCCGCCAAGGCGCTGCGGAGGGTTTGGGGCCGGGCTAGTGCCTAACGTTGCTTTCTGAAGCCACTAGAAAAGACTAGAAAAGTTGGAAAAGCTGGAGCACAGGCCCGGCAGCTGGCCACGAAGCGCCCGCCAAGGCGCTGCGGAGGGTTTGAAGCCGGGCTAGTGCCTAACGTTGCTTTCTGAAGCCACTAGTCTGATTAGAAAAGCTGGAGTACAGGCCCGGCAGCTGGCCACGAAGCGCCCGCCAAGGCGCTGCGGAGGGTTTGAGGCCGGGCTAGTGCCTAACGTTGCTTTCTGAAGCCACTAGAAAAGACTTGGAAAAGCTGGAGCACAGGCCCGGCAGCTGGCCACAAAGCGCCCGCCAAGGCGCTGCGGAGGGTTTGAGGCCGGGCTAGTGCCTAACGTTGCTTTCTGAAGCCACTAGAAAAGACTGGAAAAGCTGGAGCACAGGCCCAGCAGCTGGCCACAAAGCGGCCGCCAAGGCGCTGCGGAGGGTTTGAGGCCGGGCTAGTGCCTAACGTTGCTTTCTGCAGCCACTAGAAAAGACTAGAAAAGGTGGAGCACAGGCCCGGCAGCTGGCCACGAAGCGCCCGCCAAGGCGCTGCGGAGGGTTTGAGGCCGGGCTAGTGCCTAACGTTGCTTTCTGAAGCCACTAGAAAAGACTAGAAAAGCTGGAAAAGCTGGAGCACAGGCCCGGCAGCTGGCCACGAAGCGCCCGCCAAGGCGCTGCGGAGGGTTTGAAGCCGGGCTAGTGCCTAACGTTGCTTTCTGAAGCCACTAGAAAAGACTGGAAAAGCTGGAGCACAGGCCCGGCAGCTGGCCACGAAGCGCCCGCCAAGGCGCTGCGGAGGGTTTGAGGCCGGGCTAGTGCCTAACGTTGCTTTCTGAAGCCACTAGAAAAGACTGGAAAAGCTGGAGCACAGGCCCGGCAGCTGGCCACGAAGCGCCCGCCCAGGCGCTGCGGAGGGTTTGAAGCCAGGCTAGTGCCTAACGTTGCTTTCTGAAGCCACTAGAAAAGACTGGAAAAGCTGGAGCACAGGCCCAGCAGCTGGCCACAAAGCGCCCGCCAAGGCGCTGCGGAGGGTTTGAGGCCGGGCTAGTGCCTAACGTTGCTTTCTGCAGCCACTAGAAAAGACTAGAAAAGGTGGAGCACAGGCCCGGCAGCTGGCCACGAAGCGCCCGCCAAGGCGCTGCGGAGGGTTTGAGGCCGGGCAAGTGCCTAACGTTGCTTTCTGAAGCCACTAGAAAAGACTTGGAAAAGCTGGAGCACAGGCCCGGCAGCTGGCCACGAAGCGCCCGCCAAGGCGCTGCGGAGGGTTTGAGGCCGGGCTAGTGCCTAACGTTGCTTTCTGAAGCCACTAGAAAAGACTGGAAAAGCTGGAGCACAGGCCCAGCAGCTGGCCACAAAGCGCCCGCCAAGGCGCTGCGGAGGGTTTGAGGCCGGGCTAGTGCCTAACGTTGCTTTCTGCAGCCACTAGAAAAGACTAGAAAAGGTGGAGCACAGGCCCGGCAGCTGGCCACGAAGCGCCCGCCAAGGCGCTGCGGAGGGTTTGAGGCCGGGCAAGTGCCTAACGTTGCTTTCTGAAGCCACTAGAAAAGACTAGAAAAGCTGGAAAAGCTGGAGCACAGGCCCGGCAGCTGGCCACGAAGCGCCCGCCAAGGCGCTGCGGAGGGTTTGAAGCCGGGCTAGTGCCTAACGTTGCTTTCTGAAGCCACTAGAAAAGACTGGAAAAGCTGGAGCACAGGCCCGGCAGCTGGCCACAAAGCGCCCGCCAAGGCGCTGCGAAGGGTTTGAGGCCGAGCTAGTGCCTAACGTTGCTTTCTGAAGCCACTAGAAAAGACTGGAAAAGCTGGAGCACAGGCCCAGCAGCTGGCCACAAAGCGCCCGCCACGGCGCTGCGGAGGGTTTGAGGCCGGGCTAGTGCCTAACGTTGCTTTCTGCAGCCACTAGAAAAGATTGGAAAAGCTCGAGCAGAGGCCCGGCAGCTGGCCACAAAGCGCCCGCCCAGGCGCTGCGGAGGGTTTGAAGCCAGGCTAGTGCCTAACGTTGCTTTCTGAAGCTACTAGAAAAGAGTGGAAAAGCTGGAGCACAGGCCCGGCAGCTGGCCACAAAGCGCCCGCCCAGGCGCTGCGGAGGGTTTGAAACCAGGCTAGTGCCTAACGTTGCTTTCTGAGCCACTAGAAAAGCTGGAAAAGCTCTGGAGCAGAGGCCCGGCAGCTGGCCACAAAGCGCCCGCCCAAGGCGCTGCGGAGGGTTTGAAGCCAGGCTAGTGCCTAACGTTGCGTTCTGAAGCTACTAGAAAAGACTGGAAAAGCTGGAGCACAGGCCCGGCAGCTGGCCACGAAGCGCCCGCCCAGGCGCTGCGGAGGGTTTGAAGCCAGGCTAGTGTCTAACGCTGCTTTCTGAAGCCACTAGAAAAGACTGGAAAAGCTCGAGCACAGGCCCGGCAGCTGGCCACAAAGCGCCCACCAAGGCGCTGCGGAGGGTTTGAAGCCAGGCTAGTGCCTAACGTTGCTTTCTGAAGCCACTAGAAAAGACTGGAAAAGCTGGAGCACAGGCCCGGCAGCTGGCCACGAAGCGCCCGCCAAGGCGCTGCGGAGGGTTTGAAGCCAGGCTACTGCCTAACGTTGCGTTCTGAAGTGACTCGAAAAGACTGGCAAAGCTGGAGCACAGGCCCGGCAGCTGGCCACGAAGCGCCCGCCCAGGCGCTGCGGAGGGTTTGAAGCCAGGCTAGTGCCTAACGCTGCTTTCTGAAGCCACTAGAAAAGACTGGAAAAGCTCGAGCACAGGCCCGGCAGCTGGCCACAAAACGCCCACCAAGGCGCTGCGGAGGGTTTGAAGCCAGGCTAGTGCCTAACGTTGCTTTCTGAAGCCACTAGAAAAGATGGAAAAGCTCAAGCACAGGCCCGGCAGCTGGCCACGAAGCGCCCGCCAAGGCGCTGCGCAGGGCTTGAAGCCAGGCTAGTGCCTAACGTTGCTTTCTGAAGCTACTAGAAAAGTCTGGTCAAAGGCCCGGCAGATGGCCACGAAGCGCCCGCCAAGGCGCTGCGGAGGGTTTGAAGGCAGGCAAGTGCCTAACGTTGCTTTCTGAAGCCACTAGAAAAGTTGTGTGCAAAGGCCCGCCGTGCTGGGCAAAGGCCCGGCAGATGGCCAAAAGCGCCGGCAAAGGCGCTGCGGAGCGTTTGAGGGCAGGCTACAACTTTTTCTCGGGCGCGCTCCCCCTGCCGTTTGCTGGGGTCGGCGGATAATCCCATATACACCTGAGATTACCATTGATACCATTGTATCCCCGTGAAAAAATCCATGAAATCCTGCAATAATCTCCAGTCAGCATTGCTAAACCCGTGCAGACCGTGGAGACCTTATACAACGACTTCATCAAGACGCAGAGCGCCGATAGCAAGCCACGGGTCTTTCTCTCAGCATCCCAACACTGGCAATTTTTGAGAGAAGAGGTGTGCTCCAGTTTCAGACATCCAAACTCTTTGAATTTTAAATGGCGTTTGGTCTTTCCAAAAGGGCATCTTGCAACAACCTTTTATGACCCAGGTGATGGTGTTGATTTGCAGAGAAGCACAGGAGAAGGATAAACCCTGCCCTCCTGCTGTCTTCTCCTCAGCGTTCCATTTCTTTAAGGTTGACAGTTGAAATGTTTCCTTTTGTGGGATGGTTTGTGAAAGAATGCATCACATGTGCAAACGGAATCAGGTAGAAATGATCATATCACATAAACACAAGTGATCATACGATATCATACGTGTATCTGTATCTGGATATGCACAGCAGAAATGTATGCCTATCGAAGAAGCGTGCATTATCCGTGTAGGTAATTCACTGCTTTGCTGAGAAAACTCAGCTGCAGTTGTTTGATGGCTACTGCTTCACTTGTGCCTTTGACATGTGAGTTGTTTGATTCATTTTATTGATTCTCTGATCGCACAGCAGCCCGGTACCTGCTGGTAATTCGTAATTTTACATGACAATTTGACAATGGAACATCACCTTTTAGAATTCAGAACATCTACAATACGTACATGTATAATATATATATATATATATACACATATATATATATACATACATCACACACATATATATATATATAGTTAGATATAAAAACATATACTAAATATGCCAATTAAGTTTGCAGTTTCAATCCTTTTTGGGTTTTCTTCCTTTGGGACGATGAGCCGGAATCTCTTGCGAGGTGCGCGCAGCGGAGCTCTCGAACACCAGAATCATGTTGAATGGACTGGAAACTCAGGCGCAGTGCCCCCTGGTTTTAACGTGGGCTTAAAAACGTTGGAAGATTGGAAGATTGGAAGAAGGACGTTCCTTTCGAGATCTTACCGGTTGAGTTTATTGAATGGAAATATGATGGGTCTGATCTGGTTGGGATCATTGGAACTTGGAAGAATTTTCTGGGTCACAATGGGAACATGGTGGAACAAAAACCACGTTGAATTTCCAATCGATCGTGGCTCTAGTAAGATCAACACCACAATGGGATAGCATAGTATATGATCACTGGTGTTGTCACTGAGATTTATTTTGCTTTTCCGTGTCTGATAATCCCCGGTAACTTGCGATGTTGTGAAACGTTTTTGGGTCTGAAAATATGATCCCCAAAAATCTCATCGATTCCCATTTTCACCATGAAAATTGCCATTTCGAAACCTTTTCAACAGCCATCATGAAGGCTGTCATCGGATGTCGCAGATGTTAGCCGTATGGAGTCTGGCAGGCAAACGTGGCTGAATACATGAGTAGTCCCATCCTTAGCTGCAGGTTTTGAGCGGAGTATGCAGAGCTGCATAGAAGCATGTTATTTCTGTGCTTCGAGCTTTTCACCCATAAATTTGGCTTGATTTTAAGGGAACATCGACAGGAAAACATGGTTTTCACGTGTTTTTTTATTATGTTTTTAACCATGAAACACAGGAGGGCAACCCAAGTTATAAGTTGGTTTATCTCCCGTAACTACATATTTAATCATATTTATAACATTTATACCACGATTTAGCTGGGAAGCCCCTTGACTATCCTTGACTGGCGGTTTCCAGTCAATTGTAGCATCAGATTTCCCTGCCCCAAGGATACTTGAATCTTCCCGATGGAGATTCGAATCTCATCCCCACACCGCTGAGAAATTTCGTGGCCAATGCCTCTTGGCTGCGAAGGTGACTGGGTTTGTTGGAAAAGGCTGTGACAAACGAGGTACCATCTGGTTATTTACCATAGCCATGGAACATCCCTGAAATAAATGGATATAAATGGAGGTTTATAGCTGAGAAAATCATCTATAAATGGGCCATCTATACCATGGCTATGTTAAATAACCAGAGGGTTTTTTTCCGCAATTGTGGCTATTTCTGTTGGCCATCAATTGGGGTCCCTTTACCAACGACCATGGTATCGTTGGTGACATGTTGCATCCCATCCTTAGTGGTTGGTCTAACGCAAGAAACTCCTTAATTTCTGGTTGTAGATCGCAAGCCAACCAAATTGTTTGTGAAATACAATCTAGATGTGACTAAAAGTCTCAGATACATCCTATCGAAAGCAACAGTTAAAGTTATTTAAGGACATATTTTGAGAGCAGAATATACTGATCCACTTCGGCAAGTACTATTTGACTATAGAACTTATTCCCCCAGAGCATTCCCAGAAGGGTGGTCGACCGAAAGTGGATTGGCTAACAGAAACTTTATGTAGTGGAGGCTGCTACCTCCCGAAGCGGGCCTTTCAGTTGCTAAACATCCTGGCCATCAGCCTCCGGGCTTGCTGAGTAAATACAAAGAAATCATTACCTGCCAGTGTTTCTCTTCGCTTTGGTCATGCTGCGCACCTTGATTGGCGCTTGATAAAAAGAATAAATCCCCATTAAGCCAAAGACCAACCTACCCCCCTGGTTGGTTTTAGAACCACCAAGAACCACCCCAATTCCTGGTGAGAAATCCTGGTTGAACTCCCAATTTTTTTTTCCCTGGCTCCGATTGGGCTTTCCGGTGTTTCCGCCAGGTGACTCAATCGAATCCATTGTACATTCGAGAGACCATCGATCAGTTACGGGAGCACCACATTCAGGCAGACCTCCGGGGGATTCCGTGGGGTGAGCCGTGGGTTAGAGCAGTACTGGTAGGACTTGTACCGAAAGCCTCCATGGCGGGTTTCACATGGTTTAACCATCAAAATGATGACAGAGATTAGCTTCATGGGATTTTTGTCAGGGATATTTATAGATGATTTTTAACTGATTTATTTGTGGGATTTTTCAGAAGGATGGAATGGGGAAGGGGTATCCTATTTTTGGACAAAGCCATGTGAACAAAAATCCCAGAGATCCTGGAGTCAACTCTCAGCGGCTCTCAGCGGCTCACGGTGATTGAGAGTCTAGTTTGGTATCATTTGCTACTTGTATATCTTGTATGTGCTTGTAGGATATGGCATGATATGGCCAGAGACAATCTGACCAATGATTTTATATGATTTTGGGTTGTCAGCATCAATTAACCCCCAGACACTCACAAGGTTTTACCGGTTATCCTCTGGAAAATCCACCATTTAGATTTATTTAGTTCGATGCTTTTGAAATTTAAACCTCCATTTAGATCAGATATTTTCCCAGCCAGCCACGTTTGATGCCCGAAGTGTACCCTAAAATTCCACAGGTGAACGAAACGGCGGGAGGAGTTGTGAAGAACGTCGAGTGCAAGGTGGACGTCCGGGGACTACATCCTTTTACCATCCAAAAATGGGCCTGAAAGTGGGGATACCGGGGATACCCATAAAATGGTCGTTTTTGCAACGAAGATGATGATTTTTCCGCATCAACCTTTGGGGTAATTACCACCTGTGGCCCCATCAAAAACCGACATGGCCTAAATGGTGGGCAGATGTCTTCCCGACTGTCCACGGCCAGGACATCGACAAGGTGAATGTCTCCCAATGGGGACACACTGCCATGATCGGGAACACTGTCTGCGCACTTGAAGCTTTAGATCCTCTTGAGGCTGGATCAAGGGGCATGGTGAACCAGCTGGATCCACACGACCTGCGAAAAACCAAAACCTGGTTGGTGGTTTCAAACATAATATATTGGGAATAATCATCCCAACTGACGAACTCATATTTTTCAGAGGGGTAGGTTGAAACCACCGACCAGATAGACATTATAATTATATTTAAAGAGACCAATCATTTCACATCATCTAACATTAACATCATCTAACATTAAGATGGTGACAGTTGCATACCACCAACCAGTTGATAAATCATAGGTTATACTGAGTTATACTCCACAAGAATCCATAAAACAATCCCACTATGTCATCCAACCAGAAAACCAACCAGTCATCCATGTGGCTATGGATCAATACCTATACATACCATTTTTAGGGGGTTATTCACATCCATTTTAACCCAGCTAAATTTTGATGTGAACTACAGGGGGATAGGGTCTTGACCCATCCCCATGTTCCAACGATCCCAGGCTGCGGTGCTGAAGATGAGCACCTGCTTCATGGGACCCTTCACCTTGGGAGACTTAGCCGCCAGCACCGCTTCGAGGTGGGCAACTGCCAATGAGATATTGAAATTGATTAGATGAATAATGATATAGAATCATATAAATAATATATAAATAATATATAAATAATATATAAATAATATATAAATAATATATAAATAATATATAAATAATATATAGATAATATGTATATATATATATCTATAGATTACATATATATATATATGTATTTATTTGATAACATTTCATATTGGATTAGATGATATGCATGTTTTCAGATACTTAGGTTTGTCAGGCATGACAAGCCCTTGTCCTTGGTCTTACCACACAAAAAGAGTGAGGCCTTCAGCGTCCACAGTCATGCTCATGAAGTTTGGAAGATAGGACAACACAGATCGTCGAACAGTCAGGACAAATTTCAAGCCACATTCGATGCATTCTGAATATATAGAGTACCCTCTGGTTATTTGTTACATAGCCAGGGTATAGATGGCCCATAGAAATAGATGGTTTACCTATTAAAAATGGGTGGATTTTCCATTAACTAACCAGATGGTAGTCTATATATTCAGTGGAAACTAATCTTCCAACCCCTATCTGCCAGGGTCTATGTGAATTTACCAGATGGTAGTTCTTATACTTATATCATCATTTTTTCCTTAAATAGCGTTGTCATGGTATCTTCAACTGCTTGGCGGCTCATAGGCCTTCAGATCCTTCAGATTTGCCAACCAGCGACCCTTCAGGTGGTCAGACTCGACGCACTTTGACTTCCTGCTCCTCTTTCAGGCGGCTCAGAACTGGGGTGATTCATAAAGTCACAGAGATTTATAGAGATGATATTTCAGTGTGTGTGTGTCTATATATATATGTATATATATATATTCATAGATAGATCTAGCCGTGTCTGGGGTGATATCTTTCTCAGGATAAGAAGAGGACAGACATATCCTCGAATCCTACGAAGATCTCGGTAATCTGTAGAAATACATCAGGAACTTCGAATTCAATCGTTAGCATCTATATTCTGAATAATTTTCTGAACCATTTTCTCTGGAGACTGAAACATACTTGGATATCAGTTGGTTTATAAACCCTACTGGCTAGAAAAAAAATCCTGCCATAAATCCAATCGTGAAAAATGAGTGTTTAGCCCGTTTAGCAACTTTGGGATGCCACCGTTTGGGGCACCGCTTGAAGTAGGCGATCCGTAAACTCCTCGATCAGAAGATGCTGGAAGCGGTCGAAGCACCAGCTGAAGCGAGGTACGCGGCCCCGCAGAACACCGCAGAATGCAGAGAGATGATGAGAAGCTGCTCCAAAGTTGAAAACACTCATTAATACATATTAACACTGTAACTATGTGTAACTAGCACTATAGCTAATGGTGAATTTGATGAAATTTAATCTTTGTTTTCCTGTGCGTTCTTCCTTTTTGAACCACCAACATGAATCTTGCAAGGGACGCGACAAAACGTGAAACGACTCTGTCTGGTCCCACGTGTTGACGCATCGAAGCGCCTACGGCTTGAGCCCAGCTGTTTCACTCTGATGGACAAGTCCGGATACAATCTATATGACTCAAGGGTTTTGAAAAATAGAAGACTCATGAAGACTCCATCTAACATCATCTAACATCATCTAACATTAAGATGGTGACAAACAGTTGCAAACTACCCTTGAAGCAGATGACCACCGCATCTCTAGTCACATATCGGAGCGAATGAGTTCATCGCTGAAGAGCTTGGAACCCATGGTCCAGCGCGATTCCCGCTGAGCGCTGGTCCTTCAGGAGCGATTTTTGTGATTTGTGTATGTAAAAATGGGGTGCGCCCAAAATTTGATCAGTTGATCAGTTTCTCATCATTTTACCCACTACCCTCTGGTTATTTAACATAGCCATGGTATAGATGGCCCATAGAAATAGATGGTTTACCTATTAAAAATGGGTGGATTTTCCATGGCCATGTTAAATAACCAGATGGTAATACTGCCATCAGTTGGGTATTTATCTCATCTTCAAAGGAGAAATTTCGGGATCTGTGACGGCGGGCTGGTTGACTCTGCCCGAGGATGAATTTCGTGCGGGCAGAGACAATTGTGCAGGAGATTACGGTTGGAATCTGAGATTCGTAACGGGAAGACCACGTTTGGAAAATGGGGTATACCCTGATGTATAGGGGCAGCCCATTTTCAGTCCCATGTTTACTTCGTTGAAAATGGTCCTTGTTGAACCGTTGAACCCGGCGGACTTCATTTTCAGCTGAGGATGATGGAAAAGTCCGCGACATCATTACGCAGGTGAAGAAGTCCGAGGCCAGGCCGGCAGCTTCCAGGGATCCAGGGGATCCAGCTGCGCTGCGGTTGCTGTGGTTGCTGCAGGCTGAACAGGAGGCAGAGAAAAGGGAACAAATCCTTCGAAGTTTGTTGGCACCTCAGCGAATCTTCATAGCTTTTCGGGTGCGAAGCAAGTCAGCTCGATATTTTCCCAGGCAATGGAAGTTTTAGGGGGAAAATCATCAACGAATGGGGGATTTTACAGCATACCAGGTTTGATTGCCAGAGGGTAACAGCTGCATGACTCCCTGACGCGATTAGACAGTCACCCGAGCAGACGGCACGGCAAGTCAACCGTGCCCACTTGTTTTTCCACTTAAGACAGCAAATTTCTTGAAACCCAGCAGTTTCTTTGCCTTCGGAAACTGCTGACTGTTCGACGTCACGCCCAAGTTGCCAAGGCCAGAGTTTAAGCGAGATGGTCAGTCTGCTGCCGAACAGAAAGCCACTGAACAAGCCAACGAACAACAGGAGAAGGCATGGCCGGGCTCCATGTAAAAAGCATTTAAGTGCAAGAATGGAGTACCGCTAAAATCCAATGGTTTATCAAGATTTATAATGATTTTGCAGTCTCTATCATCGTTTTTCCGAATTATATAAAGTTGCTATTTTAGTTTCCATTTTGAAGGGTACACCCCATGAGTTTTCTTCATAAGGATCTCACTGCGACACTGAACATACGAGTTAGATCGAGTTAGCGTATCTGCCGCCGGCCTTAATTCTATTGTTCTCACAGATTTTGGGACAACACATCTTTAAAGTTCATGGCTGACCTAGCTGACCTAGCTGACCTGACACAGGACGATGCCGCGAAGGAGTACAATGTGCACACCATCGACGAGGCGGAGTTCGCAATGGGTCGCCAGCTCTTATTTTTTGCCATTCATAGACTGTTGATGTTCATGATGGGTCATTTTTTCGGCAAAAGTCGCAGCTGATGATGCTGATGTTCACAGTCCAATCAGTCCAGGGGATTCCAGGATTGCATGTGAGGCGGAATTTGAACATTATCAGCAAATCGAAGATGCGGAGCGGGAGAAGAAGAGGAAATTGAAATCTGAGGCGAGCCCGGGGATGGCGACAGGGCGCTTTCATCAAGCAGTTCTGCTGTGGCATTTTTGGAAGGAACAACGCATCCAAAATCCGCCAATCCTCTATTATAGATACTATATTCATGATTTATAATTATACCCCAAAATATAGTATATATATACATATACATTTACATTTACATTGTATTATATCCTATGATATTTTATTGTATTGCATTATATTATATTTATTATATTACATTATATTGTATTGCATTATATTATATGTATTATATTATATCATATGATATGATATGATATGATATTATTATATTATATTATATGATGTTATATTATATTATACTATATTGTATTATATGATAATATGATATGTACACGTAGATTTTTACGTTATAATGGCAGTTCTGGATTTTCAGATGTGAACTTTGCCTCCAATCAGCTTGGAGATCAGGATGCTGAAGCAGTGGCCATGTTTGCCGACGAGCGGAAGCGGCTGCGCGAGGAGCAGGGTGCATCCCACTTACCCTCTGGTTATGTCAAAATAGCTATTGAAAATGACCATTTATAGTGGATTTTCCCATTGAAAATGGTGATTTTCCATAGCTATGTTAGTTTACCAGAGGGTAGTAAGTTTGCAACAGCCATGGTAGAAGCCACTGAATAGGGATATACCTGATATAGCCAGTGATATTTGCAAATTAAAAAATGGACTCTAAAATTATCCATGTACCAAGTGGGATGCACATCACATGCACATCGACGCACCCAGAAACCTATTCATTTTATTGCTATTGGGAGTTATTGATCAATCCAAGGCTAAACTCAACGGATTGTCAAGCTACTGAGGTTCACTCGGTAGATCAAATGGTTCGATGGTTGTTTTTTGAGGGAATTTCATATCAGGGGTGACTTGGCGCTTGGCTTTCAATGCCAAGTCCAGATGAATAAACCTCGACTATTATATAATTGGGGGCTTATCACCATGAAAATTCTTCCCCCCTATTGATAACCCGCAAATTCCTGCGTTCACATCACCATTTTGTGGAGGAGGTGGAGGAGAAGAGGCCTGATTTGATCACCATCATGAGGCTGGCCCCAGGGATGTCAAGCTGGAAATGCCGCTCGATGTTGCCTGTGGGTGAGGCAGAAGAACATGGAGAAATCTGCTAGCAAAGCAGGAACCTCAACAGACGCTGCCAGCACTTGCATATTCTTGGACGAGAATTGCGCTGAATCCAAGGCTACTCGAAGTGTACAAGAGCGCTTGAAAGGAAAGATCACAGTGAAGGCACGTGCATGGCATATGGCACGTTTCAGATCCCTGGACCGCAGCTTGCAAAGTATGCAACACCTCAAAACAATACAATATTACGCCATATTACACCTGGCCAGGCAGCACAAGCACAGGCAGCCAAGGAAGCTGCATCAGGTGTGAGTGCATTGGCAGGCAAGACCTCTGTGCTGACTGAAGCATCTGAAAAGGTAGACACTTTGATTCACCAGAGACCAAGACTTCGGCACACGACCCATCAGACCTATAACCACCAAAAACATTCAGAAAAGGTTCAATTAGGACAATTTACATTAATTTACTACTGTAGGTTTCAGAATTTTTGGTATTGGATTTCAGGATCTACTTGTACCACTTTTCTACATCTCTTTGGGGGTTGCTATAAATCAGACCTGTCATGTTGTGGCAGACGAGAGGCTATGGATCTGACTCCGACGAGTGAGTCGACCTGCCAGAAAAGGATCAAGCAGTGCAGCAACCTTTGCGGATTTGAAAATTGGGGATTCAAGTTGATTTTACAGGGAAAAAGGTGGTTGACCATTAATTTTGAAGCTATTTGCATCTATTTACCCTAATATTTACTGTACATTTACCCTATTTTCAGACACAACCGTATCGAGATTTCGTCGCAATTCGTATGTCGAAGGATTTTTGACACATTTTCCACAAGAGTGCATATAACACCACGTCAATTTGAACAACGTGGTACCCTCTGGTGATTTAACATAGCTATTGAAAATGGCCAGTTCTAGTGGATTTTCCCATTAAACATTGTGATTTTCCATAGTTTTTTGTATGTTTACCAGAGGGTAAGAGAACCATCAGCGACTTTCCGGGAGCCGCCTTTTTGTTTTGTGTTGGAACATGTTGGCCACCGCAGGGGACAAGAATCGGCGGGTGCAAGGCGCCGATGGCCTGGGAATGCCTGAGAATGATACCATTGGAAGATCAGGAATTGACCACACATTGGTGATGTAATATACCCTCTGGTAAACATACAAAAAAACTATGGAAAATCACAATTTTTAATGGGAAAATCCACTATTTCAATGGCCATTTTCAATAGCTATGTTAGTTTACCAGAGGGTACTTGGTAAATGGTATCTCCAATGGTGAGATGTATCGACTGAGATTATCTGAGGTGATACCAATCATGATACCATTTACCATTGGTAAATCCTCCATAAATCGTAACTTGAATGGTGAGATGTATCGGCTGATTGAACTTCTGATTGACCATTCAAGATTGTTGTCAACTGGCTACGAGCAGTAGCTGCCACATGCTGCCACGGTTTCATGGTCAAGGGGCCCCTATTAGCGTATTGTGATACTCCATGTTGTCTTTCGCACCATAAAACATCATAAAACACAGTTCTTGATGTGAGAACAAATTGTTGGCATGATTGAAAAATATCATGTGCAAACGACAGTGTTCGTAATGATACAGCTATTGTTGCGTGGGTAGATCGAATGGCCGCAGGATTTTTTTGACCCCCAAAAAAACGGGGTGTGCCTTCTTGAACGAAGCCTGACGCCTGATGTAAGTACTACGGTTGTGCAGTTCCACTTAATGCGTTGGTACGTTAATCACCATTTTTAATGGGAAAATCCACTATAAATGGTCATTTTCAATAGCTATGTTAAATTACCAGAGGGTAATTATGACAAACTTAGGATAACTTGTAAACACCATGCTATGCTAGCCATGAAAACCATCCCAGTTACGCACCACAAAGATCCACAAAGTAGTCACTGGTGGTGGATTCGGGAAATTTGATCTGTGCTGTGCGCAGGAAACTGCAACACTTCCAGACGAAAAACATTCTGATCAAGTCTGTGGGTGGTGCGATGCTTCTGGAGGCGACAAATGATGGGTGAACTATGTTGAACTTTCAGATTTCATATCTTTTAAGTAGTACGGAGAGGCTTGATTCTGAATTCCGGATATAACATTTATATAAATTCAACACATTCAACCCATAAGATCCGTAATAAGTATAGAATGATCATATCATAAAGGGAAGATTCACACAAAAACTGGTTGGTGGTTTCAAACATGGCTTTTAGGACTTTCCATATATTGGGAAGAATCATCCCAACTGACCAATACTTTTCAGAGGGGTAGGTCAACCACCAACCAGAAAAATGTATCGTTTTACAGGTGGGCTTTCAGCCTGTGCCAGGCTCAGAAGAAATCCGTGAAGCGCCAGGTTGGGGACCCCCGCGGGCGCAACGCCTTTTTTGTTGTGATGGCCGCAGGTACAGTAAGAGGCCGCAGAGAATCGCACACTTCATGGGATTTCTACGGAAGTTATATAATGTTATGTATAGATATTATGATAAGCAACATTATTATATCATATCAGTGTATGTTTTTAAATCATTCTAAAGTGCTTCAAATTCCCATGACACACACATATATAATTATATATATACACTTGGAGGACCATTCCACTTAGCAAGTGGTTCTATACACCATTTAATCAACGACCAGTAACTACTTCGCACGTTTAAATGTTCTATACACCATTTAATCAACATTATGAACCATGTAACTACTTCGCACGTTTAAATGATTATATTATTAACCATTATTAAGCATTATGAACAATGAACACTTATTAACCATTATGAACCATTATTAACCATTATTAACCATTATGAACCATTATGAACCATTATTAACCATTATTAACCATTATTAACCATTATGAACAATTAACACTTATCAATGGATATATCATTAACCATTATTAACCATTAATCATTGATTCGTCCCGCCCACCGAAAATTGATCCTGGACACGACAGATCCAGCCGGGCTTGCCCAGGCCTTGATCGACCGAGCGCTGTATCGCTACCTGCCGGAGCGGATGAAAGAGCTGGCGGAGAAGCGGAACAAACCGCACATACCATGGTGCGCCTGTCGGCTGGGGAGTCTTTCAATGACTTTTTTCGTGAACATGGTGAAGAAAAATTGAAGGAAAACTGACGGTGGAAACTCATGAATTGATTTGGTGAATGATTTTCCCTGTGAATGATATTGAATCATACGCGTTTGCAGATTTTCCCTTGAATGGTTAACCAAGTCTAGACATTTTGATGAATTTTGCGTCAAAGATGGGCTGTTCACCCCTGTTTGGGATTGGATGAACAGCAACTCTCCGCATCTGGATCAGGTATTATGAGCAAGCCTTCCGAAGAATGCAGACATAGGCCGCATAGGCAGTTTCCCGCGTTAAACGACTTGTCATTGTCTCGCAAGAAATTTGATTGTGGGGGTGTTGGGAGGGCATTTTGAAGAATTGTTGGTTGATTCATGTCATTTTCAATTGAACTAGCAATTGACTAACTATGGCAATTGACTATTAATGACATTGCTGCCCTTTTCAACTTTCAATCTGGTGCCAAATGGATCTGCTGAAGAACTGGCGCAGCTTTGTCAGGGTCCCGGAGGGCTCTTTTCATGAAAATTTGTGGTTCTCTTTAAACAAAGGTTTGCACCTCAGACCTGGAGATATCTGGAGATGCGAAAAGCTGCAGACGCTGGAGCCTGATCTGCGTTCCTGAGGCTACACCATGTTTCACGCAGTCTCCAAAATGGGTGCCACCCTCAGCGCATGTTTCAGCGGTGTCTGGAAAATTTTGAAGCGTTGCAGATCGCACTGACGATTTCAAGGAGACTTTGCCAGCTGGGGAATGCCATTCGATCGCTCGCAACATGTGCTGAACCCAGCGGACTCACACAACTTCAGAGTTTCAGAGTCACCAAATATGACCACTTGCAGTTTATGTGTGGTTGTCACATGTCACGAAACACGTGACTCTACCAACTCGGATCCTGTTGGTTGTTCTTACCAGTCGTTAATCGTGGCTCCGGGTCCTTGGGGTTTTGCCATCAACCAGGTGCGGCTCAGATGAATTTCGGTGCAGTCTGAAGACCTTCACTGCGCTCTCAAATGAGAATTGCAGCGAATTGGTGTTGCACTAGCCTTGATCTGAGCCTAGAGAAACACAGTGTTGCCCCAAGATGTTGCCAACACCAGCCAAAAAAGTCAGCAGCTTGCAAATAGATAATAGAACCTAATAGATGAAGCACCATGATATGTTTGAAAACTGTTGAAAGAATGCCAGGATGGCCCTGGCCAGCAATCCCCGCCGCATCAATTGTGTTTCATGCCAAAGCTCTGTACAGCTTCGTGGAAAACAAGACCGTACTGGATGACAGGATGTAGAGTAATCATATTTGGGATTTTTTAGTGTTGAACACATTTGAACACCATATTCAGATGCTGTTCAAAAGTGGCCCATCTCCCTTTCAAACTGAAGAGGTGCTGGTTTTGTCACCAAAGGAGGTCATTTTGAAGCCGCCGGATCCAGCATCACCCTGCCAGGCGCTTGATCTACTCAGGAGATAGTTCTGTGGTGCAGGCGGGAAGTGGATCACCGGAGTAGAGCTGGACTATGGACTCAGCAGCGGAATCTATCCTTGCTGCAGGTCCGCAAGAAGCCGAATGAATGATTTTCGCGTTTCATGAATCTCGCCCCAAAAAGCCGCAGTGTCCACTGTGTCCACTGCAGTGGTTTTGATGCGAAAAATGAGAAGCCTTCCCGTGGCTCATCCCTGCATTGGATTGCCAATTGTTTTGTTTAAGATCTCCTGAGCCTTTGACATAATATATATATATATTATGTTATATACATGTTATATAATCATTATACACATGTTTTTGCATTTTCTGTCTGGTCAACCGAAACCGCCTCTCTCCGGCATTTTCGCAGCTAAATCTGCTGCCCCACATTGCCCCGCGTCGTCCTGCTCCGTTCTTGAGATGGCCGAAATGGCCCAAATGACGGCAGTGAATCAGTTGACCAGTTGAAAGACGAAAATATGTGCAGGGTTCCCAAACCTCCAATAGTACATCAATATCCAATATCAGTCTATCAACATTCATATCTTTGAAATTCTTTGATTGGCTTCAAGCTTTAGTGATCTTAGTGTCTATTAAGATCAATTTACCCATGGTTAACTTCACAAGTTCCTCGAAGCGCTGTGGATTTCCCCATGAAGCACGGCCTCTGACCTGAAGATTGTGTGAAAAGTCTGGGGAAACATCTGGTGCTCGAAAAGGAGGATCTTTTTTCATGTCATTTACTTTATTTTAATTTAGCAAAAAAAAATCATTTAATTTACTTTGTTTAAATTTAGCAACGAAGAATGGCAAGATGGCCGCTTTAAGAGGGAATGTTTCGCAATGGGATGTGCGAATGTGGTTGGAATTATCGGAATGGTTCCAGAGTTTCAGGATAACCTCTGGTAAACTAACCTAACTATTGAAAATGGCCATTTATAGTGGTTTTACCCATTAAACATGGTGATTTTCCATAGTTATGTTAGTTTACCAGAGGATAACCTCCTCGAAACGAGGTCAGAATTGGATGCTTCATCTCGATACGGTAATCCGGACTCGACCAGTCGACCTGTCCGTTGTCTTATGGGTTGAAAACATCAGGCGTTGGTAAATGTTGGTAAAGAGATGAACATTGACCAACTTGGATTTGTTCGAAAATTCTGGGAAACCCCCAAATCCTTTCAGTTATCATGATACCCTCTGGTAAACTAACATAACTATGGAAAATCACCATGTCTTATTAATGGGAAAATCCACTATAAATGGTCATTTTCAATAGCTACATTAAATTACCAGAGGGTAATCCCTTTAAGATAGTCATGAGATGGTGGTACTGTATACAGCCCATTTTTAAAACCTGCTTGTAGACTATCCCTGAGTGAATGTGCAATGCCTGCACAATGTTGGAATCGACATACTGAAGTTTTTCAGACAGAAAGATTGTGTTTGTGTGTCTGTTCACGTTAAGATAATGTGAATATACCCTAGCGACATTGGATTTGCCAAATTTCTTTGTCCCAGAAAGGGAAAACCTGCAGAAGCCCCATATCTCAAAAAAGATGGTTCCAACCCTGGATTTACCAACCCAATTTTGGGCTCAAAAGGGGCCAGTGAGGCCGGGGAGTCAGGCGATGGGAGATGCGAACTGCTGCTTTCAGTGTCTGCTTTCACGGTCTGGATTTTCACCCTATGGCAATCTTATGCAATTTTCCATCGGGGAAATGTGATGATAAACATTGATAAACCATCAATTTTCGGGGGTAGCCTATTCTCAAAGAAACCCAACGAATTCGACCCAGCAAAGTGATGATTCGGGACGGGGGGGACCCAGAGACCATCCATCCATGGTGCAGGGCGCCAAGGATGGCGAGTCCCACACCGTGCCCGGACCTGTGGACCTGTGGAGTTGAGATGAGTTGAGTGTGCAGTTTCTATCATGTTTTTATGATTTTGATGTAGATGAAGCCATCAGAAAGGGGGATCTAACATGATCGATCTAACCATATTTAACCATATTTAACCAATGAAGAGTGGATTTGGGTGTGTCTGAACATGAGGAAATTACACGGGGGATTTATCCCGAAAATATGGCGATGTTCATGGTCAAAACGACGATAAACCATGAGTTGGGTTTTCCGTAAATTTTCAAACACCCCTCCACATTGAGAACTTGATTCAGACAGGTACTGGTTGGTGGTTTGGAACATGATTTTTATTTTTCCATATATTGGGAATAATAATCCCAACTGACTTTCATATTTTTCAGAGGGGTGGGTATACCACCAACCAGGGTAGAAGTTGACTCACCATGACTCACTTGTGGCCAATTGACCAATCGAAATCAGGTACGTCGGCAGCAAGATCAGCCTGGTGTCCAATTCAGGCATCAGGTATGAGGGTGTTCTGTACACCATCAATACGCAGGCAAACTTTCGGATGACCACTGGGCATCTTGGGGGGCATGTGTTGGTAGGTTTCTGACAAGAGATATCGGTATCATATTACTATGTGATTGATACTGATGGTAGAAAGAATGACCTAAATTGATTTAAATACTAATGATCGAAGCATAGAACAAAAGTGTAAAAAGTAGTAAGAATATGTCGTGTTAATAAAGTAGAAACAGTACGTCATTCATCTAAATACAAAAGCAGTTTCTATCAGTTAATTGAGTATCTATTAGTGTACAAAGTGCAATTTCATCTCAACAGTTTCTATCAGTTTCTATCAGTTTCTGTCATGGCAGTTGATCCTCAGACTTGTCAGGAGGCGCAAATCTCGTTGGAGTCAGTGAGATGTTTTGGCACCGAGGGTCGCAAGACGTTCCGGCCTTGGTTGCCAGTGAATCCAGTGTCTGGAACGGTACCGTAGCCTCCCTGAAAAGAGGGTAGCACAACAAAATCCAACGGTTTCTTATTATCACATTTATCACAATATGAAATTGGCCATGTTCCCATGAAACTGGTTTCTATCATCATATTTATGTAACTGTTTTTTCCCTATCATGATGATCAAGTTGGTAATCCTATGGGGAATATTCTGGTATCCAACCCATCTCTGCTGGCGGGACCAGCCACCATTAAGGCCTGAAATTCCAGCGTCCAATGAAGTCTATGACTACATCGTCTTCCGTGGTCAGGTACCAGCTCCCAGCTTTGGGTTTTCCATGCTGAATGATGAGCTCCAATTTTTTTGGCATCCAATTTGTTTGGTCCAGTCACTCCAGTTTGCAGTTGAGTACAATGCAGTTTGTTTCGAGTACCTCCTGGCATGTTTACACATCTTCAACTGCGCAGTTGCAAGGGCAAATTTTGGCTGTTGAGGCTTCCCAGTCTAGTCCTTCTCCTTGATACAATAGGTCCAATGGATTCCAATGGCAGAGTCTTGGTTTGAAAATGAGGTGCCCAAAAATCCCCATGATTCTGGGTAAATTATAACGACCTCACTACGACCTCACTGGAAATCATGGTTAGTAAGCGAAATCATCCCCAAATGGCCTTAATTCAGGTTAGTGAAATATTATAATTTACCCAGATGATTCATGATCAAAATCGCCATCATTTAGGACATCCAACCTGACCATCGGATCCTTCCGGGCCATGCGAAGGACATCAAAGACCTCACGGTGTTGGAGTCGCCCAGTCCTGCGGTGCGGCTTCTGGGCTTTTCGCTGTGAAATTTTCCCAGTGTTTCCTGTAACTCTTACCGTAAACCAACATAAACCAACTACCAAAGAGTGAATTCCGTGAAGGGATTCCCTGCTTCATGAAGCGGTCTGGATGCGCGTTTCAACGGACAGTCAGTAAACATAACATCTTCGTTGCTCATCCGTGCCAGATGAGCGATCCTGCAATCTTGTCTGTCAACAAGTTGGCCTGGCGAGTTTTGAGGTTTTGGGATCATCAACTCAGGATTGCGATGTGCTTGAAGTGTGACATTTGGGCTTGTCTGGAAATTGTCTGGAAATCTGGGATCTAGCCCAAATTGCAGTTCTAGCCGTCTAGCCCAAAATCATCCAATGTTGTGAAATCAAGAGCCAGGCCGCCGGCGAGCAAAGGGGAGAATCTTCTCAAGGCAGTTGCACAGGGGATCGCTTTCTACAAAAATATGAGGAAACTTACTGTAGACACTGTAGAATGAACATGAATTTTTACCAGTTAGGCTTTAGTATCTTTAGTTAGTTTCAACCATCGCATTTTTAAGTGATCCCATGGGTGCTTTTATGGCGGCAGGGCCTGGAGAAAGGCTTTGGCAAGGCAAGCTGCTGCATAGAGAAAAATAACCCCAAAAAGATGCAGAAAAGCTTCATTTATTCCTGTTTCACTGGGATTTACTTTTCTTATCTTTTTGGGGATTCCTTAATCTAGTTAGTTTCGTCATTCTTAACATTCATCCACTTTGTTTAGTGCCATAGCTAAGACTCGCGCTACATGTGTCTCATTTTCACCCTTGACAGCACCAGAGATTCAGCCGGCCTTTGGCTCCAGTTCCCACGACGCATTTTTGGATGCAGAACAACCTTGGCACCAACATCATCTCCAATATCTATCAATATCTGATCATTGTCTAAATCTGCAGCTTTGAAGCAACATGGGTTCCATGAAAACAAGCCACAGGAGAGGAAACCCCGCAGATCCACAAAACTTGAATCGTTCCATAGCAGTTTTTACAGCAGGTTTCAGCAGCTGACAGATAGGCAACCTGGATCAGACGCCAAGCATCGGAAATCGCCACTTTGCTGCCTGTTTGAAGCTCAGGATAAAAAAGAGGATTCAAGATGATCCAGCTTGATCTGTGCTGGTATGAGGAAAAGCTGAGTTGCCATATCAGCGAAGTATCAGCTAAACATAGATATATAAACATAGCTAAACTATCTATGTATAAACATGTAGTCACATGATGTCACATGCACATTTTAACTGCGACACATTCCAAAGAATTGAGAGAATTTGAAAGAACTTGAAGGGCTAGCGCTCCGCCATGTTGAGGTTCCTACAGTCCTTGCAGAATGTGGTTCCTACAGTCCTTCCTGCGGTGTGCACGGAATGAAGAGGACGACCGAGAACCGCTGGGTGGCTCGAACATGAATGGATTATTTTCCATTTCATAGGGATTTATAATAACCATTATTTTTGGATCCTTATTATGGATGGGATGACCATCAACCATTTTTTGTGAGTATTGACCATGGCTTATATATGGGATGTCATCCTTCCCAACTGACTGACTTTCATATTTTTCAGAGGGGTAGGGCTCAACCACCAACCAGATAGCACCAGAGATGGGACATCGAACCAGGACGAAGCGCGGGAGCCTCACCTGGGCGTGGACCCGGTGAGCTTGTTGGTCTGGAGCTGAAACCATGGTGAAAAAACAACAGCTGAATGAAACTGGGAATGAAACGCTTCCTGTAAGAGTTTGTGGACCTCTACAAGCTAAAGGTCTCCGGCAGGTCTCCGACAGGTCTCCGACAGGTCTCAACATAGTAGGTTTTTGCGGCGCCATTTCCGAGTCTTTCAGATTGCAGACAAGCACAGGAAATCAAAGATGCACCAAGAAAAACCAAAGACACTGCACTTCAATCCATGTGACCTCCGCAACTGACTGTCTGAGGCCTCACAAGAGTTCATCGAAGATTGCAAGGCCTCAGTTTTTTGGACCGAAGCTCGATGTGTTTCTATCAAACCTTCCTATAAAGGGCAAGGCAAGTGTCTTCATTCTCGTACTTTTCACACATGTTCAATCAATCAACTAACTAACAGTTTTCCAACTGCTCAGCTTCTCCTGGTCACTATCTTTATTTTGTAAAATTGACCCCTCAAGCTTCCGACCTTCATCAAACGTAACGACCAACTGTCATCTTATCATTTCGAACATTTTCTTTAAACTTAGATTTCAAGCATGTTCTGTTCAATCTCTGGATTTCGCCATCTCATCAGAAACAATTTCATAAACATCCCATCCCATCTATCTGTCCTTGCCACGACTATTGAACCGAGCATTTACAGTTGAACTGGTTTCAACCTATTGAAAGCAATCAGAAGCCGGTAAAAAGACAAAACACATATTAACACCCCAAAAGTTTGAACACTATTCATCACCCCAATAAGAAGCATCAGTACGAGTAAAATCCCCCCTTAATACAAGACCGATTATTTAAAAGCACCCAGTGGTTGACGCCCATTCTTGAAGCCCCTTTCACACATCCCATCCAGTTCAAATTCCTCCAAAACCACTATTAAAACCCATTAAAACTCATGGTACGAAACATCTTCACATATCTTCACATATCTTCACATATCTTCACATATCTTCACATCTTAAATCCTCTTTTTTTCATCAATCTGAATCACCGCATACATCGCGATGGTGTCAATGAAATGAAATTGTCCCTGATCCCGAGCTGACACAGTGGATCACTCACAGCGCAGCCAATCAGAGGCCCTAGGATCGCTGAAGTCTTACCTGCCAGACTATCAGCGATCCTAGGGCCTCAATATTTGTTTTGTTGAAAAAGCCCTTTTGCGAGGAGACATTTCTGGCGGTGGAATGGAACAGAAAAAACATCATATTTACTCCATAATTATCATCATATCATTCCGTAAATCATGATAATAAGTTGGTTTATAATCCCCAGTAACTAGTTCGTTATTTGCGTACCATAAACCATAGTGACATTGGAGTTATGTTCACCAACTGAGTTATCGTTCCGTGGTTCCGTCGGTCAGGGCCTCTGCGATGTGGAGATGGTGGAGCCGCTGGGTGCCACCTGCTGCGAGCTGCACGGCGCGGTGGCCAAGGCGGTGCCGCCCACGGAGCTCACGGTGAAGGTGCCCGAGGCACGGTGGATCCAGGGAGATCCAGTGGTGGTGGGGAAAACCCATGGGTTTTTTCCTAAGAAAAACGATGACTTTTTGTTCAAACACCATGGTTTTTCCGTATCAAACGACTTGAAAAATATGTTTTGATGATTTTTGATGAGAGCCAAGGATTTTTCGGAATGGTGGGTCTTTGATGCGTTTTATTGGGGTTGTAAGGTGTTAATGGGATGGGCTGAGTTTTTAATGGCAATTGGTTGATCATCCATGTGTCTGATGGATCATCCATGGATCAAATGGGCGGGTTACCTTGATCCAGTGTTCTGATTTTCCTTCAAAATGATGGGGATGATTGTTCACATGGACATGGGTCGACATTTATCAAGCCTCCAAGATGGATGGTTTAACAAAGTGTAAAACAAAAACTGACCAACTGGGTACCCAAGTTGGATATTGCCTAGCTCAAAATGATTGAAACCTCCCGACAGATGGATGGTTGAAGGTCCTGAAACGGACCAATTTTTGGTCGGTTGCATTGGGTCACCCGGCAGGACTTTGTACAGGGAGGTGCCATAAAGGCCACCGGGTTCCTTGGCCGCAAAGCTCCGAGTTTGAGGCCTCTTGTTCAACCTCCAGCGACTCCAGCCGTAACTGCTTCGAGGTCCCAGCCAGAATCAAACCTGATTGGTGGTTTGGAAGATGAATTTTACGAATTTCCATTCACTTGGGAATGTCATAATCCCAACTGACTTTCACTCCATCATTTTTCAGAGGGGTGGGTCAACCACCAATCAGAAACAGCTTAGTCTGCTGCGAGGCCATTTGGCGAGGTTTCGCTGAGACCTCCACCAGGGGTGCAACAAGGGGAGTGTCTTGGAGAACAGGTTGTTTGGTGGTGAACATGGTTTTTATGACTTTCCATATATTGGGAATGTCATCATCCCAACTTGACAGTTTAAGGCGGAGCTGAGTTGACGGGTCTTCCTGCGATGAGCTCAGGTCGATTTGCTTCCGTCTTGCGCCTCCTTGCCAGCCCTTTGGCGGTTGGAGGTTTTCGGTGTTAGCTCCACTGTTTGGTCTGTAAGGTTTTGCATAGGTTTTGATGCAGCATCAAAACAGCAGGAAAAAAAACAGGAACGGCTCAAAACCACTCAAAACCTATCATGAAAACTATCTTTGGGGGGATGAACATCCATTTACCATAGTATTTCCAGGAAAAAACTTGGGGCAAAGCAGAAAAAAAACCCAGGGTTTTGACTCATTCCGATACCCACATCATTTCTGGAAACCAAGGTTTCGTGTCACAGTGCCTCCATGGGCCAAGGGAGGTTATCAGGTGCGCGCGTTTGGCGTTGGCGGGGTATCAGATGGGTAGTACAGGTAGACATGGGGCTAGCCAAGAGAACCAGCAAAGTGAAGTCGGAACTTGTCTTTGAAGCCACACAGATTCATTACCCATAGGATCCATGTATGCTATGGCAACATTTACCATCAATATACCCCCAATGTTAGCATATATACCAGCACCATGGATCCTATGGGTTATATTTTAACATCACTTTGAGGACTCTGTTCTCGGCAAATCAGGGGAACTTAATTAGTCGAAACTGCTGGAAAACTCTCTGGGTCATGGTTTTTTGGTCATATCGCCGTTGAGGTTTTCCGATGATTTCCGATGTTTCCTAGCACTTCCCTCGTCTCAAGCTGCAGATATCTGCAGATTACGATGAACAACTGGAAGTTTTTGCCAAGACTCGTGCCTAAAGGGCCCAAAGTCCATGGCCCTCGATGGCTCGGCTTCCGCTGCAACTCTGGACTGGTGAAGCTGGAACATCTCCAGGGGTCGGTGTCCAAGCTGACATTGTGCCGGCCCAAAAAGTTGAATTCTCTTTCCTTGCCGATGATTCATGACCTCAGAAAGATTTATGCTGATCTCCCAAAGACTTCCAGCATTTTGCTGCTGGATGGTGAAGGGCGAGCATTGTGTGCAGGGGGTGATGTAGCAGAGGTCCGACAAGGTGTCTTGGATGGAACCAGCTATCCAGCTGACTTCTTCTATGATGAGTATGAACTGGACTACAACATTGCCACACTTTTTGAGCGACAACAAGTTCTGCAAGTCTCTTTGTGGGATGGCATTGTGATGGGAGGAGGGGTTGGTTTATCCATCCACAGCCCCATTCGCATTGCCACTGAGAGAACCATGTTTGCCATGCCCGAAACTGGCATTGGCCTCTTTCCAGATGTTGGGGCCACCTGGGCCTTGACCCGTTTAAAGGCTGGTGCTCATGTGGGGCTGCTGCTGGGCTTAAGCGGTGAACGCTTAGGTCCTGCAGACTGCATGTTCTCAGGTGTTGCCACACACTATTGTCCTTCCGAAAAGCTTCCGTTACTGGAAGAAAAACTTCAATCTATTGGATCTATGGACATCTCCGTGGAAAATGTCTCAGCTTTCATTGAGGAAGTGGCTGCTGGTGCCCAACCCGCTGATGAAAAAGCCCATCTTGCGGCCAATGAAGCAGCGATCCAGCATTGCTTTGGAGGCACGCCCAGTGCTGAGGAGATTTGTGGGCGGCTCAAAGGGATGAACAGTGGATGGTCAGAGAAGATGTTGAAGGCCCTGATGTCCAAAAGCCCACTTTCCGTGAAGGTTTCTTTGGAAGCCTTGCGACGACATCAAGAAGTCACCCTGAGGGAGGCCTTCATCGCAGAGTACCGACTTTCGCAGTGGTTCATGCGGAAAGCTCCGTTGAGTGATTTCTGTGAAGGAATCCGAGCAGTGCTGGTCGACAAGGATCAGGCTCCGAAGTGGCAACCCTCGTCTCTGGAAGAGGTCACTCAGGAGCAGGTGCAGCAGTTTTTCACAGAGCTTCCAGCAAGTCATCACCGCGGAGATTTGAAGATTTGAAGTGAGAGATGGCAATGGCAATTCCGACAGCATCAAACCAGGAAAACGAGAGGCAAGCACATGTGTTCCACCTTTATATTTTTTTTTTATAATTAAGAATATAATAACAATAATAAATAAAAATAAATAATAATAGTAATGATAATAGTAATAATAATAAATAATAATAGTAATAAAAATAGTAATAATAATAATAGTAATAATAATAGTAATAATAATAACAATATTATTCATTTTTTTCTGGGTCAAATCCCAATCTCAAAGCCTTGCAGCTTGGAACCTACCCTTCCGCGCCCAGTGCCCGTTTCCCGCCAGGCCCGTTTTCATCTCGAAGATGGAGATGAGGTGAGTGCCACCTTGGTTGCAGAGCGATTCAGAAACCTCGCAATCCCTTCCCTGATACTCAATACCCCCCTTAACTATTGGGCCCTCCTTAAGATAGATTCATTACATTTTCAAACTTTCGTTTGGGGGCAGTTAGGTGGGAAAATCTACGGTTGAAAGATGTTGAAAGCATGGTTTTTACACCCAAATATGGGCGTAATCTGTGCAGATTTTACCTCCAATCCTTCTTACGCACTTCGGGGAGAACGGTGCAATTGATCTCTGCACTAAACTGTCGCTAAACATCCAAGAATTGCCAAGCATAGGATATTAGTCATATCCTACTTTGATATGGACATGATTCATGGATAGTCATGGATCATTTCTCGAAAATTGTGGTTGCCTCTGTTTCACCGACTCCAAACTGAACTGAGGTGAAGGTTCCAAATGGACTTCAACCTGGTGATAGCTTCGAGGTTTTACCACCAGCCATGATGGTGAAGTTGCTGGAACCTCATGGAGACCTGGGGACCATGAAATGGGATACCTAGTGGTAGATGACTTGGCTACCTGGTTGGGGTCCCATGGCTTTCATGTTTTGCTGTGAAAGATTGCAGAGCTTTGATCCGTGGCCATGGCCATGATGCGATGGCCACGGCAATTGCCGGTGCATGAATGTTCAGGTCTTGGGATCATATTTTTCATGATCAAAACTTACCCTCTGGTTATGACATTGCCAGTTCGCCATGGAACATCACCATGCTTTTAATAGGTAAACCATCTATTTCTATGGGCCATGGCTTCCATAGCTATGTTAGTCATAACCAGATGGTAACCAACAACAATCCAACAAACATCAAATATTCATAGAATTGGATGATGGGAAATTTTACAGGAAAGCCCTATATTTGATGGTAAAAACCATGGTTTCCTGTAGATTTTCCCTTAAACCAATCCAATGGAATATGGGTTGGTGTAGAAACTGACACCGGAGACCAGACCGGCTTTTGAGCAAAACCGGTCCATTTTTTGGTTGTTCCCGAGGCCTGAAAAATGCCAGCCGAACGACAGAATCATCTTCTGGAGCGAAGCCAAAGGTTCCGAAAGAGAACTGAGCGTTTTGGGTCAAAGTTGTGGGATTTCTATGGATTTCTCCCCCAAAAAAATCAATGGTTGATACTGATGGTTCATTCATTTGTGGATACCACCCATTTTGTTTTGTTTCGCTTATCTATCTAAGGATCGGATGAAGGGAACATCTACAGGACACGTCCATCATGTATCTTCCATGATCATCCCACTTTGTCTTCAATTATCATCCCACTTTATCCCATGAATATCCCATGAATAATGGTTGGTAATTGGAATAACCATTAATTCCAAGCTCTACGAATCACAATCGAATCACGATCATATCTCATGAAAAATCTCATGAATATGTTTATCCCACTGTATCTCCTATAGAATCCTAATTTCGAGTGGTAAAAATAATGGCCTTTCCGGAGCCAGGAAGCCGATGTCCAGAGGGCTGGTATCGCTTCAGGATGCCACAGGATGGGAATGGATGGATGAATCTGATGAATGAAAGAGACACGCCTGGAAAATAATGTAGAATTTACGAAGGAAGCAAACATGAGGTCATGTATACTGTGTGTTGAATTTCCATCTGATACCCAAATGTGCGTCCCTGCGTCCTGGTCTCATAACCTATGTTGGTGATGCTTAGATCCAACATTGAGTTTTGTACCCCGCGGAAAGGTTGGTAATTAGTATCCTAGTATCCTTACCATGAAGCGCAGGGGTGCATTTTCCAAGTAGGATTTCCATTCGTATGTTGGTGGAACATGCTTGAGATACACTGCCTGACCTGTTGCAACAGAGTTCACGCATCATCAACCAGCGCAGCCAGGGATTTTCACCGGGAACAGTGGTCTCTGTGCGTATCCCGGTGATGCCAGCGATAATGCAGCAAGCAGGTGGAACCGGCAGATTGTGGGAACTGAGCTAGGAGACCATCGGTTGATGAGGGGATGAACATGTACCGCCTTTCCACTGTGTAAAGCCGCGCGCGGACCTCTTGTAAACGCAGAAGTCAATCGGATTCTGTTGTCTTTATGGAGTCAGAAGTCAGAAGTTTTTTTTCTCATTGCAATCCTTTTGCTTTCAACAAACAGACTAATTGAACGCTCCCAAAATTGCCATATTCCCAGCCCCAAAAAAGGCGCGGATTTTGTCAGGGAACATCTTGGACTTTTGAGCTGCTTGAAAACTGCAGGCTATTCACCACCTCCAAATTCGGCAGAGTCCCCACTGCCGCGCGTGAGCCTCAACAATGGGAACAACTACAACGACCCGATTGATGAGGACCTTCTTGTGCCCAACTGGGTGAGAATAGCACGAACACTGAAGTAACGGGTTGGGCAAGATGTTCCAGTATCGAATTATCGAATCCGGATGCATCTCACTAATTAGTTTAAATATGGAATGTGATTGGGAGGCGCCCTGGAAAAACATAGTGTGTGAAAGTTTCCCAATCCTGGAAACCTTGGGGCAATGTACCCGAGTGCGACATAGCTTCGAGAGTCTTAGCATGGCTTCTCGTTCGATGAATGCTTCGGATCAAAAGAGCTCTGCCGGAAATATGAAACTTCAGGGCTAAATAGTACTGGTATCATACATGACAAGTGAACATGGGTTTGTCTAAAAAGTGGTAATTACCCCCAATTGCCCCAATTCCAATGTTTTGTCATCTTTATCCCCATTAAAATGGTCATTTGAGGGGTATTACCATTTTCAGACGTGACACACCCATATGTGCTTTCCAGTGCACTTCACTGAACGCGTGGCAATCGCCTTGCAGGGTGCTGATGCCAAGGGTGGCAAAGGCCCGGTGAATGGTTCCAAAGGCACAGATGCAAAAGGCGGAAAGGATGGTAAAGATGGCAAGGGTGGCTACAATGGCAAGGGCTACGATAGCTACAAGGGCTATGGCAAGGGAGGCCATGATGGCTACAAGGGCCATGATAGCTACAAGGGCCATGATGGCTACAAGGGAAGCTACGATGGCTACAAGCAGGGCCATGATGGCTACAAAGGTGGCCATGATGGCTACAAAGGTGGCTATGATGGCTACAAAGGCGGCGACGGCTACAAAGGTGCCGATTCGCGGCCCAAGGGTGAGAAGGGTGAGGCCAAAGGCTACGGCTGGCATGAGAAAGGAAAGGATGGAAAGGGAAAGGAGAAAGGTGGAAAAGATGCCCCAAAAGGCGGCCGTGGTGGAATTTTGCGGCTGATGGTGTTAATTCTCACAAAGCCTGTCCCAACCCGACCAATGTCAGGCAGAATCAAAACCAAGCCTGGTTGATCGGGGTGGTTCCCTCATCGTTTGTGTCCCTAAACCGCTCTTGGGGCTATAGTTGCTCGAAAGGTGGTCTTTGAATAGGGGCGCAGATGATCAGATGAGCTTAAAAACTGCCACGCAGGTTGCACAGACCAAGCGTATCGTCTGTGCCCCTAAACCTTCGTGGTGCTAGTGGCAAATGTCACTTTTTGAGGGAAGTTTCCCACGAAAGCTTTGGTTTCACATCTTCAACTTTCACTTTTTGAGAGAAGTTTCGCACGAAAGCTTCGTTTTCACATCTTCAACTTTTACTTCTTGAGGGAAGTCTCGCAACCTAAAGGTTTCTGCCTATATGGTGCCATGATAGTTCCCCCTCCCAACCTAAAGGGTCGTATCCGTCAGCAGTATGTTTCTAGTGATATTCTTCCTATATGGTGCCGTGATAGTTCACCCGTATCCCTCAGAAGTATGTTTCTAGTGATATTCTTCCGTAATTATTCCTATATGGTGCCATGATCCCTCCCTTCTCAACCTAAAGGGTCGTACCCTTCAGAAGCATGTTTCCAGTGATATTCTTCCCATATGGTGCCATGATAGTTCGCCCCCTCCCAACCTAAAGGGTCGTATCCGTCAGCGGTATGTTTTCTAGTGATATTCTTATATGGTGCCATGATAGTTCGCTCGCCTCTCAATCTCAAGGGCCGTACCCCTGGGAAGTATATTTCTCTGTGAGAGTTTAGGGGCGCAGGTGATCGTTTTAGGCGCGCAGATGATTGCAACTCACCTCGAAGTTAAGGGGCGCAGATGATCGTTTTTTAGGGGGCGCAGATGATGAGTGAACCATCGGGGTCCCATACAGTAAGAGTGGAAACCTCTAATGTTGGAACCCAAAGATTGTTTCTCAGGACTTGACACCACTCTCTGGTTACCAGCCTTTCATAAGCCGCGAGAGTTGTCCTGCGGTGTTGTTGCGACCATGCCCGTCTTGAGGCAAAGGTGAGAAGGGCAAAGATGGAAAAGACGGAAAGGGAAAGGGCAAAGATTGGAAAGACGGTAAAGAGGGACGAGACCCCAAGGGCCTTGCCAAAGGCAAAGGAGAGGGGAAGGGAAAGGCCGAGAAAGGCAAGGGCAAGGACGAGGGCAAAGGACGCGAGAAAGGCGGGAAAGGCAAGGATGGGAAAGGGAAGAAGGGCGACAAGGGCAAAGGAAGACGACGAGGCGGTTGGGTGGGATCTTGTCAGTTGCAGTTGAGGGGAAAGTTTCGTTTTTCAAGATAGGGTTTGTGATTTCCGTCAAGAGGGGATCTACTTTGTTGATCTTTGTTGGACATGTAATTTCAGAGCCTCACGTGACGTTGGGTAGATGATTGACAGTGCAACACACACTGGAAGTAGTTTGGCGCCATCACTGGATCGACTGGCAGCAGCTTGGCCATGTCCTCCGGCTTGGATCTTCCACTGGTCGTTCCTCTTGTCACGGTTCTTTCCAATCAGGATCCAAACCCAAAAAGCTTTAGGTTTAAAATGATGGTTTATCAAATCTCAATTAAAATTTCCCGGGGGGATAGGCTCTTGTTTGGCATCAACGCACTTCATGTCCGTTCGAGAAAACGGACGTGACGCCGCTGGAGGCAATGGCATTGTAGGTGAACTGGTCCCCCAGGCGCTTGGGGTGAAGCCATTGCAACTTCAGTAGCCCCATGTAGCCGGTGGATGTGTGTTTGGTTCAGTTTGACCAGTTGTGAAATGGTATCATATACATACATATTATACACTATTATACAATAATATATATATATATATACATATATATATATACACATACAGTACAGTACAGTACAATGCACACACACACACACGCAGATAATCATACTGTTACACATGAGAAACGCATGCAATGCAATTTGGTGGAATTGCTCGGAATTGATGGCTTATTCACCACTTTGCTTGGCACCCCATGGTATCCACCAATGTCAGTTGTTACAGGAGAATGCAGAGACCAAGGGCCAATTTGCCGAGGAGACGGAGCTTGGCGCGTGCTGAGTATAGGTAGGAACTCACGGAATTAGCATTATATACAGTATATAGATATAGATATGGATTAGGCCAGCCAGGTAATTAGGTAGGTATGGAGGTAAAAAGGTAGTAGATCGATAAATGGACGGACGGACGGACGGACAGACAGACAGACAGACAGATAGATAGATAGATAGATAGATAGATAGGAGCGTACGTAGGTAGGTGGATCTATACATATCATATAGAGGTAGAAGAGACTGCAGATCTACACACACACAAAGGGTACATACTTGCATTTTGCATAGAATACACATGAATGCATCGGGTGGCACCGATCTAAAACCCACATATCAATGGCTTTTGATGACTGGTCATCTCAAACCACTTCGTTTCTGCCGGCGTTCAGGATTTTGACTTCGAATCATCAGCGCAGAAGTTTGACAAGGCGCGTCTTTGCATTAGGTGTCATCAACTTCTGCGCGTCGTGATTCGCCATTGGCCCAGCTGGGCCCGTTGGCCCCGGGCGGCCGCCCAGGTGAGAGTCGCAGATGATCTGAAACCTCTTGAAGGCTGGATAAAGATGGTGCGGGTACTGTAGACCCAAGGGGGCCCTGTGGCTGGATTTGTCTCAAGAATGGGACACCCCGAAAGCATCCAAAAGCTATTTTGGATGGGAAATGATGAACCATGATGAACCAGTGGATGCACTGGATATTTTTGGAATACACCAATTTGACTTGTATGGACCTCAGAGGCCCTGCCGAATTTGGCTTTTGCAGCTCCAATATATTCCAATACTTGACCAATAGTTTCAATAGTTCTCCCGTTTCATTGGGTGTTGAGTGCTCAAAGTTAGAAGGTCGATTCAATTCGATTCTGATAAATTTCTGAAGTTGAATGAAATGGCCTCATTGTACTTGGACCATTCGTGTTGCTTGCTCGTCGCCGTGTCCAGGTTACGATAAAGGCAAGTCCTTTTTCGATTCCATCTCTTGTGAGGTGCGGGATGGCAGAGAACACAAAATCATGCCGCGCCCTAAAATGGATGATTTCGTCATCCTAGGGCTGTGTGATTTCTGATGTTTTATTTTCAACATGTCCATTGATTTCTGCTGAATTCTGATGTGTCTTTCGTGGGTCTTTCATGAATAAAAACATGGAATTTGGATTCGAAAATGTGGTAAATTCCACCGAAATCCTGAAGATGTGTAAGATTTACCCTCTGGTAAACTAACATAACTATGGAAAATCACCATGTTTCATGGGAAATTCCACTATAAATGGCCATTTTCAATAGCTATGTTAAATTACTAGAGGGTACATGGCCTTTTCAGGACTTCCCCGGCCCAACTCGCAAGGCCACGGAGCGCAGTGGAGAAGCAGGTCGGCGAGCGCAGGACAGAGAGAAGGCGGGTGATTTGATGATACTCATGATGTGTAGATTACAGTATATATAACTTACCGATAAAGCCATTAAACACATATTAAAAAACATATCATATATAGCCACTGATATACACATATATATATATGTATATTAATATATATGTGTATATATATATATGATAAATATGTGTAATTTGTACTGAGTTTCCCCATTTCTGGCAGTACCAGTACGGCTGCTGTTACTACTGCAACTACTGTTGATTGGTCATTACCGGAAGTCATGCTACCTAACTTATTGAACGTTATGATCGCCCACAATAGGGCTACCCATTACCCATTTATGGAGGTGAACCCAACAAATGGATGATCAGCCAGTTGTATATGGGATAATACCACAAGTTGCGGACTTACTGAGGTTCTTAACCACTTCTATCATTATAGCATGATATATACATCATACAATTACACATGATATGTACATATGTACGTACGTACATGCATGCATTACACTACATTACACTACCTTACCTTACCTTACCTTGCATTACATTGCATTATACTACACGACACTACCTTACCTTACGTTACCTTGCATTACATTACATTACACTACACTACATTACACTACATTACATTACACTACCTTACCTTACCTTGCATTACATTACATTACACTACACGACACTACCTTACCTTACGTTACCTTGCATTACATTACACTGCATTACATTACATTACACTACCTTACCTTACCTTGCATTGCATTACATTACACTACACTACCTTACCTTCCCTTGCCTTGCATTACATTACACTACATTACATTACACTACCTTACCTTACCTTGCATTACATTACACTACCTTACCTTACCTTGCATTACATTACATACATATACGTATACATATATACATATTTGATCATATTTGTAGAGTTTGCACATTAGCGGCTATCATTTTTGATCATAATGATATATAAGTGATAGTGATAGTAATAATGATCATGATGATAGTCATGATAGTGACAATGAAAATGATGCTAGTAATACCAATGTATAATCAATTCATGGCAAGTTGTAGATAGTTGTACTAGATCTCCACGCGTTGGTTGGGTTTTATTCATCCCAGTCCCGATTTTCTGCCCAAAAATGGGGTATAGAAACATATGGTGAGCCCTCAGATTCCCAGCTATCGATGGCAGGGAATGGTCCAACATGTGGTGCGCTTCGCATCTAAAAATCGACCCAACCTGGTTATGACTAACATAGCCATGGTATAGATGGCCCATAGAAATAGATGGTTTACCGAACTGAATAGCATGGTGATTTTCCATGGCAAACTGGCAATGTCATAACCAGATGGTAAAATCATCTAACTATAGGAACTATGAAGCATAGTCAATTCGCCGATGTTCACCGTTTGGGTCCCGAGTCAAGTTCCAGGCTCGGGATGCCGACCTTGCCACCTTTGGCAAGAGATGAGGAGCGCATCCTGGAAACAGCCAATTTTTGATCAATAAGATCAATAAGCAAAGGAGGGCCCCCCACTTTTTGCAGTTTTTTGTTTGTGGTTGAGTCTGGTTGAGTCACATCAAGAGTCCAATCAACGGTGCTGTGATCCCAGCATCAACGTAGATTCAGTAGACCCCTTTTTCGCTCTCCGAAGAATCGCCTTGTAGATTCCACCTGCAGGATTTTATCGCTGAGTAGTGCTGCCGGCAGCCAGATGGCATCAGATGGCACAAGGATCTGTCTCTTTTTCAACATGGGTCGTTAAATGTCCCCATTGAACATCACCCAACCATTAGGTATACCCAAAATGGGACAGTTACCAACCCCTGTTCAATCCAGATTTGCAGTCCTGTGGGTTCATTGTTTCTTTCCACATGGTTCCCTTGGAGTCTTTGCCTCTGGTTGGGTCCGCAAGCACCCGACGACCCGTGTTTCTCGCGCTCTCGCGCTTCTCGTTCCCTCCGAAACTTTGCAAAGTGAGATGCTGATTGTACGAGGCTGAGAGGCATTCTTTGCACATCGGTTCTGGAGCTTTTAGTGGCTGCCTTATTCACATTTCCAAGTCATGAGGACTCCACAGAATTCAAAACTTATATCCTGCAAATCGACATTTATAGCCCTTGGCCGTGGCCATGTAGTTTCAGGTGGTGAAACTCTGAATTTCCTGAAACGAAAGAACCCCTAAAGATATCTTCATCAATTGTGCATGACCCTTATGTTGCATCAGAACTTCAATCGGTCTGGCGCAATTTGTAAAGGTCCATCTTCACAAGTCACCATAGATTGCCACATCATGCCACATCATTTACCGTAGATTTCCCATCGGTTTTAACTTTTAACCATCGATTTCCATAAAAATACCATAGGATCCATAGGTTTCCACAGATGCCCACAGGTTTCCCATAGATTTTCCACAGATTTCCCATAGATGTTCCATCGGTTTCCAAAGATTTCCCAACGACTGCAGAGATTCGGACCGGTCGCCGGCCTCAAACGCGAAGCCATGCGAAGCCATGCGAAGCCATGCGAAGCCACGGCCCAGGAATGGGTGGACAACTATGATTTTACCAGTGGATTGTTTTTTCATGGTTTTTCTCTACATTTTCATGTTTGAAAGCCAAATTTCGGAACCAGAATTATGGAAGAAATGGGGAACTTCAGATACTTCCGTAATCCTCCACTTCCGTTCTGTAAATTTGTCGGCGATTTGTCGATCACCGGTGTTCACCCAAAGGAGCGAAGGATTGTGCTCGATTGGCCCGGCCAACCAGCAGGAAAAGATGCCGCATCAGCGGCAGTTGGGACGTGCAGTTGTAATGTCGCTCGCATCGTGGGAAAATGGCCGATGCATTTCTCGAAGTGGGTTTGTCTGAGGATAAGGGACCATCAAATCCAATGGTTTATCATCATTTCTCATTAAAAGATATTAAAAGGGGTACCATTTTCAGATGCGCCCAGGTGCTGATCTGGTACAAAAAGAAAACGGATGAAAACAAGCAGAACTGCCAGGGCAGACTAGCCACCGGAAAAGGCACATTGTTCGTCGTTTTTCAAGGGAGAATCGACACGGACAAGTATAATACGAGCCTCAATATTAACCCCTTGTTTGGATTTCTTTGGGACGTGGTGTTTTTCTTCCCCCCAACTGGTAAACTTGGGTACAACTTACTTGGGCAATTCTGGTTTATCAGTTTATCAAATGAGGTTGAATGATCATTTGTGGCAACAAACAGCTACCCTTCCACCAAAAAACGCAAATCTGCAGCTCCGCGGCCCATTCAGATCAAGGATTTACAGCCGATGTGTGAAATGCATGAGATTTCAAGTTCAGATACCGCATTGATGGCCCCTCCCCCGGAAGAACTAGAACCATTCTAAAGAAAGAAGCTGGGGTTGGGGTTGGCCAACTTATTGTTTCCCATGAGGATTTTAAGTGACAGAAAGCATAAAAATCACTGTCCTATGAAGAGATTTTTTGATGTGGCAGGATGGTAACTAGGTCCCTCAATGAGAGACATCCAGCCTCAGCTGGGTAAACTTGACAACAGAGGAGTTGAACGAAGCACCTCAGCCAGCTGCTCCGTTGGTCAACGGGCTGCATCTGACGGGTCATCTGACCAAGGACGGTTCCAAGATGTTTCTGGTGTCGTGTGCGCAAGAAAGAGGTCAACCTTTTCCAGATCTCAAGTGCTTAAACGGCTTAACCTAGAGTTTTCAGCGGGCAATTCACTAAAATCTGTTTTTCATGTGGACTTGGGATATAGTTCGGAATTGGAACATTTTGGGATATTTGACATTTGGGATTCGGGATTTGATTCGTTTAGATTTCAACATAGACTTACCCGGCCTGGTAAACCTTTACATCACTATGGAAAATCACCATGCTCATGGGAAAATTCACGAAATTTCCACTGGGCCATATTTTTCCATAGCTATTTTGACATAACCAGAGGCTGCTTCCGGACCAGGAGATGTTTAAGGCCACCGGTGAGATGACCACCGATTCAGACGAGGACGACCGATTCAGAACTGGGAGCACCAACAATTTTTTTTGGGGGGGATAATGAATGTGGATAGAATGGTGATATAAAACATTATAATTATCCGCAGTTGGATGTGGATAGACTGGGATTATAATATATAAAACTGTAACTTCACTATCAACATGAAGCAAGAGTTGGATTTTTCCTGGGTTCGTCTCAAAATGGGGACCGGCAATTTTGGATGGAGAACGATCTTGGGGATCTTGGGGATCAATCGATCAATCTTGGGGTTCCCTTTTGAGTTTGCCACTGCTTGGTTCCACAAAAAACAAGATTGCTGCAAAGTCAAAAATGGCGTTGGTCCCGAAAAAAATCTGGAACTCCAAACTCCGTTTGTTTCAAACCATGTTCCACAGATTTTGACATATTTCAATGATCCACAAGGCGATATTTGATTTTCCCAAATCTAATTCTGGATATCAGATCCAAAGATATGTTGAGGTTTAGCGCACCACTGATGCGAGGACTATTCTGAGATCTCTGGATCAGATCGCGATGAGGCGCAACTTGAGTAGCAGAGACCCGCACCATGGTGACATGGAGCATTTCCAACAAGAACAACCAGTTCTGACCGTCTCTGACCTCCAACAACAAGTCACAACAAGGTTTTGGATCTGAACAGAATGACCAAACTGTCTCCCCTTTTTTGTGGATCACCGAGTGCAGGAGATCACCTGGATAGAGTGGTTTTGCCACTTGAAGGACGGTGGGAGACAAAAAAATGGTACCATTTGATGTTAGGAAAATGATGTTTTTTCTTGTTCCCAGAATTTCGTTTGAAAAACAGTCTTTCCCAGAATTCGTGGGAAGATCTATCGAAAAACCAACCTTTTATTACAAAACCATGGGCCAAAGACAGGGTGAAGTGGGCTTGGTATCTCAAACGGCTTGGCCATGTGATGGTTAGAATGTGATGGTTTCAATCAATGTTTATCCATGTTTACTAAACGTTTATAGCATGATTTTTTTTCGCTGTTCTCCATGGGATGGTCGGATGGTGGGGAATTCCCGTTTTTTTTTTTCAGCTGCATCCGAGGCCAAGATTTGGTGATACTTGTGGAGTATATCTTCCTAAAGAACTAACCACAAATATCTGTTAGATCTCCAGAGGGTGATTAACCAGAATATGATATTTGGTGATTATATTTGATCTCTCTAACTCTCTCTCTCTCTCTCTTTTGGTTGACGTTCATAGAGCTCTTGTTAGGGAGGGATTGCTGAAAAGCCAGCCATTCTGGTGAGTGATGGGGGATGGTTAGTCAATGGGGAACATCATCATGAACTATTGGATTTTAGGTGATTTGTCAAACCAACCATCATGAACCACTGGAGTTTGGGACACCCCATCCAACCATATCCAACCAAGCGGCGGTTGTGAACCGTGTTGAGTTTCAACGTTGGTCGCAGGGCAATGAGTTCTTTGTGGAGGTGGATGAGGATTATATCCAGGTGCTGCATCCCAGTTTGTGTTGAGCACGTAAGTTCTCGAACTCAAGGAACAGGCACTTGCAAAAAGGAAATCCAACGCATGACATTGACAACTTGTTCGCCATGAGAGGTTTGGGGACTGACTTTATCTAGGATCTGTGAAACTACAGCCAAGTACCATAAGAAATGAAACTATCAGTATCTTAAGTACCATCCAGGGGCAACATAGAGTCTTCGGTGAAACATCCATCATTCATTTCCTCTGGCAGCCGACTGGTGAAGGATGATTTCAATCTCACTGGTCTCAGTGCACAGGCTCGACTGCTTTGGAGCTTCAATTTCTTATTCCTTTCTGTTGGCATATCTGAAAATGGGTTACACCATGTTATACCATGTTATACCACCAACTGGTCATTTTAATTGGGAAAGTATGATAATCAACTCAACTATTAAAATGACAACAGCCCTTTTTTTTTGGCAACTCATAGCGACCAACCTGGGATTTTGTTGAAGAGAATCATCCCAATCGGCTTATATTGGAATGATGTCCTGATTTGGAATTATTTGGGATACATATGGATACATGTCATTTTTGTTTAGAATCATCCCAATCATCTTTCGGACTGTCGGTCAGTTCGCTATGAGTAAAGCTTCTTTTGGCTGGGTCTGCCGGTCCCCTCCCAAAACTGTCTCTGATAAACTGTGGACGGCCTGCTGGGTCGCTGCAGATAGAGCCCGCTACAGTTCTCCCTTCGTTCGGTCGATTCTGTTCGGGGGGGTTTATCATCTTGATGCTCTCTGGGCGGCTCGTCTTGTCACTGCCTTGTTGCGTTACTCTCTTCGCTTTCAGGGCTGTCCCCCTTGGTCGCTCCGCTTTGGGAGTCCCTGTGCTACTCTCAATACCTGGCTGCTCCGATGTCACTGGGTTCGCGTCCGTCCTTGGGTTTGGCAACATCCTTTGGGGGGGGTCAAATTGGATCTTTCCGTTCCTCTTTCCCCTCAACTCGTTGATGGTTGGATTAACCATTGTAGGCACGTGCTTCGTGTTGGTTGGCGCGCTTATCAGTTCAAAGAATGGTGTGCTTCCTCCCGTCACGAACTTCTCGAAATTCCGTCTCCTTTACATTGGTTTCAAAAAATCAATTGGGGTGATGCTCGTGATTGGGCTACCACTACTGCCTCCGCTGCCACTGTGTGCCTTGGTGCTACTTATAGTCCTGCTCACTGGCAACATAAAGATCCTTCTTGTGCTGGTTGCATTTGGCCCGGGTGCTCCTCTCTCGGTCATTTCCATCATGTCTTTTGGGAGTGTGCTTCCCGTCCCCACTTCGCCCCCGCGCGTCCTGCTTCCCCCTTTCTTGCTCGCTTCGGCTGGTCTGCTGGGGAAGACCCACAAATTGTCCAATCGGTCCGTGTTTGGCTCTCTTTCGTCCAGTCCCAGCTTTGGAAGGTTCAATATGGTTAATCCCTGTCTGTCCCTCCTTTCTGGGTCTCCTTACCTTGTCCCCGTGGTTGGCTGTCTGGCCATTTCTATGGTGACTCCTTTTTGTGTGCTACACCTGTCTCACTAAGGAAATTCTGTTTCACTTAGGTTCTTTTTTTCGTCTACACACCCTTATCGCCTTCGGCACGATGGGGGCCCCTATGCGCTATCGATTTCGCGGTGGTGCAGTGCAAAGATTTCTCTCATGATATATCATGATTCGGGTATTCGCAGCGTCCAATATTCGATTGAAAAATCTACCTGCAGCAGAAACTTCTGCAGGTACCCTGCTATGAAGATGCACTGAATATGATCCTGGATTTCGATGACCAGGATGACGGCACCTCAGAGTCTCAGAGATTCACAGAGCCAACTGCCCCAATATTATCCATGCCTGGAACGAGCAAAATGGTTGGAGAAACCCACAAACATGGCATTTTACGGATATAAATGACGATAGATGAAGATCAATGACAAATTGGTGACTTTCGCATTTTTGTCTGCCAAGGATTGAGCCACCGGGATCACTCAATCACCAAAATTAGATTCAGCTCAATTCAATTCCAATTAGAAAACTCGTTTTTTTGTTTTTGGCTCAGGTTTTTCTTTCCCCGAAAAACTGCTGCCAAATTCAAATTTTCACTTGATCTACATAACATCTCCTACATCCTTTACATCACCTACATCATCTACATCAACTTCATCTACATCACATATATCATCTACATTTCCTACATCTCTAACTGTATCCTTTACATCACCTACATCATCTACATCAACTTCACCTACATCACATACATCATCTACATCAACTTCAATCAAGTTCACCTACATCACATACATAATCTATATACATCATTTTCATCTAAAGGTGCTCAACGTCTACATATCTCATACAAAGCCCCTACAATCCTACAACGTAATTTACACAGGAGTTCTTACACGGGAGTTGTTACACAGGAGTTGTTACACAGGAGTTCTTGCGCAGGAATTCTTACAAAGGAGTTGTTATAGAAGAGTTTGTCTGTAAAAGTTTCTCTGTGTAAAAGCTTCTGTGTGTAAAACCTCCTCTGTGTAAAGACTTCTCTGTGTAAAAGCTTCTGTGTGCAAAAGCTTCGGCGTGTAAAGTTTTCTCTATGTAAAAGCTTCGGTGTGTAAATGCGTCTGTGTGTAAAAGCTCCCCTGTGTAAAGACTTCTGTGTCTGTGTGTAACGGCTTCTGTGTGTAAATACTTCTGTGAAAGTTGCTCTGTGTAAAGGCTTCTCTGTGCAAAAGCTTCTCCGTGCAAAAGCTTCTGTGTGGAACAACTTCTGTTTGTGTAATATATTCTCTGTGCAAAAGGTTCTGTGTGTAGAGTGTAAAGGCTTGTGTGTGTAAGTACTTCTGTGTGTGTGAGAGTTGCTCTGTGCAAAAGTTTCTGTGCATAAAGGATCCTCAGTGTAACAGCTCTGTGTGTCCAAGTTTTTGTGCGTAAAAGTTTCTCTGTGTAGAAGCTTCTGTGACTCCTCTGTGTAAAGGATTCTGTGTGTAAAAGCTTCTGTGTGTAAAAGCTTCGGTGTGTAAAGACTTCTCTGTGTAAACGTGTCTGTGTGTAAAAGCTCCTCTGTGTAAAGACTTCTCTGTGTAAAAGTTTCTGTGTGTAAAAACTTCGGTGTGTAAAGACTTCTCTGTGTAAGCGCGTCTGTGTGTAAAAGCTCCTCTGTGTAAAGACTTTCTGTGTAAAAGTTTCTGTGTGTAAAAGCTTCGGTGTGTAAAGACTTCTCTGCGTAAAAGTTTCTGTGTGTAAAAGCTTCGGTGTGTACAGACTTCTCTGTGTAAACGCGTCTGTGTGTAAAAGCTCGTCTGTCTACAAGCTTCTGTGCAATAACTTCTCTGTGCAAAAGCTTCTGTGTGGAAAAACATTTGTTTGTAAAAGCTGCTCTGTGCAAAATCTGCTCTGTGTAAAGCCTTCTGTGTGGTCAGCCTGCTTTGAGTTTGCTAGTTTTCACACGACCTCTTGCTGCTTGGACGAGTCGGTCAGCCGGCCGATTCACGAATGGACGTGGGCAGGGACCTCCTGTCTGGGAGTGGGAGCTGTTTGATGTCGCGTTTTGAATTGGATGGATCTGGTCTGCACCGGTGCGCACAATTTCTTTATCCTCCTGGAGAACTTGCACTTGATCCTCCACGGTGATGATCAACTTTTGGTCATTGTCCTTAGAGACATGGCCTCTTTCAGCGCTTTCATCATCTTTCATCATCATTCATCATCCATCATCATATCTTCTTTACCATCCTCTTTTGATCTTCATAGAATTGGATGATGGGAAAATTTTAACCGGAAAACCCTAGATTTGATGGTAAAAACCATGGTTTTGATGGTAAAAACCATGGTAAAACCCATGGTTTCCCGTAGATCTACTCCCTCCTTGTCGTTTTTTGGCCACACTGGAGGATCACCATGTTTCGCCCAGGATCACCGACTCCAGGATGATCAGCAGCCTCTAGTGACTAGTCCCAGATGACCTGTGCATCTCCAGGGTTGGTGCCGTATGACAGATTTGTATACTATAAATGTATATATATATATATAAATAAATATGTTTAATGTATACATATATATATATATGTATCAATGAGTATGAGATGGAAATATGAGATAAATAAACATTTTATATTCAGAATTGGCTTGGATTTTGAGATAGGTTCGTTTTTTTTTCAGGAAAAACCGGAAAGTTGCGGTTTGATATCCACTTCTGAGCGCAGAGAGTTGATTCGCATAAGGTGGAAACTGCTGCCCAGATGCTGTACGGGCTTTCCCGCCAATTTTAGGGAGATAGAGAAGACCCTCTTGGAACCTGGGAATTGGAAAGTACGGGAAAGTACCCATGTTCAATAGGAGAATCATTTTGAAACATGGATAATTACATATAAATGGTGGGTTCAACTCACTGTCAGGTTAAATGATTACCACAAGGCGGTCAATTTTTGGATATTTTGACAACTTCCTTGTCAGAAAGATCACCTCGTATTTGAGATGAAAACATTCAGTTTTTACCTCCTTGCAGTAGTTTTCATCACGAGGAATGGAGGCATTGGAGGGAAAAACTGGGTCTGGTGGTTTCAAATATTTTGTTTTCAAGCACAACGGGATATAGTGGGACGATGATCCTCCAAGACACATTTTTCAGAGGATGGCTCAACCAGCGGAGTCTTGCAGAGTTTCAACGGTTGCTTGACCAAGAGAACCTTCTCGACTCGGGCAACACACGCGTCCGACGTTTGCCAGGTTGATCCACGCTCGATTTATTCTGACGAGCCGGGGAATGGCTGCGATGCTGGACAAGTACAATTGTTACGTCCATCCGGCGATTGGATTGGAGCAGAATTGCTGTCGCTGTTGTGCGCCTTGGTGTTTTGAAGCTTGAATGGATTGGATGAAATCTGATGCAATATTTTTGATCTTGCCTTCTGAAAGGTACACAAACCCTGGAAAAAAGGTGTTGATGGGTGGCGATGCGTAGTTGGCCCACGGCCCGGAGCAGCTCGTGGGTTTTAGCGCGTTCTTTCTTGCTTCTTATTCATGAAGATGATGCTGCGTTAGTGGACGGCTCGGTGATGGTAGCACGCTGGCAGGGAGAGAGGGGGTGGGTGGTGTGTTAACGTTCCTGGCGCTTGCATCCTGAAGATGATGCTACCCTACAGCATGTCGTCTTGGAAGTTAGGGGGTGGGCGGGTGTGTCAGCGTTCCTGGCGCTTGCGTCTTGAAGATGATGCTACGCTATGGCACGTTGTCTCGGAAGTTGCTTCATGTAAGTATGGGGTCAGGGGTGGGCGGGTGTGTTAACATGTGTTAACGTTCCTTGCGCTTGCGTTTTGAAAATGATGCTCCGGCACACTACAGTTCCACTATTGCTATATGTTTGGTATTGAAAAGATTCTGGGGAAACACATTTCCAGCCAGTTTGAAGGTGGAAGGCCGCAAAGTGCCTGACCCAGCGTTATCTGATCGACCTGCAACTCCAAATGAGTAACAATGAGTGCTAGTCAGTGACGAGCGCTACAAGCAAACTGACTTTGAAACATGAATGAAAACAGGGCTTTGGGCACAATGCAGCTGAAAACGGATGAACACCTTATTTCCCATGGTCCAAACGCTGGACATGTTCCCCCCGTAGAATTACGTGTGAACAGAATTCATAAATTTCCAGAAAAAGTAATAGGTGGCCGCAAATTGATATGACGTTTTAGCAGCAAATTAGGCCAGAAACTGCACATCAGAAATTTCAACCAATCTAAGTACGCATGTCAACCCCTGCTAATCTTGCAAGATTCCTGCCCAATGTAACTGCAGACATTCAACGCACTTGGAATATGAGAAATGTCATGTCGTATCACGGTCCGCTGTAAGCGGTGGACTGCGTAGTTCGGCAAAGTATGGCAAAGTGATTGATTCACTTCCTATGACCGAAACCTTCCGAACACTACGATGGATATTGTATTTTATGATTTGTGAAACATTAATCTTTGAAAATCATGCAATTTGGTTGTGCTTTCAGAAACGTTTGAAATGCTTTCAAATAATTCCGAGTAGTATCTCTCTTGACCGAACTTCCCAGCTCCTGCGCTGGATGGCAGCCATGAAACCCTGCCAGGTGTACGGCAAGTGTCCTCTGACGCAGTGTCCACGGCCCAATTCGCTTCAAGAAGCGATGTTTTGCATTTTACGGAAAAGGAATTTCACACTTCATGTCCGCAACCTTTTCAGGAGGTATATTTCCCCCATAATCCTTTTTTTTTTTCATTTGTTCCATTTTATTCGTTCAAAATGATATAGAGCCTTTCTTCAAAGTTCCTGTCTCCGGTCGACGTCTTCGGGGTTCCAAAGGGCAGTGTTTCGCTAGGTGAAGCCATTAACCAAGCAGTGCTGCCCATTGGAATGTCGGACTTGTTGCGGCAGAGTGCGGCCAAGGTCGGCCCCCCTTTGTGGATGTTTTAAAAAACCCGTTTGACCGGAGGGTAGCCATGGCCATACTTGTGAAGATACCACCAGCATATAAAACATACATGTATTTTAAATGTATTTTAAATGTGTAGCGTGTAATATACCTACAAAATCGTACAAAGAGAAGCCGAATCGAACGAATCATGGCTGTCACAGTTAAATAGACCAGCAGCCCCCTTTTGTGAGTAACCCTTGGAGGTCTATTGTCCGCACTGCCGGGAGATCTATTTCCCGAAGTCTTCCAAACTGGAATGCTTGGAATGCCCAGTGGTTGGTTTGTGCAGCGGGGACGGGGAAGTACTGAATCGTTGGGAGCAGTCCTTGACACTAGTTTCAGGCCAAAAAAAATTCTGAAAACAATTATGATAAGCTGAAAGATGTCTAATTTTATCATATTTTTATCACATATTTCATCTCCCAAGAGAGTTCCAGGTTCTTTGCCCTTTTGAGGTCTTGATGGTGCATACTTCGGCACAACCTTCGCTCATTTGTTTTTCCTGACATATCAGCAGCAGGCGGATACGGTCGCCTGAGGTGGTTTTGGATGGTTTTGGGGGGAAATCCGCAGAAATGTGGGGATGCGAATTTAACGGAGATTCAAAGATCCACTGGCTTGGGGCTCAATGACAATTTTTGACCCATATCCATATAGATCCAACTTGGATTCCCTCCCATTGGATGGTTTGCTACTAAATGTGCGAAACTACTGGTATGTGTGTTTTGTAGTGCTGTAGAACATGGTAAAAGAAAACGATGGTGAATTCAATGGTGAACCAATTTTTTGGCCCTGTATTTGATGATTTTGATTATATTGTATATACACACATATTGATGCACTTGCCGAGTCACTTGCAGCAGGTTCCTCCAACTATGCCTGTGCCACATGTACCGGTCTTAGCTTTTTGTCCATCAAAAAAATCTGTGGATTTTGCACCGAAGTGCCTGGGGGGTTCTTGTGCCGTTCCGCAACTGGCCGCCCAGTGTCCGCGTATCTATGGCTTCAAGATCCACAAGAGCGTGAAGGAAAACTTGCGCAAGTCATGGGCCCAGGGTCCATGGCTGAAGCTGCTGTGACATTGGAAAGTAATGACACTGACTGTGGTATTTTTAGGTATTTTTGCCCGTCGACAAGAGTGGGACTAGTGGGATCAAAGATAATCAAGCTAATTACACAGGATGGTGCCCCCCAGTTATAAGTGGGTTTATAAACCCCATTAACTATAGTTATATCTGCCATAAACCATAGTTATGGGACTTATAAACCAACTTAGCTAACTATGGGGCACCACCTTGCATCTACAGCAATTAGTAATTGCTCCATGTCTAGAACTGCACCGGAGCTGTGGCACAGGGCACAGCATGGCACAGCACTAAAAACCAATGGGCCAACTGAGCTGCGCCGCGAGGCAATGTGAACGTGCCCAGAAGCAGCTGCCAATGTTTAGCGGGAAACCAGTGCCTTGGATGCGAATGAGCCTAGACCAGAAGACTTCATTTCGGGAGTCTATCACATGCGTATGGTATACTTAAGGATTTCACAAAGAAGATACCTGAATAGTCAATACCACACTCTCTCCCTCTCTCTCGCTTTTGATTCCTCTCTCTCTCTCTCTCCCTATATTATCCGTATTTACGTATACATATACGTGTTATGTATATATATATAATTAGTTGCACATCCACTCTAATTATAAATACCAGGCATGTTCAAAATTCGCAGTGGCTATATGGTAATGATCACAGCGACCGCTTGGCTGAGGCAGGCACAGAGGAGTCCCGACGTGGCAGTGCAGGCGTAAAAACATGCGGTCAATGTGAACATAGTTGACCGGATAACGAAAAAGACATCCACCTAGATCTTAAGTTGACCTATGAGAATGGGTATTTACTGTACATGTTTTTGCTTATTTTTGTGGGTCAACTCAGGGTCAAAGCACTTGTAGTGAAGCCATGTTATTGTGACCATGGTTTCGCAAGGCCGAGAGGAGATTGTTGTGGACTAGCACGGCGACTCAGGTTGGTTTTTTGTTACGAAACGGCAGTTGAAACCAGGAGGTTTGGACAATTGAGAATTTACCCTCTGGTTATGTCAAAATAGCTATTGAAAATGGCCATTAATAGTGAATTTTCCCATGAAATGGTAATGGTGATTTTCCATAGCTATGTTAGTTTACCAGAGGGTAAACCATCAAAATGAATCATTTCAGCATCAAACATGCGAATTTAATGTGATCTAAGAACCAACAACAGGGTTGCAAAAAAAAGCGCCGTCTTTGTTTTGCACAGCGTCTCAGTCAACTTGAAGCACACATAAGTTTGGACCATATTTTTTCCCCTGTTCTGAAACTTTTTGTTGAATGAACCTACCTCTCACTAAGAAAATGCAACTTCCGCAATTTGAGGTTCCCAGACGCTGGTACAACAGGACGAAGATGCAAAGCACACGGATTTGTTCGCCAAAAACGGCTGATTTACCCACAAGTCATGGCAATTTTTTAAACTTCTAATGGGAAAACTGGTGCTGCACCATTTTTTTTTTGGGGGGTTCTCTTGAAATTTCCGAACCCTCTGATCAGTCACAAGGGGAGATTGATGATGTTGGAAGACTTCAATGATTTGGTTTCATCCGGCAGGACGTACAACAGTGCGACGCAAAGGGCGCGCAGAGGGGCGATGATTTGCACGGCAGGTCGAATTCGATTTGAGGAATGTAAGAGAGACATCCAGCAGCTCCTACTGTTGAGGGTGCAACATAATATTCTTTTCTCTTCATTCTTTTTTGTTTGTCCATTTTTTGCTGGGGGGAAGTCTTTAAATCAGAATTGGGCTTGTCTGAGAATAGGGTATTCCCCAAAATTTGATGGTTCATCATCATTTTGCCCATTCAAATTGTCATTTTGGGGTAAAAAAATCCATTTCGAGACAGACTCATATCAATTGTTCATTGAATAGATCGAATGTTAAATCCCTCTCATATGTTGATGGCTGGAATCGCTTAATTTTCCATCGGTGACGTAGTCGGATCTCTCCATCAGTAGCGGTTTTGGTTCTGGGGTCCTCGTCACAAAGCTGGGTGGCTGCCTGCATGGACTCCTCGAATCTGCTCGGGATGACATGGATGACTCATTGCTGAGCATAGCTCAAGAAATGCTCAGGGGGATGGTATACTTACCATTGCTGAAGCAATGAAATGGCTAGTTTCGGTAGTGTTGCTGGCTATCGAGCATATGACTTTGCAAGATTGGCCAATTTCAGCACCAGTCTGTGTTGACACCAGTAGGGAGGATATTTCATCCAATCCTACGGATATATTTCCATCCTGAAGCTTGTATCATCAAACTAGCTGGAGGGACATGCTCGTCAGAATCAAAGATGCTCGTAGCATTTCTTTCGCCCGAGCAGCGGCCATTTCCGGAGGTCTCACCCTACGGCCGTGCGTGAAGAAGTCTGTGCGGCGCCGTGCGTGGAAAGTGCGCGGGGGTCGTCCCGGAAGCCCTGCGGGCCACGACCGCAGGGACCGCAGGGACCGCAGGGTGGCCGCAGGGACGTCCAGTGGGCACGCCGTCGCAGCCGTTTGCTCTGCAGATAGATAGGTTTCTTGATGTATTTAGACTTTAAAGGCAGACATTGCCATTGCAAAGTGACAATCCCACACATAGTATCACCTTAAAATTTCCAAGGTTTGTAGGGCCTTAACATACCTTAAGTAGTTCGTTTAAAACATGCTCTACAAATCGTCACCAAAAAAACGGGTGCACTTTACTCAACAGATTTGTAGAGACTCACATGACTCACGGGAGATCATCTGCAATGGAAAGTGCTTGGCGATGACCTGAGGCACATTGCTGTCCATGAATGGAGCAAAGTCACGTTTAAACTACACATCCAGGAATCCAGGAGTGAACACATATGAATCATATGATAGTTCTTGGGAAATATTAGGGAATATATATATATAATTATATATATATGATATATAATATATGGGAAATGTTCGGAAAATTCAGGGCTTCCCAAGCTGTTCATGTCTTGCACTCCCCAGTTGCACAACCCTGACTTCAGCTGCACGATGTGCTGCAGGATGCCCGGGCGATCTTTTGGGGTCATCTCAACGTCAGGCGCTGGTTGCTCTGCACGGGTGAAGAGAGCGAAGATCTACTTGGAGGATACGCCCAGTCAGTAAGTGCTCAGCAACCGGTACATTATATATACACTATATATATATATATTTATATACAGTATATATATATATACATACATACACAGTGTATATATATATACAATTAATGTACACCAACATCACTGTGAATATCGCATGAATCTAAGTGGCTTGAATTTCGCTAGCACCCATGGGTCTATCACAATAATATCAACCGTGGATGAAGCCCAAAGCAGGAGTTTAACCATCTGGTAAGCAATCTGACAATGGAAAAACATCGCAACTTTCCAATCAGAAATCACCTATCGAAAAGAACCATAATTCCCCATGGTCAGGATCGATTAATCCAACATAGAAGTCCCTGTTGAGTATTGCATTGCTCTGCATTTTGAGAGTCCGACCATTGAGAGTTATAACGGCCATACATTCCAATTTCACGATGGCTAAACCATGTTCAAGTCCAATTGTTGGCGGTTGACACCCTGTTGATATGGGTTTGTCTCCAAATAGGCTACCCCATGGCTCAAATTCTGTGGTTCATCAGCATTTTCCCTAGCATTTTCCCTAGCAATTTGAGGGGTAGACCACAAATTTTCATCATGGGATCCCTGTAACGAAACAACACAGTCGAATCCCCAGCCGGTTGGTTTCTTCAGCCCATGGTTTTGGCTTTCAACCATCCCAAATTGGTGGTGCAGGATTTCGCTGGCCCATCCACAGTATGTTAGAAATCATTAAACGTTAATAACCGTTATATGAATTAACCATTATTAACCCACGATTTTCCATCATTAACCAATGATTTCCCATCATTAACTAATGATTTTTCATCATTAACCAATGATTTTCCATCATTAACTAATGATTTTCCATCATTAACTAATGATTTTCCATCATTAACTAACGATTTTCCATGATTAACTAATGATTTTCCATCATTAACCAATGATTATCAGATGTCATCACTTTTGATGGTTGGCCCGATGGCCCAATGGCTCGGTAGGTCGACGCTGCGTCCTATCTGCCCTGGCGGATTTAGCCGCTAGCCCCTTGGAGAAGAGGTCCATTGATGACCTCATCCAACTGGGAAAAGCGTCCCACAAGGAGCTTTAAAACATTTTTTTTTTAGAAAAACAATTCGACTTTATCTCTTTATATCTCTTTTCCATCTCTCATGCAAGAATTTGATGGTTTTACACTACACCAAGAATAGGGATTTAAATGGATTTAACATGATTTATCCATCAAACACTAGGGACTTCAAGAATAACAAATGGTTACCGGTCCTATTTTATAAAGCATCTTCAAGTCTACTTGGGACGAGGATGGGACGAGGAACACTTCAATTTTTTTAGTTCGTCATCCCATTGGGATGATGAAGCCATCGGATGAATAGTAAGGTCACCATAGCTGGGTTGACTGGGTTGACTATCTCATTCTTTTTTGCTATCAGTATCTATCAGTTTATTTTTTCGGGGCCCAGCAAAAAAGAAAAGCTGAAGAGGTATGACAAGGTGCCATCGTCAATGGGTCCAGGTAGATAAATCACGATAAATCATGATAAACCATGATAAATCATGATAAACCATGATAAACCATGATAAATCATGATAAACCATGATAAATTCCATCCCACTAGTATGAAACACCCCAATTGTATGGTGCCAATTGTATGGTGCCACATATGTGGTTTCATCTCCGACTTTTTTGGGGGGAAGGGATGGTCATCCCGCAGGAGCGCGCCCTACAACTGCACGAGACTCTGAAGGCAGATTTCAAGGGGGCTGGATGCATGTTATTCGCATCCAGGGAATTTTGATGATGATTTTGATTAAGCCATTTTGATGTGAATGAATGATTTCAAAAGGCCGATTTTGAATGATTTTGAATGATCAAATGATGTGAACTCCGAGGGTTTTTGATCCTCGCCATAGAACGCAGCTTCGTTACTGCAGAGCTCTAACGCTTCGTCCCAGGTCGGTCTTGCCAGATGTGCCATGAGGCGGCCTTCGCCGGTGGTCGGGTAGAACTTGTATCACAGGGTAGCGGGTGATGCTATGTATTGAGCACCTCAGGTTGGCCTGGATTTTGTCCAATGAGTTTATGCCCAAGATTTCCCGTGAGATCTGGAAACCATGTGGACCCTAGCACAACTGGTCGGACCATGACCAAATCCAGTGGAGAACCTCCGGAATTTCTGAGTGACCTTTGGACCATTTTGGACCAGGCTCACCAACATGCCTTTGGGCTTTTGCCACGCCCCAAGCATCCGGCGCGTCTCACTGACGTCGGGCAACCCAGTTATGTATAAAATTGTAAGCTTTCCACTAGTGACTAGTGGAGTAGTGCTTCAACATCTTAGAACCAGAAGTCATTGTGGAGTAATGCTTTCCACTAGTGGTTGTGGATGATTTACATGATTTATCCCTCACAGAAACACTAGTGGAAAGAAACCACTAATAATCATCCTCACTGCTTTTTGAGTGGATGAAACGGGATGAAACGGGATGAAAATCTCAAAAAGAGCTCGACAAGTCGCGTCATGTGTCGAAATGCTTGACTGAGGTATGTGCAAAACTTCAAGCAGGTCCCAAAACCCCACAAAGAGCGTGGGATTGGGTCACGTTTGCTTCTGTTGTTGAAAAGAAATGACAAATGTAAACATCAGTTGTAGCATAGGTATTATCTGGTCCCTTGTGTTCCGCGGAGATGCCGAAATCTTCATAGCGGAAGACACAGGAGTTGTAAACTCATCGCATCAACCGGAATCTATAGAACTATAGAACTTTTTTTTCTTCACCAGACTGAGACACTTCTTTCTCAGCTCTGTTCAGCACTCAGGTTTTTTCGGTTGGTGGTTTCGAAGATTCTGATCTGATGATCATCCCCGATCTCTTTCACTAACGGTGGCCCGGCAGGTCATGGACTTCGAAGACAAGGAAGGTCGGTCAGGCCTCTGCAGTGAGGACGACCCAAAGGGAGTGCCCATGGAATAGCAAGGCCCATAAAAAAACACATGGGTTTGTCTGAAAATAGTGTACCCCTACACCCAATGGTTAATGATCATTATCCCTATTAAATGGCTATAATTGGGGGAATACCCCATTTTCAGACATACCCACATTGCTTAAACTGTCCAGTGGGAGCTACTGTAAGGAGCCAGGGCTACTGGTATCCAACATATTCCCTGTTAAATTGGAAGTCAAGGACCTAAGGATTTTGGAAGAGTTTCCCAACCGCATGATAGCACATCATGGATACGTGACAACAGTTGTGTGACCTGCTAAACGGTTTCCTCTGAGAAACTGTCCGGTGGTCCTCAGATCATTTTCTCTTTTGCACATTCGATGCAGGAGTACAATGCGATTACCAATGGCATCTTCAATCAGCCTGGGTCTTCCCAGTGAAGGAAAGCACTGATGCGGCTTTGCACGTTTGTTCCGAAGTGGGGGGATTGACCCTGAACATCTGGTGCTCTAAACTTGAGCAATTGAAAATCCCAAGGTTCACTTGGGCATTGCTCTTCAGTTTTTGCGTTTTCCATACTAATCTTGGAAGGCCTGGGGAAGGCGGGGAGATGAATCTCAATTGAGGCATCGCGGCACCATGCTGGATGTGGCCAAAGGTGTCTTTGAGTTCAATGAGGCTGGGTGAATGGGGGGCTGGGGGTGCTCAGATACAGAAGTACTTGAAGTAATCATTTATGTCTCTGCCAACATATGCATCACCACTGCCAAATGCAGGCAGAAAAATTGGATTCATCTTAAATCATTTAAATCCGCCGAGGATTTGAATCAGCTCTTTGGACCCGACTTGGAACTGGCGGAGTTGAGACATTTGCAACTCATACAGGAGCCCTTTTTGAGCCATGCAGGGCGGATGTCAGGTGAACATCTGTGACTACATGTGACTACACTACTGAGTGTAAGAGAAATTGTGGGAAGCACGTTGTGTCGGACCGTGAACATTTCAGATGTACTGTCCAAGTTATACCGGTAGATCAACTTATAGGAGTTATGATTTATAACAGCTATACTACCTACACATTGACTGGGATGATTCTATATCTATAGTAGATATATAATCAACCCAGTTAATGCGTAAGTAGAACATAAATAAATAAATATATATATTGTATATAAAGCCCCTGAACTGGGAACCAGGTAAAAACCACAAAAAACAGCCAGTATAAACCAAGATTTAGGGCATTGCCCACATCCGTTTTTGTTTCATTGTATCCCCGTATTCCCCCTTTCATCCACCTTCACTCACCATTTTTCTTGTTAACTATTGATTCCCCTTTATCCCCCTGAACAATCACAACATCTTGCTTGGTTAATAGCTCATTATATAAATAAATTCTTCAATCGCCCATTCCCATGGCCCCATCAAAAATACCCTCTGGTAAACCAACAAAACTATGGAAAACCACCATTTTTGATGGGCAAATCAACTATCAATGGTCCATTTTCAATAGCTTTTTGTATGTTTACCAGAGGCATTTCCCCCATTTTTTGCGTCGAAAAATCCCATGAATTCCCATATTAAATGGGCTCATCCCATGGCCATCCCAGGACATCGAAGATTCCCTGGATGAATTCTTCACCAATCGCTTGACCTTACGCTTGATGATCTCGCACATCCAAGCCCTCAATGCCAATAAGAACGTGAACAGCGACGGGGAGGCGCGACACCGCGACCAGAGCCGAGCCTGGCTTTCGACTGCAGGAGAATTTCTCCATGGGGATTTCATGAAAAAGCATTAATGGATATAACGGAGGATGGATACAACTATGGATGTAACCACAAGATATAGGATACAATAACTTATAACCCCTATGGATATAACTTTGGTTTTACTATGGTTATACCTAACCAGGAATGGATATAGCTATGGATATAACTGATATAACTATGATAAATGATGATAAACTCCACAAGATGGGATATAACCCCTGCAACTATGGTTATTATGGGTATTTAATCCACTTACTGCAGCAGGTTGCGGGGGTTTGTTGACCCAGTTATATACAGATGGGATAACCCAGGAATCGAGGCCCTACAACTCTGGTCAGATGGATTTGTAACGAAGATCGGGTTCTAAAGAAGGCAGTGATAAATGGGATAACCCACGAATCTGGGACTTACGATCAACAGGGTTACCCTCTGGTAAACTAACATAGCTATTGAAAATGGCATTTTTTTTATGGGAAAATCAACCATAAATGGCAATTTTCAATAGCTATGTTAAATTACCAGAGGGTATTGACCATTACTAAGTGATAGTGGGAGGCGAGATTTTCCGTTTTTGCCCGTGTAAGTTGGGAGATCACTCCTGCAACATCCTGCAACATTCCTGTGGAACTGCAGCCCAAGTCGTATTTTTTGGGCAGTCCTTCAGGTCCTGGACTGGCAGTCCGAAGCAATGGGACATAGATTAGACATAGACTGGACATAGATTACAAATATTGCTATTGATTTTGCCGCAGTGCTCTGAAACAAGACCATATAGAAATACCATCTGGTTATTTAACAGTTTGCCATGGAAAATCACCATGCTATTATATAATAGGTCAGCCATCAATTTCGATTAGGGCCATCGAAAAACCATGGCGAACTGTTAGTCATAACCAGGAAAATGGCCCTAATCGAAATAGATGGCTTACCTATTAATAGCATGATGATTTCCCATGGCTATGTTGTTAGTCCTAACCAGGTTGGGTATTTTTGGAATGGTCCACATGCCGCAACCCGCTGGTTGGGTGTCGTCGGTGTCTGTGTCGGCACGAGGCGATGGTGGGTGTTGTGAATGTTAGCACTCACCCCATCACCATTCTCTCGCGAGCGTGCCCTCTGTGGGATGATGAAACTATCGCCGTTTCCAGAAAATCTGTCAGGTGGGTCATTTATTTAGCCCATAGAAATAGATGGTTTACCTATGAAAAATGGTGATTTTCCCATAGAAATAGATGGTTTACCTATTCAAAATGGTGATTTTCCCATAGAAATAGATGGTTTACCTATGAAAAATGGTGATTTTCCCATAGAAATAGATGGTTTACCTATTAAAAATGGTGGATCTTTGCATAGAAATAGATGGTTTACCTATTCAAAATGGTGATTTTCTATAACTATGTGAGTTTACCAGAGACTAATCTTTTCAATGGGCATCAATGAGCACACTGTCATCTCCATCCTGAATGTTCGTACTGGAAAAAAAACCAGCCTGGTTAATGATTCCAAATATGACCATGGTTTGTGGGGGGTGCTTGCTTAACATGAAGGGGGGATGGGACTAATGGTTTTGGGGTATGCGTTTCCATGGGCTGTTTCGCTTTGGAATTCACGGCACTTTTTTGGAAGCTCACCTAGGTGTCGATTCAGCAACCTGAAGCCTCGTACAGCATTGATCCAACGTTGGCAGGTACGTCGCGACGCGCTTCATGTGCATGAGAGATTTTCAGACCGCCCACAGCTGAGATTTTCATCACAGAATCTGTCTGGAGAAGGACAGATGTGGAGAGAAGTTTAGAAATATATATATATATGGGGATAGATCAACGCCTTTTTAGTATATATATATATATTGTAGTTATACCAGGTTAGATTTTCACATCCAGCCAAATCCCGTCTATTTTGGGTAGAACAAACAGCGGTCTCGGTCTCGGTAGTTCACTCGTAGCCCCCTGGTGAGGCACCAGAGCTTCTGGTGAACGGCACGATGCATGACGAATATGTTCAACAGGTGAGCTGAGATGGATTGAAGCAGAACACGTGCCTCAACGAACCGACTTCCTTTCTACCTCCATCAGTGATGTCCATTACTATATTCATATCCCTTCCATTTCATTCACATTCCATTCAGTGATTTCAAACCTAGACAAACTGCTGATCTGTATTGAAATCATGTTGTTTCCACTCATTTTCAGCCAATTCTTTGTTGCTTCAGTTGCTCAGACGATATGGTGTTTCACCATATCTCCAATGGCCAAAGGCCATGGGACGACCAAACCTGCGCGGCCGCAGCGGCCGTCGCAGGGGTCCATGGGAAGGGGCGGAACAGCCATACCGAACGAGACGTGCGTGATCCAGCCAGAGCGCAGTCGCCCTCTGTGGACACTTGGGTGTCGCGTATGGCGGCGGCAGGTTCTGAAATTGGGTAAATGATGGTAAATGAAAAAAGTGCCCAAATAGCCTTTGACAAAAAGGTCTTGGGTAAGATTTTGAGATGGCTAGATTGGCTAGATTAGCGTCCATATGGGTCCATGAATATACGTAATTAGTAGCACCACACTTTTGAGCCATCACCAAATGTTTTCACATCTTGTGGTAGACCCTTTTTAACCATGCCCAGACGCCAGTGGTGTGGGAGGTTATGGCATTGGGCTTGCCACATTAGCTTCCTGATTCATCCATGACATCCTCATAGTGTATAGCTCAACTCTGAGAGCAGCGTGTAACTGGTAGATCCAAGTGACCGTCCCAAGTGTATGGACACCCCAATGCTACTTGCGGGGAACAAAGTGGCTTACACAATTCTTCACTTAGTTTGTCCCCTAAAAAGATGCAGCAAAACTTCAATTTGCTATATACTATATCTTAGTAGGATTCTACCCCTTTTCTGCGTCTTTTTAGGGGTTCGTATAGATGTTTCCCTGATACATTTTGCATTTCGTTTCCAGATTTTCCAGATATCATCAAAACTCTTAAAACTCCCATGAAAAATATACGTCAGCACAATTTACATTCACCGATTGCCATCAAAACGCTCGCAGCCAGGAAGTGGGATACGCTCTGTGCCTTTTTGCTCGTCCTAGTGGCGATCTTGACACCTTTTGAAGCCGGCTTTTTGGAGGGCGACCTCTTCTCCTGGATGGGAATTTTCAATATCATCACCAATCTCTTCTTTCTGATCGATATGCTCATGCAATTCTTTATCGCATATCCCATTGAGACCAGATATGGTCCAAGATGGATACTTCAGAGACTCGGTAGAGATCCAAATCGTGCAGTATTAGGTTGATGGTTTTAACATATTTTAACATATTTTGACTATGTTTTATTTTCCAACCCACCTGGGAGAATGATTCCAATTCCTATTTTTCCCCAACAGCGTAAGCTAATTGGGTCTTCAGCCCAGAATAGCTCTGATGTGCACTGGTGCAGGCGCCGGGTCAGGTTCAACGAGGTTCCGGAGAAGCTTCCGGAGAAGGTTCCGGGAGACTGGTGCACAACAGGGTTCTGGAGAAGGTTCTGAAGAAGGTCTGGGAGGCTTTGGTGCAGAGCCAGGTCAGGTTCAACAGGGTTCTGGAGAAGGTTCTGAAGAAGGTCTGGGAGGCTTTGGTGCAGAGCCAGGTCAGGTTCAACAGGGTTCCGGAGAAGGTTCCGGAGAAGGTCTGGGAGGCTTTGGTTCAGAGCCAGGCCAGGTTCAACAGGGCTCCAAAGAAGGTTCCGGAGAAGGTCTGGGAGGGAGAAGGTTCCGGAGAAGGTTTGGGAGGCTTTGGAGCACGCTGAGGTGTTTTCAGCGCTTCGCTTCGCAGCACACTTCAGAAAGATTTGTAAAAATAAAACGTTGCGGCTGTTGGGGATACCACCGAAGCTTATTATGCTTATTGAAATGGGGATTCGCTCAAGCACCGGATAGCTCTGCCATTTTTCTCATCAAATCATTGAGAATCATTGATTTTTTCAAATATCTAAGGAAACGCCTCATTGCGGTTCGATATTTGAAAGGCTGGTTCGCCATTGATTTGTCGCCACCTCAGTGTGTTGCGAGCACTGCGCCGGCGCTGCGGCTGAAGATGTGTATTGCAACACAACGATGTCACACGTGGTGGATGGGGAATATAACTATCATATCATATCATATACGCACAACAAATGCGTACGTATGAATCCATCAATGATCATCAATGTAAAGCACAGGTTAATCTCCATGTTACCATCATTTACCAGGTATGGGTCAAAATTGGGTACCCCAAAAATTGGATGGTCCAGGTCTTTAATTTTGACCCAAGTTCCGAAGATCTCTGAAGCTCCCAAGGGCGAGCACTTTACCCTTGGACTACTTGTCTCCGGGCTCGGGCCTGGGCTTGTTGCGGACCATACGCCTGCTCAGGCTGGCATGCCGTGGAAGATCATGTTATGATCATGTTGCTTTAATGGTGAGTTAACCAACCAAAACTGGCATTTACCAGGGAAAAAATGGTAAACATCATAATTTTCAATCAAACATGGTGATAAACAAGAAACAGTGGTGACTTGATGGGTATATTGCAGGAATAAGATGGGGATTTTGCCAACAAATAACAGTATGACATCGGGTTTTCACCGGCAATCTGGGTGCAATGACATGCAATGACATGCAATGACATGCAATGACATGCAATGACATGCACTGACATGCACTGACATGCAATGACCTCACGTCACGACGTCACCGGAAATTGCTAGGTTTGGACTGTTTGTTTGGACGGTTTGGTTGGCGGTAATCATTGCCATAGCAATGGCAAATCGACCATGGTTTTTTTTGATGTTCCATGATGCTCCCATGAAAAAACCTTCAGGCCATTGGGGATTTTTTCACTTCCATGTTTGATTACCAGAAGGAAGGTAGTTCAGCCAGATCACTGACCCAAAACCAAGTCTTGCTGATACATTCACCAGCTCTGTCTTTGGCGTTGGCCACGGGCCGTTCATATCTACTGCATCGGCATGGCAAATGGACATTTTGAGACAGCTGTGCCCTTTATGTACTCTCAGTTGAACGGTCACAAAATTCAACTCCCTTGTCACAAAACATATTCTACTTAGCGTAGATTTCCCGTGAGTCTTCAACCTTGACATTGCCAGCGCAATGTTTGAAGTTTGAAGTTTGATGGACCCTCTCCGCACTGAAGAATCACACTCCTTGACAGACGGTTTTTTTCAGCCGTTGAACTTTGGTAGGTGTAGGGTGCGTACAGAGCGTATGTGAGAAATGTTTGTGTTTGATTTTCCGCCTCAATTTGGGATGATGGAGAGCGAAGGACCAAGATTTATTGGGCTGCCCCCACCACATTCCAAGGATGAGTTTGGAAAATCTAGGGTTGAACTCCCAACAAGTTTGGGTTGTAAAGGCCAGTCGGTTTCAACCGTTGATTTTCCCAACGAAATCCGTCCCCTCAGAGGCTTTTGAAGCTCCTCCGTTTGGCACGAGGCCAGCAGGACAGTGGCTGAAACAGCAGAGACAAATATTGGGCCATTGGGGATGAAGTATGGAGAAGTCCCTGGGCCCCTCATGAGCCAAACATTCCGAGTACATCCGAGTACTCTATGCCAAACCCGAAACTGATATCAAATTCTTTGCTTTGCTCAGGCATCCGTGTGGTTCGGAGATATCAGGCTGAATTCGGACTCTCGTACAGAAAGATGACACTGTATCTTCTCTTTTTCTCGGTGCTGGCGGTGTCTCATTGGCTTGCCTGCACTTTGGGCATCGTGCACAAATTTGCGATCGAGTCATTTGGACGGGATTTTTCAGTTTGTTAACATTTGCCAGAGGTGCATCATGAACTAAACCCTCCAGGTTTCAATTGTTTCAAGAGATGGCTTCATGGGTGTAATTTAAGTTAGTTTAAGCTTGCTCTTGTGAAGGACAAGCACCATGAAATCCATGAATCATCACAAACTTGTAAGCTCTGCGTGGTCAACACCAGAAGAATCCTTCGTCACAGAAAACGGACTGTATTAATTGACAGCGATAATATCTGCAGGATGTATCAGCATGTGTATAGAATTACGCACCTTTTCCCATATTAATTACTTCCCCCTGCCATGGTTTAGTAGTGTACTTATGTTTATACATTTTTGGGATCAATTTAGGGCTTTTAGTATTTTATAGTATTTTGGGGAAGGGATTGCAATTACTCGTACCACTACACACCTTTGAATGTCACATTTGCACGGAATGTTCACAAAGAATTCGAGCCATTGAGGCGGCTGTCTCCAATGGCTCACTATTGAACACATTCAAAACCCCCGAAGTCATGAACCAGTTCGATCCAAACATCTCTTTTTCCGATCCATATTGAAGCTCCAAATTTTGAAGAAGTGCCCAGTACCATTTGGGCCATCAATTTCCGATCAACAAGTGCTCCAACAACAGCAAGCAGAGTTCAGTTCTATGTCAGCAAATTTAGTCAAAACTTTGTAACATGGGGATGGGCTAAAAACCTACAAATATAATCACACATACCCCATATTTTGGTGGATGATGGTGGATGAACATCCAGCTATACCAGATCTTTTGATGTCAAAAATAGAGATTCGATGGCTTTTGACCCATGGCCAGCTCAGTTTAAAAAATCAGAGAAAACACATCCGAAAATCAGAAGAGTTCACAATAACATCAGTAAAAGTGAAATTCAGCAAAAAGTCAGAGGCACAAGTTGAAGTTCGACTTGAAAATCGTCTCGTAGTTACTTTGTTAGTGTTTGTTAGTGTGGTCTGGTCTCTCAGGCATGAGATTTGCAGTCGTCTGGACTTGGAAGAAGGCCGCACTGATTGCTCTACCAGTTGGCTGACCGAAGGCATGCGATACCATGCTGACTGGGGCGACTCCGAAGCCTGTCAGGGATCTTAATGGATCATAATGGGGGGGGGGGATCTTAATGGATCATAATAGGGGGGGGGTTTAACATTTAAAAACCAACTTTCCGACCCCTCATTTGGGGTCTGCATGGGGCCGGGCAGTCGCTCTGAAAAAAAAGGGGCGCCTTTTTTGAGTGATGGGCTGCCAAGGAAAATCCCACGGTGGATATCTTCGAGGCTTACATCATGGCGTTCTACACAGGTATCACCATCTTGGTCCATCCACATGCGCATGAGGCAACAGGCACTGGACACTTGCCGTTTGATAAAGATATGGAGGTTTCCTAAAATAGGGCTACCCCAACAGCTGGAGGATTTACAACGGAAAATCTGACTAAAATGGATGATTTGGAGGTACCACTATTTTAGGAAACCTCCAGTTAGAGCGTTTTGTTGTTTTTATTGAAGTATGTCCCAGAAAGAAAAGTACATAAAAAGCATCAAAAAGCGTCCAGAGTGACTCATAGATTACCCTGGATTAGTGGATGATTTTCACTCATCTGTCAGCAAAATGAGTCATTTGACCCCATCTTGGGTCTATTCACCAACGGCTCCAGAGAGGATTTCGTAGTATCATCTATTCTATGAATGAATTGTTCCGGGGGCATGTCTCTCTTGAGTCACAAATTTACTGCTCAAGAAATTTTTGAGTCACGAAAAAGAGCTCAGGAGAGCGTTTGCTCTTCACAATTTTGCTTCTCATTGGTGGATTCATGTGGACGCAAGTCATTAGTAGATCGACAGCCATTGCCTCATCCTTAAATGCTCATCAGCTGGCGCATCAGCAAACCATGGACGATTTGAACAACATCGCCAACAGGTCACTTGACGGAATTTCACGTGGTGCCAAAAAGTTGCAGATGCAGATTGACTATAGTGATAAAGACTTAGATAACTTGAATTGATATTGAGAGTAATAAATGGATATACTGTAAATGGATCTTTGGGATGATGAATAGTGATGATAGATCTTAAATTCGTTTTTGACGACTGGAATGTAATTCTATGTGCGGCTTGTTGTCATGCCCTGGGAGAACGGAGGCAAATCCTGAACAATCTCTGTTCGCTGCAGGCTGAGTTTATCTTTCGATATGAAAGTCCGGCTGCGGAAGTTCTTTTTACGGTCCCAAGCTCAACACGAGTATCAGGCAATGGGGCTGGGACACAGGCAACAATGGACTGATTTCATATGCAGTCAAACCCCATCCAGAAGTGGTTGTACGATTCATGCTATCACATTGAAATGGGTCAAGATGGTCATTCCAGCCTGTTATTACCTAAGTTGCGGTGATTTTAACGTTTTGTATCATGCAATATCAGGTAAACTAACGTAACTATGGAAAATCACAATTTTTAATGGGTGCATCCACTATTTCTATGGTCATTTTCAATAGCTATGTTGACATATCCAGAGGGTAAATCCCATTAATATCCCATTAAATCACTATAAAATCCCATTCAAATCCCATTAAACCACCATTTTATCATATATAATATTCGTATATCTAATATGAGTCTGCTCCCCAACCTTCGGCACCATTTGGTGCAGCATTTGGAGGCACCACCTCGTCACTGGACCCCGTCTAGCGTACCTCAATGTCTACATAATATATATATATATATATTAATATATAATATACATATCATATATATATATATACACATACACTCACACATTATACACAATAATTATATACATATACATACGTATGTATATATATATATATTTCATATTTACATATATATATATATATATTCATTTATATATATTTACATATATTTACATATATATATATACATACATATACATATAGATATAAACATATAAACATATATGTATACATGTATACATGTATACATATATACATATATACATATATACATATACATACATACATAAATACATGTATACATATATACATATATACATGTATACATATATACATATATACCTATATACCTATATACATATATACATACATACAAATATACAAATATATACATAGATGCATATAAACATATAGAAATATCGACACATACACATGTATACATATATACATGTACTATATATAGGCTCGTCCCCGCTCCTGGAACCACATTCGATGGGGTGGGGGGTGGGGTGGGATGTTAACGTTCATGTGAACTTGCAGAAGCAGTTGATGCTACGCACACGCGGGGGGGGAGATGATGATGATGATGATGATGATGATGATGATGATGATGATGACCCTAATGAAACTTGTTAATTCCGCGACTAAATTTCGTCACGGAATGGACAAGTTTTACCAACCTAATTCAGGTTTGCGCGGTTCCAAGAGCGGGGACGAGGCTATATATACATCTACCATACATAACCTGTATATATGTAATATATAAACATTAATATATATTTATATATTTATATGTAATATATGAACATTAATATAAATAAATATTAATATATAAATATTAATATATAAATATTAATATATAAATATTAATCTATATATATTTATATTAATATATAGAACAATTCGATGAAAATACATATATTTATAAATATATATATATATATATATTGAATTATATATATATATATCAACACATGTAAAAATCTATAGAAATATAAATAACACATGTATAAATAGATAAATAAATAAATATATATATATATATACATATACATATATACGTATACATATATGTATATATGCATACATATATACGTATATATATATATATACGTATACATACATACATTCATTCATACATACATACATACATTCATTCAAACATACATACATACATACATACATTCATACATTCATATATTCATACATTCATATATTCATACATTCATACATACATACATACATACATACATACATACATACATACATACATACATACATACATACATACATACATACATACACCACCGAAATATAATACCCAACATTACCCAATAAATATTATATACCTATGTGAAGTGTAGAATATACATTGCTTCATCACTACCTATGTACTCCTTTCACCCGTTGTATACTACCTACACGTGCTCCGTAGCCCGTAGCCAGGCCTGGCAAGAGATCCTGAGTCGGATGTCTCCACAGCTACGTCGGGATACCTACCGTGAGGTCAATGTGCATTGGGTGAAGAAGGCGCGGAGAGGACCGGATGGTGCATTCGGATGGGGATGGGATATGGATGGCCTGGGAGTCGAAGATATTTTTCGAACAGAATTTTCACGGAAAGCCCTGGCATGCTTTTTTCAATGGACGTGGAATCAGGATTGAAATGAACGGTGGCAAGGATTTGGCTTGTCCTTCAATTGTACACCACAGCAAATGCTATCCTTTGGGAATGAGGGAATGAGGGAATGAGGGAATGAGAGGATGAGGAAAAAATGCACAATCAGGCTGGTATTAATTTTAAAGACCCTGAGAGTAGCATGTACTCCTCTTGTTATATTGATGAAAGGCAGCCAGTACTTGATCCTGCAGTTCGGATATGGGTATAACCGGTATAACCATGGTAATAACTGCCATAAGTTGGAATGTAACCATATATAACACTCCAATAGTTGTGGCCCTTGGGCCATCGCCGCATCGATCCAGCATCGCGAGGTGCGTTTCTTTGATGGATGTTCAACCAGTTTTCTTACTGGTATTGCGGAGATCCTGGAAATCAAGATGTTTGCAGAACAGGAGCACTTTGGGCAACTGTTTCATATGCGTCTTGGCTGGTCGGAACTTTCTGGTGAGTCGGAACTGCTGGCTGTGGCTGTCTGAAAAGGCATTTTTTTGAGACCATATTTGTTTTGACTTGGCAACAGTTCTCGGAAAGCGACTTTGTGAAGAGCAAGCCATGATGTTCGCAGTTTTCTTAGTGCAGTCCGTCCAGTCCATGGGTGTTTTATGCCTTGGGCCTCGCCGCTGAGGTACATTATGATGGGTGGCACTGCATCGAGAGTGATCAATTTCAATCTGTTGCTCCCCGGGATGATTTGGGGAGAGGACCATCTGCTTCTCTCCAATCCGGACTTGGTTTGTAGCAACATTGCCGTGGCTTGGAAGCGACAATGTTGAGGGAGTCGGTGAGGCAAACCTTTGCCTTTGCATAGAACCATACACGAAAGATTTGATGTCATCATTAAGATCTTCAATCATCTTCTAGCCATTTTCAGTGGGTTAAAGGGGTTTGTGCCTGAAAATCTGGGCAAACACCCTAAAAATCATGGTTGGAAAGCGCATCTTCCATATGATTCAATGGCAATTTGAGGGGTATCCCCACCCATTTTCAGACAGAGCCTAATCCAACTTTCAATTAGTTACATCCCTATTGTTGATGGTCAATTTCTACATTTTTCATGGTCAAATCCCCCCAAAGGTTGCATGAGTGAATCAGCATGTTTGATGGTGACCTCCCAATTTTTGGTGGGTGCCAAGGTGTCACTGACTGTGGTGGAGGTCCAGGAGCTTTCCAAGGAAGGCTTTGACTCTGTAGCCTCGATAAAATCATCCAGTTGTCATGGATGACCATGAGTTAGGATTGAAACCCGTGGTGACGACTGGGGATCCCCCATTTTTAAGAAACCCCCATATAGAGATTGGTAGCCAGGTAGTTGGACCTACTGGTAGTTAGATATGGGAACATATGTTGGAAAATTCTAAATTTAAAAACTCATGAGATGCAAATTGCAACTTCACGGAAAATGGGAGTCAAGATGGTACACTTTTTCATCTGGAAGTAGTTTTGACAATCTGACTAGATGGTCGTTCTAGTGTGGAAAACATATGATCAACCGCGATTTCCAATTTGCAGCTGTATGGATGTGATATCGGTCAGAATTGCGAAGCCAGTAGATTGCTCAAGGCTCTTAAAAATGACAAGCGGTACTTCATCAAATTCGCTGGCAGTTGTGGATATCCACCCCCTCAAAATACCTCAAATATATATACACGGGAAAACAAGACACATATAATATATAATTAAACTTGTGAGCATATGTATACTTGTGAGCGTATGTATGTATGCAAAGAGGTTCTAAGTGCGAGCACTCGCAAGGGCACAGACATATGTGAGTTCGCATAACATGGGTTCATATATAAAGGTATCTGTGATATGACATATGTATGCTTGTGAGTATATGCATGTATACAAAGAGGTTCTAAGTGTGAGCACTCGCAAGGGCACAGACATAGGTGAGTTCGCACAACACGGAGTCATACACGAAAGTATCTGTAATATGAAATATGTATACTTGTGAGTAATTTTTTAATGTATGTATACAAAGAGGTTCTAAGTGTGAGCACTCGCAAGGGCACAGACATATGTTAGCTTGCACCACACGGAGTCATACACAAAAGTATCTGTAATATGATATATATATATACATACTTGTGTGTAGATGCATGTATATAAAGAGGTTCTAAGTGTGAGCACTTGCAAGGGCACAAACATATGTGAGTTCGCAGAACATAGGTTCATATACAAAAGTATCTATGACATGATATGTGTTTTCTTGTCAATGTATGTACGTATAGAAACAGGGCTTCAAAGTGTGAGCACTTGCCAGGGAAGAGGCATATGTGAGTTCGCACAACATGGGCTCATATACAAAAGTATCTGTGATATGATCTATGTATGCTTGTGAGTATATGCGTGTATACAAAGAGGTTCTAAGTGTGAGCACTCGCAAGGGCACAGACATATGTGAGTTCGCACAACACGGAGTCATATACAAAAGTTTTTGTAATATGAAATATGTGCACCTGTGAATATATGTATGTATACAAAGAGGTTCTAAGTGTGAGCACTCGCAAGGGGCACAAACATATGTGAGTTTGCACGGCATGGGTTTATGTACAAGCATATATATATATTAGTATATATATATACTTGTGTGTGCTTCAAAGTGTGCACTGGCAAGGCAGAGACATATGTGATTTTGCACAACTTGAGTTCATATACAAAAGTATCTATCATACGCTATATGTATACTTGTAGATGAATGTATATATACAAAGAGGTTCTAAGTGTGTGGGTTCGCGTGGGCAGAGACATATGTGAGTTTGCACAACATCGGTTCATATACAAGAGTAGCGATGATATTATACATGTATACTTGTGAATATATGTATGCATACAAGATCATACAAGAGGTTCCAAGTGTGAGTGTGTACAAGGGCAGGAGCATATGCGGTATATGAAATGTTGCATAGAAATGCTATATATTTGGGTTCTAACTGTGGTGATTTCGAGAGGTTCTAACTGTTAGAGTAAGAACCCGGCCAGATGTATAAATCTCGTTTTTCTTTTTTCCAAAAAAGGTTCTAACTCTATGTCCGTCACTATATATGACAAAGAGGTTTGCCCGAGGACAATCAATGACCACAATTACAACTATGATCATATATAATTACCAATATTACCAATTACATAGTTAATCAGTTATATATGGTCAATTACAACTATGATCAATGACCAATTACCCAATAACGTGCAGAAAAAGGTCTACTCAGTTGGGTGTGTTTTTCGATGTCCGAATAATGTGCTGGAAACTCACAGGACTTTTTTCAGTGGAGGAATCTTATAGCGTAGGCAGCGACCCCGACATCTTGGCTCCAGCCAGAATTTCAGACATCTTGGTGACATTTCCCTCAGGTCTTGCAAGACTTCCCCGATCATGCGCAGATCTTGCGTAGGGTGCCTGGGTCATTTTTGTGGTTCACCTGAGTCAACCCCAAACATCCAATGAGTCACAGGGATTACTGTGACAACCCAGTGATAATTTATCCAATATCATCGACGCAGGATTGGTACTGTAATTATTTTCGACAATAGGATTATTCATCATGATTCATCATGAACTCAGGGTGATTCATTCGAATAACTCAGCAAAACAAGGGTTATTAACATGGTTTAACACCATCAAAGTCATCATTCACATCTCTGGATTTATTTTGGTGAAACCACCGTGGGCTTTCACCAGCTGTCTCCACCGGGCACCGGGCATCATGGCATCATGGCTTGTGCCCCGGCTCCTAGGAAGTCGTGAAGTTCATTGTCATCCGTGGCGTCAAGCGATTCGCCCACTTGACTCTCCAGGCCAGAGAGAAACAGGACGGGCTGAACGGCATTGAACGGCTGAACTCATTGTGGGTGATGGAGTTATGTTGGGATATATGTAACATATCTGTATAATTATATAAACATGTGGTTATTTATGTATTATATATATTATACATTATATTATGGGAGGTGAATCCATATATAGAATAAACATATAGACATGGGTTTGTCTGAACATGTGGTATACGGATGTCTACGGTATACCCAGAAATTGTCATTATGACAATCGACAATCAAATTATGGGGTGCTCTATTTTCAGACAAACCCATATGTTAAAATTCGTGGTAACCCCACTCCCCCAGAAAACCTACCTTCTGTCTACTTTTACTGGTATTCACGGTATGTTTTTGCATATTTTTGTCGCGTTAATTTCTAGGCTTCTTTGGGAGATATTTGTGCCTTGGTTTTTGTTTTGGTACCATACATACACCAAAGTGTAGTAAGCAGGATAGTGAGGCTGATTCTTCGTTGCAACTAGGGGTTTGGGGGGAATGCATTCTGAAGGAATGCATTTTCTCCAAATCGATCCAATATATCCTCTAGACTTCAAGACTGGCAAATCTTGGATCTTGGATTGGGGCACGAATGCATTCGGCATTCTTCCCAGAATGCTGAAATTACAGCATCATGGCATTTTCCATTCTTGGCTTCAGCATCGTGGGGAAAGAGGTAGAAAGGCAAGGCAAGTTATTCTCAAGTAGTGTTGTCCTTTCCGAGGGTGGCACTACTGCATCTATTGAAGGATGCTAGTTGATACCAAAGTTACATTTTCTCAAAGACATATAAAACTATTTTCCAGAAATGTCTAATTCGTTTTACTGCTACGCTACAAATTACACTTGTTTGAGAATACAATACTATTTGAAGAGAGTACTGCATCCATTTAAGGATGGTCTTTGAAAGCAAAAGTCTTTAAAAGTACTACTGCATCTATTGAAGCATTCTATTGCAACGCGCTAAGTTACATTTTCTCAAAGGAATGCCCTGCCATTTTCAAGATACGCGTAATTCTTTTCAATGGAACATTTCAAACTATCATTTGTTTAATCTACTACTGCTTCAAACGAGTACTGTATACAGGAAAACAACTTTATCGTTAAAGTAGTGCTGTGCTCTTTATTTTAAAGGAGCTTCTCAAATGTTTGTTGACTTTTTCCAAGAAGTACTACAGCTTTCAAAGACTCGTTCAAAGTAGTGCTGCATCTATTGAAGGATGCTGGTTTAACACAGTGGTACATTTCTCAAAGACATGTTGCACTGTTTCCAAGAAATGTGTCACTCTTTGTACTGAAACATTGCAAAAAGTGATGCTACGCTACTACATTTGTTTAAAAAGAACACCATACTATTTCAAGAGAGTACTGAATCCATCCAAGAAGGTTCTTTCAGAAAGTATTACTGCACCTATTGAAGCATTCTTCGACAAAGCGGTGTTATTTTTTTAGTGCTTTTTTTTGTTGTTCTGTGTTTCCAAATGCTTTTGCATTTTTGAAGGCACGTGGCCAAAACCTCGAGAAAAGGGACCATGTAGTGGAACTGCCACCTTTCAGACTTTCCAAGCCAGTTAGTCTTTGCTGCATCTCTTCCAAGCCATTCATTAACTTACTTTATATTCTTTCGGATTTACTCTCCTATTCACTGGACGCTTGCTGGCGGGCCGGTTCAAAGTTCAACCCTTTGCTCACCTCTTTGCTATTGCCTCCGCGCCCCTTCCCAGTAGGTCTATCTACCAAAGGAACTCCCCGTGAGGTTTTCGTTCTTCCGCACTTTCTCTGAAGCCTCTGGGAGTAAAACTGATTCACCACTTAGCTGCACAGGCACTGATGTTGAAGACTGTGAGGGATTTTTTTGGGCTCAAAACCCTCAACGATTCAGTTTTTTTTCAACTAAACATGCCCTCAATAGTTGCATGTCCATGAGCCAACAATTAGTTTATCATAAGTTTTCCCCATGGATTGTTGAAAGAACGTGATCAAATTTTGGCACTAGAAAAAAAACATCGATCAAACTGACTGCTGTGGAGAGTCCTGTGGAGATTTCGTTGCGCAGGAGGGACTTACAAGATCTCCGACTGCAAGTCCTGCCTCTGCATGGAACAAGCGTTTGAGTGGGGATGACACCGAGAAAAGTGCGACAAGTCCAGAATTGAATCATGGCGAAACTCTGGAGCTGGATGGAAATGCTCAAAGCGTCATCGATGGTGCCAGACTGATCAGCATGCAACTTCGATCTGTGGCAATTCAGAAACCTTTTCAGAAAAGCATTTTTCGCCTCAACTCTGACGCCCAGAGGCTAAATCATGACATTTAAAGATTGAGTCACCAAGCTGTGTCGTTCTGAGAATGTGGACCTACCAGAGTCAGCAAAAAACCTGTTCGTTTCTAGTGTTTTTGGTCTGGGCTGTGTTTGAGACCCCCGCCTTTCGACATCAGACATCCCAAAGTATCTTGAAACCGAAGTAACAGTTGTACAAAGGGTCTAATGATCTTCGACACCTTAGCATCTGCCATAGCTGCGGAACAGGTCCCACACAAATTCCCAGCTCCCAAATATGCGGAACAGGTCATATGGATTCTCACATATTCATTCTCATCGCCGAGGCAATACAATGCTGCAAAACACCGCTTCAGCAAAGACCTGGCAAAGATACCAATATCATCCCAGTCAATCTCTGGCGGATCAAAGCTGAGAAGCGAGTTTCGGAGGAGTCAAGTGAAGCGAGAATCGCAGGTGCCGCAGGTGAAATGGCTGGGGCTGGAGTTGTGAGGAGAAATCACTGGGAAGTCATTGCACAATATGTTGAACACATGGATGACGATGTGATCATGGCAGTCACAAAACTATAAGACACAGACAGCTATTTAATCGGTTCAGTATCTCAGGGAGGAAACAGGTCGGTGATTCATCTGGTACTTCTTTAGCCAATTCACCACCCCTTTTTTATCTGGGAAGTTGGGACCAAGCTTGTTGGACAGATTCTTTGAAGTTGAACTTGACCTTCACTCTATCTAGAATCTAGAACAGTTTCAGTGCGGCTATCTGCCGCCAATGACTCACCAGACTCACCAGACTCACCAGACATCAGTGGTAATGATCAGCCATCCGCAATTGAGCTATTCGAAGACTTTCGAAGGAAGTTTACAAGTCTAACTTCTTAAAATATGGACAGATGCAGCAACAGTGGGGAGGGCAGCTCGCTAAAGCGGTGGGTGCGGAGCCATCTGGGGGAGGAGATGAAAGATGAAAAATTGCACACCGTTGTGGCGCAAAGCAGATTTCGAAGTCAAAAGTGTTAAAAACTGACGGGTTTGAAGCACTGTTGGGAGTGGAGATGTTGCCAAAGTGGACGCCGTTGTGGCGCAAAGCATATTTTCAAGTCAAAACGCGCAAAACACCTCATGCTCGGAGCACTTTTGGAAGTTGAGAGGTTGAAAAGGCGCACGCCCTTGCGGCGCCAAGCACGTTTGGAAGTCAAAAGTGTCAAAAACTGACGGGTTCGGAGCAATTCTGGACGTTGAGATGTGGAAAAAGTGCACGCCGATGTGGCACGAAGCACATTTGCAAGTCAAAAGCGTTAAAAACTACGGTCTTCGACCACTTTTGGGCGTTGAGATGTTGAAAAAGTGCACGCCGTTGTGGCGCCAAGCACATTTGCAAGTCAAAAGCGCCAAAGACTCACGACTTCTGGACGTTGAAATGCCCAAAAAGTGCACGCCCTTGTGGCGAGAAGCACGTTCGCAAGTTAAAAGTGTTCAAAACTGACAGTCTCAGTCTCAGGCCACTTTTGGACGTTAAGAGGCTGAAAACGTGCACGCAACTGCAACTCCAACTCCAACTACACTACGCAACATCAGGCTACAACTACACAACACAACACCAGACTACAACTACGCTACACTACACTACACTACACCGCACCACACCACACCACACTACACTACACCCACACCTGCACCTACACCTACAACGACAACTACACTACAACTACAAGTGCAACTACAAGCGCAACTGCAACTTTAACTTCATTACGCTACACTAGTCTTCAACTACACTACATTACATCTACGACTACAACTACAAATGCAACTGAAACTTCAACTCCAACTACACTACACTACACCGGTCCTGCGACGAAAACCACAACTACAACTACACTAGACTACAACATACTACAACTACATTGCACTACACTGGACTGCACTAGACTACGCTGCACTACAACTACAACTACACATACAGCTACAACTACAACTACAACTAACTGCAGTTACAACTACACCTACACCTACAGCTACAACTACAACTAACTACAATTACAATTACAACTACATTACCCTCCACTACAACAACAACGACAACAACAGCACCAGCAACACCACCACCAACAACAGCAGCAGCAACAACAGCAGCAGCAACAACAACAGCAACAAAAACTGCAACTGCAACTGCAGCTATAACTATAACTACAACTGCGCTACAACTACGGCTAGAACTACAACTACACTACACTAGAGATGGATGGATGGTTGGTTGGTTGGATGGATGGATGGATGGATGGATGGAGAGACGCAGAGAGAAGGCGACAGGACAGAAGAGTGAGAGAGAGAGAGAGAGAGAGAGAGAGAAAGAGAGAAAGAGAGAGAGAGAGTTTTGATCCATCAGTGGGTTCCATGCATCACAGCGACTCACCTCTGGTATAGTTTCCTATCTTTGAAACTTCCACCACCGCCTTGTGCGGAACTATTGGTAAAATTATGTTACTTAGAGTGGTCCCCACCCTGACATATGGTTTATTCTGACAGAGTTTCTGACATATCATCTGGAAATACATATGCATATAGGCAAACATATTCTGGCATTCTATCTGACATTCTTTCTGACATATATTCTGAGATTTTTGTGGCATTCTGTCTGGCATTCTTTGTAGCATTCTTTCTGACATTCTTTCCGACAGTCTTTCCGGCATTCTATCTGGTATTTACTTTGACATGTCTATTTGGCATTCTATGGATAACTTTTGACATTTTTGTGGCATTCTGTCTGACAGTCTTTCTGGCATGTGTTCTGACATTCTTTCTGGCATCTATTCTAGCATTCTATTTGTCATATTTTCTGGCATTCATTCTGGCATGATGTCTCGCGTCGATACTGACACTCTCTGTGGCATCCTGTCCGGCGTCTGTTCTGACTCTCTCTGGCAGGTATTCTGACATTCTTTCTGACATGTGTACGGGTCCGTGCCCAGCCTGATCTGGAGCTTGCGATAGGGTTTGGGTCTGTGCGTGGTTAGAGTGATCTGGAGCTCGCGATAGGGTTCGGGTTCGGGTCCGTGCGTGCCCAGACTGCACTACAGCTCGCCATGAGCTTCTGGAGCAAGCTTACATCACTTGAGCTGGTCCGCTGGTGCCCACAGTGGCGGCGAACTGGCACAAGGAGGACGTGAGTGGAGGAGTTCCACCTTTGATAAAACCTAGAGACCCTCACCTGGCAGGCGGGGAAAATACCATTGTCGATTGGTTATGATAGAGAAGTAAGTAGATTACCTGATTCAATGAGGATTCTTGTAGCATTGGAGGGGTTACTGATGGTGGGTTTACCACAGCCTCCAGCTTGGACCGGGATGGCCTTGTGGGGGTCCCTGAAATTTACCCCATATTGATGATATTCTCGTCAGAAAATGCAGAAACATCCCACAAAATCACAAAGATCCATAAAAGAACCCCCCACACACACACACACGTTCATAAGTATCTATTTATAACATATCTCATATCCCATAAAGATCCATGAAGTATCCATAGAATATCCATATATACATTGGTATTCCATATGAAAACAGGTAGAAAGTCCTAGCGACAATTTGGAGTATCACCGCACGACCCGTAACTGACGAGTTTTGTAGGACCGCATTTTCATGGCTTATATACTCTCACCAGGGCTACAGAAATAGGGTTCTTAACCAGGCATGATCTGTGGGATCCAGGGTTATTAACCAGTACTCGTAATTCAATGTTATACCAAACGGGGAGGAAGGCCGCCAACGGGCCTAGACACCAGAAGTCAAACACCTGTGTTTCTTCCACTAGCATTGTGTTCCCGGGTTTTTACAAACGGGGGCTTTATGCGTCTTTCTACCTCCATGTTGTCACTTCCTCCTCTGGGCCCTCTTCAGATTCAGTGCGCGCGCATCCCCCTAACCTTGATTTTGAAACCAGAGGCAACCTGTTGATTTTCACTGATTTTCAGCTACCTCTCCTTTTCCTTTCCTCTCGTCTCCCCTTCTTCCACATCTTCCACTCCTCTGAGCCTCTCCTCCCCAAACCTCCAAAAATCACAAAAAATGGACGGGCACCGCCTCGCTGAAGGCAGTCAGTTGTGCTGTTTGGGAAGGTTTGGAAGCGAGAAGAGAGGAACTTATTGAAAAGTAGCCAGGACTCAACTCACCACTCTCTAGAAGTGATAGGCTTCTGCAGGCACAGGTTTGGCATGGCTTTGGATTAAGGTTTCAAATGAAAAACGGTGGCCGAAATGCATGGCTGGGACAACTAAAAGACACCCTGCCCCCCTTCCCCTCCCCTTAGGTCCAGGGGGGTGCGTGCGCGCAAGGCCGCTCTGAAAATGGAGTTTCGAATTCCAGCAAACATGGTTTCTCTGAACAGGACCCTCGCAGTATATATATATATTATAATGATATATATATATACACACTACATATATAATATGATGCATTTTTGTTAATGAACCCTAGGTTTCAAGCATGGATTTTGCCTTTCTTCACAGGGCAAGAGGAAACCGATTCACGATGCGGGGACGGCGGCGGCTGTTGCATGGTATTCTCCCATGGATGCCGCAGCTGCAGCGGCTTGGCGGGGCCCCTGGGGACATGGGGATTTAACCATGGGGACATCAGAAAAACACCTCCGGTAAACGTTTACATAACTATGGAAAATCACCATTTTTAATGGGAAATCCACTATAATAAATGGCAATTTTCAATAGCAAACTGTTGACATAACTAGAGGGTAAACATCTAACATGGAGATTTTTCACTTGATTCAACCATCTTTCTGAAAGATTTTTCACTGATTTAACCTTGAAATTCTGGTATTGTCAAAAGGGGGTCGGGAGACCACCTTTTTATTTGTTTCATTTTTTCCAGAAAATGGAGAAAATGGTGATGAACCATTGCATGGAATGGCTCAAGCCAATCTGGATCAGTTTGCCAAAGCCACAGCTTGAGGCGACTGCTGCTGCAGTTCAAGCAGCTGATTCTACACTTGGAGAAACTTCACAGCATGTTTTTTTCTGTTTATGGTGGTTTAAAGCCAACAAAATTGGTGGATCAACCACAATGGGTATCATGGGGGTATCATCCAATGTTATGGGGGCTTCGCCGTGGCTATGTCCCATAAGCATCATGGGCCTGTTGTACGAGTGTGTCCCAAAATAGGGGCACCCCCAAATCAACAAAAATCAAACTATTGAGTGCTGAAACAGCCGTAGGTTTAGGTTACCACCCAATTTACTGTAGTACCTGATTCTGGTTGATCTTGGAAGTTTAAGGGTGTCCCAACAACAGTCACCCCCCACCAAATAAGACTTTCTCGAAACACCGCGATGAACCATCATGAAGCCCAACAACAGGAGCAACCATTAGATCATTAAGCCCCTATTTTCATGGGCTACCATTGGAGGGTGTTACCTTTAAAGTGGCGATAATCAGGGATCCCATGATGATTTTAAACCACAATTTTTCTTTTGAGGGAAACTCTACAGAGAACCCCACCGTCCCGAATAAAAAAATTGTGTGGTTGGACCATCGATTTTCCCACGACGGTAAATCATCGATCAGGAGAAATTCACAGATTGGAACATGCGCCAAGACGAGTTGGAAGAGAGCGTCTTCTCCCGCCTGGACGAACTCAGTGAGTCACTCGGCGCCCTTTTGAAACCCAGGGGATAGATCGGGATAGAACATGGGATATCAATGATCATTGAATCTGGTTGGTGGTTTGGAACATTTTTTATTTTTCCATATATTGGAATAATCATCCCAACTGACTAATTATTTTTCAGAGGGGTAGGTATACCACCAACCAGAACACCAACTGAGTCCTGTAGAAACCACCTAGGGCCTAGGATCGGTCCATGTTTGAACTCTGAAGGGTAAAAAACTCAAACCGTTTCAAAACACGTTGAGAAAAACATGAACCCCAAAACATAGAAACATGTTTGGACATAGGTGTTGGACCGTTTAAACATAAACAATGCATGTCATGAGGGGTTTGAAACTACTAGAGCCAACCGGGTTCTGGAATCCGTTCAAACTTGTTGAATGCTTCAACAGCTTATAAACCTTTGCCAGCCATCGAGGGGTGTTCTATGCTCAGTGTTGATCGGATTGTGTAATCCGTTTCGACCGTTTATATAAAGACACAATTCAAACAGATTTGACATCCTCCAGCGATTAGCGAGCGCCTCGTTTGCGGTGGTGATTGGAGTTTGCAATCTGATGAAACATGTTTTAACACAATGATAAACTCGTTTCGACATTTCCAGCAATCAGGAAAATTCTTAACCAGTCAATTCGTTCAATCCGTTTAATAATTAAGGAGCCCGGCCATGCCCGGCCCAACCCAACATCAATGGGAATATGGGTGCTGGAGTGCAAGTGCAATGACACGCACAAATCATGAGAAGTATATCTATCCAATTTTGAAGGCCTTTATTGATCAAGCTGATGGAAAAAGGAACCGCCGTTCCACAGGGTTATGAGCCCAAAGCCATGGAAAGATCTAGTTCATTGCCCCCGAACCCATTTTGGAGTGAGAAAGCCCAGATGGAGCATAGGTTGATGGAAAGTAGACCTGAAGAACTGCCAATTCCAGATGATGAAGAGGGTGTAAGTGAAGGGGAGGGTAAAGCGAATAGCCCGGAACCCCTTGAAGATGTCAAAGCCCCGAAGTCAAAGGAAGCAGAAGGTCCAAAGCCAGGCAAACAACCTAGCAGGGAAGCAATGACAAGGAAGAGGTCTCGAAGTGCGCCGAGGAGCCGGAAAGAGAAGTTTGAGGAAGATCAAGATGATCAAGGGTCGAAGTTTCACACCCCAGCCAGTTGGGAGAACCCAACGGGGAAGGGAAGGGGTGGGGGGACTAGTGGTGGCAGGGAAATCCAAAGGAGCACGGGGAGGGTGGAAGCCAAAGAGGAGTTGGCAAGTCAATTGCAGCAAGACATTGAAAGGGCAATGTTTGCGCAACTTCGACAAGAAAAGGAAGAGCTCCAGCAGCAGGTTAGCAGGCTGGAAGCCAAGCTGCAACAGCAGGGCAAGCACAAAGCCAGACGCAGCACCCCGCAGTGTGCACCTGAGGAGCCCACACTGCAATCAAAGACACCACCCCACAGCACCCCGCAGTGTGCACCTGAGGAGCCCGCACTGCACCCCAAGACACCGCCCTATGGCAGAAAGCAGTGTGCACCTGAGGAGCCCACACTGCCACCGAAGACACCACCCCGCGGCACCCCAATGTTGACACCAATGTCACCCTCACAAGCTCCAAGATACACCCCAGGAGGGACCAGAGTCCCGTCAGGTCCACCCCCAGAGGACCTGCCCCCATTGCCGGACTGGCCGGAGTCCTTCGGCTTCTATGAGATGCATGAGGATGAAGGTAGGAGGAGGGGATGCAGGGATGAAAGGAGGTGGACACCAACAATTCTGCGTCAAGGAGAGCGGAATGAGGAGTGGCACCATCGTGGCAGACAGAGCCGCGGGAGATGGGCAGCAGCAAAGCCAACAACATACAGGGAAGACGCATTGAGGATGCACCAACACCAACAGATAAGGATAAAAAGAAGGGTGAAAGATGTTGAGGACTTCCAACATGCAGAGCACTGCATGGACAGCTCAAGTGAAGAAGCAGCACAGGAACGAGCAGAGAGGAGGCGCTATTGGCAAGCTCCAGTTTTGAAGGAAGAAGACACAAGGTCAGCAAGAGGAGCCGAAGTAGCCTCACTGATGAAGCAAGCAGCACAAGGCATGGGTCAGAAGATGTATACCCAGAGCGAGGTGGATAAGATGATGCGAGAATTTGAGGAGACAAGAAAGGCAGAAGAAGAGCGCACAAGGAGAGGTGAAAGAGGCGATGAAGGACTGAGGAGCTTTCAGGTGACGTTGCCTCCTCTCCCAGAGCCACAAGTGCACAACGCATCACTTGAAGCAGGAGACTGGTTAACCCAGATCAAGCCACTTATCTCAGATGTCAGTGTGCATGCATCTGAGTGGTGGGAGGCGGTGTTGAAGGAGACAGACAAGCAATACCAGCAGTGGCTAACAGCAGCCCCCCTGGACAAGCTCAAAGTGACCCCGCCAAACACAGAACAGTTAGTGCAAGGGCATGAAAGGTTGGCACAGAGGATTGCCGTCCTTCTCATGCAAGCACTGCCCCCAGGTCTGCGCCAAGAGATGGTGTCAGCAAGACAAATGGATGCCCCCAACATCCTATTTCGCATCTACAAAACATACCAGCCAGGTGGGTTAGCAGAGCGGAGGCACACCCTCAGCCAACTCACCAACACAGCTACAGCAGCCACCCCGACAGAAGCAGTGGCATCACTCCGGTTGTGGAGGAGACAAGCACAAAGAGCAACAGAACTGAAAGCTACCATGCCTGATGCCGTACTGCAAGTACGTGCACTCACAGCCATCATGGAAGGCCTCTTAGCGAAAGATTCACAGGCATCCTTTCGCGTCAGCTCACACCGCATGGCCAATGGGATTGACGTAGCACCCACGGAGGAGGATATTGGGTTGTTCTACGACCTTCTCTTGGCAGAAGCAGAGCACATGGTGACAAGCACAGCAACACAGGCAGACCTGGGAACAAGTGACAACAAACCCCAGGTCAAAGCATTGCAACAACAATACACCCACAAACCAAAGGAAGCTCCATGCAAGTATTGGAGCCAAGAAGGAGGCTGTAGAGCAGGCAGAGCATGCAGGTTCCAACACGACTGGCAGAACATCACTGACAAACAAGATCGCTGCTGGCTGTGTGCAAGCAAGCACCATCGCAAACATGAATGTCCCACCCTGACCAAAGAAGGACAGCCGCCGACAGCGGCAGGGGGGAGTACAAGCGATGGGAAGATGATGGACGGAGGTGGTAAAGCCAAAGGTAAAGGCAAAACCAAAGGAAAGACCTTCGGACAAAGTGCAAATGCCAAAGGAGAGGGCAAAAGCACAGAAGGCAAAGAAGAAAAGGTTGAAGGCAAGGAAGAAGGAGACACGAAGCCAAGTGTCAAAGCGGAAAGGCCAGTAACAAGCCCTAAGGAAGAAGCCACGGGCAACACAGGCAATCAAGAAGCACTGATGTCTGAAGTTACAAGCCTGCTCAGGTCAATCAGAGTTCAAGCAAGCGAACCAGCAGTCAAAGCAGTGCAACTGAGGAGCATCTATGAAGCAGGCATACATGCACATACCCTCATAGATGGAGGGGCAACACATTGCCTCCGCCAACGAAAGACACAGGAGGAGTGGGCACAGGCAAGCCCAGTGAGTGTCAAGTTAGCAGCAGGAGAAACACAGATGAGACAGTGTAGTGACACCACAACACTCCTAGTTGAAGAACCAGTACAAGCAATTATCCCAGTGGCCAAGGTCATTGACTTGGGATACGTGGTGCACTGGGATCGAGATGCGTGTCGGATAGAGCATGTCCGACATGGAAGGATCCCAGTCGAGATGAGCCAAGGTTGCCCAACAGTACCCCGAGAGTGGGGGGAGAAGCTCATGGAAGAGGTTGAAGAAGCCGAGCGAAAGAAGGGGCGACTGAGAGCCATTATGAAGCTAGATGTGCTGGCAGAAGATGAACATGAAAAGCGCATCGCCGAGTTGAAGGCAACGTTCCCACAGGTGCCAATCAGGATCTTAGAAAGGATCCCGGGGGAGAAGGAGTGGGACCCAGACCAAGTCCCATTCAACAGGCAAAAAAGGAGGCAAATTGAACAGGCCAAGATGATAGTGATCAACATGTGTTCTGGCCCCAACACAGAAAGATGGAAGGAAGTCGAGAAGAAACAAGGGGTCGTGGTTCTCAACTTAGATGTGTTGTTGGGAGTCAACGTGATGGATCCACATGTTGGAGGATGGCTGGAAAGCCTGATCGCCACAGGCAAGGTGGTGTTCTGGACAGCAGGTCCGCCATGCCGAACAGTGTCATTCTGCCGTCAACGAGGATTAGTAGACGGTGGGCCCAAGCCCGTACGAGCAAGAGAAGGACCCCTGAGGTTTGGGTTACCCAACATAACAGCAAGCATGCAAGAGCAAGCAGACCACGACACAGCATTGTGGCTGAAGAACTTGTGGTACATGAAATTGGTCAAGCAGGCCAACCCGCAAGCAGAAGTCATGGTCGAACAGCCCCGCGACCCGGCAGAATGGCAAACCCAAGTTCAGGATTGCCCCACCTTTTTGGTGTGGCCAGAAACGGCGCAGGTTATGAAGGATCTGCAACTTACACCAGTCAAGTTTTGCCAAGGAAGCATGGGACACCCTACAGCAAAACCTACTACAATCCTCACAGACGTGCGGGAATTACAGCACCTGCAAGACACACCAACAGGAGCACACAGCAAGCAATGGCCAGAAGACTTGAGGAGCCGAGTGGCCATGTCCAAGACACTTGCAGCATGGGCGCCTGGACTGGTGGAAGTGATCAAGATAGCCATGAAAAGAAAGGTGGAGGAAAGTCCAGGACTGAAAGCCATCAGTGCCAAGGAAAGGGAAGCCATCCGAGAGTGGCGAACCCACGTGGATATGAACCACATGCCGTATCGCAAGGATTGCGGTATATGTGTGGAAGCCATGGGCAAGGATCGCCCACACAGGAGGCAAAGAAATCCAGCCCCCTTCACACTGTCATTGGACATTGGTGGTCCATTCGTAGAAGGAGTGGACCAAGTGAATTACCACAAACCCAAGTATATCCTCATTGGTGTGATGACAATACCAATGTGGAAAGGTCGACCAATGGTGGAGGGCTTGAGAAAGTTGGGAGGCGATGAAGAGCCTATGGAGGAGTTGCCTCGGCCACCTGAGGAGAGTGAAGTAGTTCTCTCAGGAGAACTTGAGGAGGAGGACGGAGCAGAACCCAGCAGTCCCCAGCAAGAAGCCCCCGGCAACCCCCAGCAAGATGCAGCCCCCGGCAGCCCCCAAGCACCAGCAGACTCAGATGACCTGGACCCGTTCCAGGGTCAAGATGATAGACAAGCCGAAGAATCTGAAGCCCGCATCAAAGACTTGGATGCACAGAACCAGAAGTGGAAGGAGTTCATGGGAGGAGGCACCGACTTCACAGTCAAGTCCCTCACCATGGCGGTGCCCATCCGAGCTCGGAGGGCCAAGGTAGCAATCAAAGGCTTGGCTCAGATTGTGGCCAGGCTAAGGGCCATGCACATCCCCATCACACGCATCCACACAGATCGTGCCCAAGAATTTTGTGGCAAGGAGTTCCAGCAGTGGCTGGAAAACAGAGACTTATGGCACACAACAACAGCAGGCGACGAGCCATCAGCCAATGCCCGAGCAGAAAACCATCTTAAACTGCTCAAAGGCCGTACACGCACACTGATGAAGACGGCACAATGTGAGTTGACTTACTGGCCATTGGCGCTCAGGTATGCGTCGGAGGAGAGGTTCAGAAGTCAGCTCAGAGAGTGTGGTGTACCGGCACCCCCCATGTTGCCATTTGGCATCCGAGGGTATGCGAAGAAGAAGGCATGGCAGGACAAACACGCCATGTGGCGAGCACCAATGATGGGCGTTAGAGTGTGGGGCCCTGCATGCGACATGAGCATGACAAGCAAAGGATACTTCCTGCAGGTGGAAGGTACCAACCAGTTTATGAGATCCACAGTGATCATCATCCCCAAGCAATCCCCAACGGTGCTTGATCCCGTCAATGGAGGAGCCCCGGGAGCACCACATCCACAACAACACGCAGGTGTTGTTGAACCCCCACAGGCAAATGCAGGAGTTGATGAAGCGCTCCTTTACTCCCCATCCCTGGGCCCTGATGACATCGATCATCCAGGAGACCTCCTGGATGACAACCCCAACCCGGGGGAGCTTGAACTAGCCCCCCATGACCCCCCAAGAAGACGGGTCAATGGCAAAAAAGGCCCCCAGTTCTATGATGGACGGCCCTTTGAACCAACTTTGCGGCATCTCAAAGTCGGGGGGGAGTGGGAGGAAGAAGAGGAGTGGAGGCAATGGTACAAGCAATGGAGGAGGTGCAACAAAGCAAAAGATTTGGCGGTGATGGAACATGATGGTCTAGTGACGTGGATCAAAGAAGAAAGACAAACAGCAAGGGATCCACAAACACTACAGGTGATGTTGGAAGCTGAACAGAAGCTCAACCAACTTGAAGCAACATTGGAGCGTGAAGCAAAAATCAGCAAGGTCAGCCTGGAACAGGAAGCTGAAGAAGAGGTGCTCCAAACAAGAGTGATCCCGTTAGAGGAAGTGAAACGGGACATGGCAAGTTGGAAGCCCGTGTTTCAGAAGGAATATGATGCATTGGTGGCTGGGCCGGTTACTCCCATCTTTGAAAAGGAATGGAGAGAGATGGAAAGACAAGAAGTGCCGGTAGAAGTGTTACCAGCCAAAGCAATTGCATCAAAGAAACCACCCAACCGAAAGAAAGGTAGAGTGGTGGTGTGTGGAAACTTCACAGAAGACAGAGATGGACAAGATGTGTCAGTAGGTGGAGTGTGTGCCATGGCAGTAAGAGGAATGGTCCATGTCGCCACATGCAAACAATGGGCCATAGGATCCATTGATGTGACAGGGGCATTCCTACAAGCACCTAGAAGGCAGAAAGCAACAACAAGCATAGTTCAGCCACCACGACTGCTCCACCAGTTGGGCATCACAAAAACAGACGAAAGATGGCGCGTAAACTGCGCACTCTACGGGTTTGTTGAAAGCCCAGCAGATTGGGCGGCGTGTCGTGATACAGAGCTAAAAAAAATGACTTGGGAAGAAGGTGATTGGTTTTATTGGCTAGAGAGAAGTCCAGAACAGCACCTATGGAAGGTCAAGAAGGCGAAGAAAATGCAGAAGGAAGGAGAACAAGGCGCCACAGCAGGCTGGATAGCTGTGTACGTGGATGACTTTCTGGTCACAATGCCAACCACAGAGATTGCAGCAGCATTCCGCAGAATCAAAGAAACATGGAAATGCTCAGAAGAGGAGTATGTGGTTCAAGAACATGCGATGAGGTTCTGCGGATATGAATTGAGGAAAAGAGAAGATGGAGGAATGGAGCTCACCCAAGAAGGGTACATCACCGACATCCTACAGAAGTATGGAGTCAGCAGCACCGAGAACACACCAGTACCTAAGTTTGAGGATGCGGAGGATGAACAAGAGCCTCCCATTGCCATCATCAAGGAGGCACAGGCTTTGTGCGGAGAACTGCTATGGATTGCTGGCCGAACTAGGCCGGACGTGGCTTATGGAGTAGGGTTGATGAGTCGGCTTATACACCGGCGGCCTACTCTAGTGGTTCAAATTGGCCACCATATGCTGCGCTACCTTCACGGCTCTAGCCACTTGGGCCTAGTGTACAAGCCGGTGAAGGAAACTGAAGAGGAGTGGAAAAGATTGAAAGTTCTTGCGGACACATCGTTCGCACCACCCCATGAGAAATATCGGTCAGTGCAGGCAGTAGTGGTGGAGCATGGAACAAACATCCTAGCATGGCAGAGTGCTAGACAAGCATTCATCACGCATAGCACAGCAGAAGCAGAACTGGTAGGGTATAGCGAGGCGTTTCAAATTGGAGAAGCGACGTCAGCTTTGCTCCAAGTGCTTGAGATTTGTGCTTCAAAGAGTTTGATAGGAGATTCAAAAGCAGCACTAGCACAGCTCCTGGGTGACACAGGACCTTGGCGCACGAGGCATTTGCGGCTGAGATCAGCCAAACTTCGAGAAGCTCTTCGTGGTCCAGGTGCAGAGTGGGCGGCAGAACACTGTCCCGGGGGAGAGCTAGTAGCTGATGGGTTGACTAAAAGACTCGAAGGAAGCGCATTCCAAAAGTTTGTCAGCATGCTGCGGATGAAACCTGAGAGAAAGAATCATGTGTCACAGCAAGAACCAAGAGTAGCAAAATTAGAAGGGTTTCCGTCTCACCAAGTACTAATCAACGCATGCCTGGTAGCAGCAGTAGCATTAATCCAAACTGATGTAGTCACGGCAGGATTGTTGCTGTTGGTAGGGTATGTATTGAGGGAGGTGGTGGGAAGAACTACAAAAGACCCGGAAAAAGACCGCAAGATCCCAAAAAGAACTCGTGGAGGAAAAAGGGACACCATGTATGGGTCAGACTGGAGCGGCACAGTCACCCCTAATGCGGGCACGGGCATACCGCACTTAGGAAATGATCCACGGGATCAACTAGGTGTAGGAGGGTTTCAGCCACGCATTTGTGCGTTGCGTCCGGACGGGCAAAGCCATGGAAGAAGAGGTGGCATAGCCGATCGGGGTCGAGCTGCAATGCCGTTGTTGAATCAGAGAAGACAAGCAGCTGCAGAGTTATCGGTGCCGTCACCGGCCAGCAACCACAGTGAAGAGCTGGAAATCGGACATGAATTGCAATCAGTGCAGGAATTGCAATCAATGCTTGCGAGCCTGGAACTGCAACCTGAGCCTGAACGGGAGAACCCGTCTGGGAGTGGTAGTGCAGAACAGCCATCGAATGAATCGCATGAACAGAGACAAGAGGAAGCAGCCGAACCGTGGTTGCTGCCCCAGTTTCAGACCATCCAGCGCTCCAGCAAGGACCAGTGGAATTTCACCCTGTGGGATCAGGGTTGGGCCATCAGAGAACATCGAAAGCATCGAGTTCGTGCTTTCCATCCAGTTCATTCATCCACACCTTTTGACTGTGCAATCCTGGATAGTGAGAGAGTCACTAGAAAAGTTTGCCCACGAGAAGAAATAGTCACGGATCAGTGGACAGCTGCCAACGCGTGGCGTGGAGAGGCATGGATGGGATACACATTTTTTCGGCTGAGTGCTGAATGTGAGGGATTCGAAGTAATTAGGCCTTGAGCTAGAGAGTTTTCGCTCCCACGAAAACGGGGGAGTGCTGGAGTGCAAGTGCAATGACACGCACAAATCATGAGAAGTATATCTATCCAATTTTGAAGGCCTTTATTGATCAAGCTGATGGAAAAAGGAACCGCCGTTCCACAGATGGGAATGTCTAAGAATGGAGCATACTCAACGCAACAGTTGTGCTTTTATGGTGAAGATCATGATAAGCTACTGGATTTTTTGGGGCACCCTACTTTCAGACAAACTCCAATATAGTGAAATTACACAAAAAAAACAACCACCAACAATATGATATTGGTACGTCCTGAAATGGACTGTATACCGTATAGGGTAATTATTATAACTTATAACCCCCAAACAAATGACCGGCAAAAAGGGAGCCGCAAGGCTTCAAAATCCACATTCTTGACGAATAGAGGCCGAATTTGGTTATATGAAAACTCAACATGTACCATGTATCAGGGAGGTCTTTCCTAAGACTTGCTCATAATCTCAAACATTTTTGGAGACATTCAGATGTCCTGCCAGGCAAGTTTACAGTATTCATGAGCCTTGGCTGACAATAATTGTGGGTCCTTGGGGTCCTTGGCAGGGCCTTGCTGCAGTTAAAATTTTCTGGTTTCCCCACTGGTGGGCCCACATTTCACCCAACTGTAGCGGCAGGAAATGCTTGAGGAACAGCAGGCCAGGTGGGATTCAGTCGCCGGGTTTAGGCTTTGTCGTGGGTTTAGGCTAGCGCTTGTCACAAAGTTTTGCAGGTGAAGCAGGACCTCAGAAGCAGTATGATTCGTTCAAGCATCAAATGCAACACACCAGACACTCCACAGGCTCAAACATGACTGGTTGGTTTTGGGGGTTCAATGTTGGTAATTATCCCAGCACCATAGAGCATCAGACACGTTTTGAAGGAGCTCATGTTATTTTTCAAGCAGAAGATGGCCCAAGAAAGTCTACGAGAAGAAGTTCTCAATGATGAGGAGAATGGCACCAGGTGCCATCGACCCATTATCGTTGATCTTGGGATGTTTGGGAAAAAAATCAAAGGGAAGCAGGTTTGAAGTGATCCTACCGTTCATTTCAGATTAGCTCAGACCAGTCTTCATTGCGAATGCTGTGCAAATGACCTATCAATCTCATTCTGATTAACTAGTGAGCATGGCTTGAAGAGAGAGAGAGATATATATATATTATATATAATGTTCATGTTTCAAGATATGTCCAGCGATTTGTGCGTCCATTTGGTCATGGGCCAAAATCATCACACCAAAATGGAGGATCATCTCGCCTTTTTCTACTGGGACAATAAGTCATCCCTCTCTTCAACCAACATAGACCCTGCTTGCCGCGGTTTCGAAGGCTACAGGTCTTAAAAGGTAATGATTACCAGGGTCAAATTGTTAGTTTGTGGGACGGTAATTGGTGTAAATAAATGTTGTTGTTCATGATTGTTCTTAATGGTTATTGATTTATTGATGGTTGTTGTTCTCATGAATGTATGTATATTATATATATATATATAACCCAGTATATAACATTATACACCGTCAAGTACCTCGAAAACTGGGTACAAGTCGCCAAACCATGGGTATCTGTCCACATTTTTCGAGGCACGAGGCACGGGTCTCAACGGCACCAGTACATCTCAACTGCACCGAGGCCTTCTCAGTCTGCCAGATCTTCGACGTCGAGTCGCTTTAGCGCCATGGTTTTTCTCGTTTCCAAAACACACAAAAAATCCGGTGGCTGATCATATTCCTTCCCCATCCCCCATGAAATGGCGTGAAATGGCCATAAATGAGGATATACCCAATGGTATAGCCCATTTTTGGGAAAACCCAATGATGTTGGGTCAACTAGACGGGTCAGCAACAAGATGACTCGACCAGACGTGGGGCTTCTATCCATAGAAAACCGGGATTCAACCTACACAACAATACGGAAACAAAAAACCGGGATTAGCTGTATTATATACATACGCACTATAATATATATATAATTATATACACAATAATATGTGTATATATATAATTATATACGCACTCAACATAAATGCAGGTACAGAAATACATGCGAAACCCTTCCAACCTTGGGGGTGAACGGTCTTCACGGGTGTGAGTTGTTTGTGGGAATGTTTGGGGCAACGGGCAGTAAGCGTATATTTTGTCCAAAAAATAGACTTATATAAATGCATATGTACATGAATACACCAGTTGCAAACAGTACGTGACCTCATCTTCATTCTTTCCCAACACCCAAGAAGACGCTCTCAGCCAAGGAATGTTTCAGACGTTACCCAGTGTCCCAAAGAAGCCGGACCTGAGACCAGACAGTGATGATATGCCGAAATTCCAAACCTTCCATCAGGACAGGAGTTGATCGGATTTCAAGGGTGGATCCTGGTGCCTGTCCCATGAGAACTCCATGGGTTATGTCCGGCACTATGGACAAATCCTCGTCTTCATTGACGGCAAAGATTGCCGTGCACCACGTTCAACATGGCTGCTGCGGTAGTGGATGATCCAATACAATCAGCTTTATACTTGGAGATGTCACGCACACATGGACTAGCCCCACGACCCACAGGCACACAAGTTAAAGTTCACAAGTGGACCCATCTATTCCTGGGGAGAGAAATTTTGAGCACTTGGTGTGTCGCGTCAGCTGATTGAATCGGACCATTCCATCACATGCCCAGTTGTTCCTGCTGATCACTGCAGATCTGTGTGTACCAGCGTTTCGACTCGGCGCATGTTCACAAGGGATGAGTCGATTGGAGAATTTGCAGGGATACATTAGGTTTTTAGCCCCCCCAAGTGTTGGGGTTCTGCAGATCCTGCAATCAATTCTATAGTGATTCTGGTATTCATTTGGCTAGTCACCACAGTACAAAGGCGCCTAGGTCCTAGGCAAGAAACTTGAACTGCTTCGACTGGGCCAGTGCTTGAAATCTGGAGATGAAGTTCACCAAATCGCCTAATGCACCTTCAAAGTCTTGGAGTGTGTGACCCAATGGTTCTTTCACTAAAGCCACTTTTCAATTTGAGTAAAGGACAGCCCTTGTGCAGTCAACAGGTTGGCCCCCCTGGCTCGACACTTTTGGAGCCTCCAGATTTTTGATGATTTTTGGCCCAGAGGATGAAACAAGTGATGTACACAGCTGTTTTGTGATGTTTTGTGAAAAGTTCGGCAGTCATCAGCAGGCGATATTTCAGGTGACTGGGCCTTTTGCTACTCTCGACTACTCGTCATTTTCCGGGAAGGATCTCACAAATGTGCAATCTATTCCCCGGGTCCCAGGGTGCCGTTACGAAAACAGAGGTTGCAACCTTCGTCAGTTGCTGGAATTCGAGAAAGCAGGCCAAAAACATCTCTCTCTCTCTCTTTATATACATATGATAGCTATGTATTGTGTATATATAGAATACATGCACATTATGTATACTGTATATCTGATATGATCTAACTATCTAGCTAACTAGCTATCTTTCCAATCTAATCTAATCTCGTCTAGTTGAATCTATGCAAATCTAATCTCATCCAATCTTATCGAATCTTATCCAATCTTTTCCAAGAATTTTTAATCCAATCCAATCTTATCTTATCTTATCGTATCTACTTTTGTCTATCTATGTATCTGTCTATACATCCGTATCCATCCGCATCCATCCGTACCCATCCATATCCATCCATATCCATATTCACATCCATCCATCTATATCTATCATCTACTTATTACCTCTATATAAAACTGGGTGGTGGTTTGGAACATTTTTCCATATATTGGGAATGTCATCATCCCGACTGACGAACTCATTCATTTTTCAGAGGGGATGAAGCATGATGAAACCACCAAGCAGATAGCCTCTGGTTATGTCAAAATAGCTATTGAAAATGGCCCATTGAGATAGTTGATTTACCTATAAAAAATGGTGGATCTTTCCATAGTTTTTTGTATGTTTACCAGAGGGTAAAAAAAAATATATACCTCTACCATGGATCAACCTTGAGCCGGGGGTCTCTGATCTGGGGCACTCCTAGGGCACCCTGCTGAAGTAAGTGGCCCTGACAAAAACCGCAGCTGGGGCGTTACGCCTCCGGTGCGAAGGCCGGGGCGGTAGATTTTGCTAGTCATAAATATGACTCGCTGTCCGCAGTCCAAGTTCGAGGCGAAACAAAAGAAGTGCCGCATCCAAGTGCCATTTTGTGAAGGTCATCTCCCCATAGGTAGATTGGAAGCAGCCCATGAGGGGTGTAAAACGCCCAACTGGCCAACTAGATCCCACTAGTATCCACTAGTTACGTATTATTTTCATTTGATTATGTTGACTCAGGCAAGCAGGCAAGGCCAGGCTAATATTTTGCAGAAAACCCTGCAGAAAGAACTCGGAAGTTCCGATCTCCTCTGTGGTGCCGGTGCATATAGAAATGGACTTTGGAATGTGATGGTTACCCCTTTCATGCGAACGGCTTGGCGTAAGAGAAGAATTGCAGGAAATCATTGCTTATATGTATATATATATATATACATATATAATCATATGTGTTTTCTTTGCATACATTTTAGGGGTTTTCGTGTAACTTGTCCCTGAAGCCAATTTCAGGCAAATGAACAACCGACCTGTCAGGGAGTCCAGCAGCACTTCGCTTATGTCCATACGTCGGCTTCCAAGAAACAGGGCTTGAAATGCCTGGCAGTTGTGTCATGCTTTGGGAATCGTCACTTCAACCCACAGAGAGTTGCGAATCGAGTAGGAATTCTGACTGTATGATCCCACTGCATGAAGGGTGAGAGTTTTGCAGTGGTTCATGGGTTATTCAAATTTATTCAATTATTCTGAATTCTGAAAATTCTATGCATTGACAGCTCTGTGTTATGTGATATCCTCCGGTAATCAAAGATGGCAAGTGAAAATCATCACTCGATCATCTTCCCCTTAGCCGTACAACCTCCATTTAGGCCATGGCGATTTCGTCGGCCATGTTTCGGCAAAGGGATGCTGAATGGAAAAGGACTACGATGGACCCCCTGAATGTTTTGATGTTACTAAAAGGTAAAAACCCTGGTTGAAACATTGGTTTTGATGATTTGAAATCGCCAATCCGTTGATTGACTTGCCAAGCATCGCACGAATGGATTCGCTTCCCCGGAGGCATTTATTCTACATCTTCTTAGAGCTCGTGAAGAATGCGGCAAGGGCTTCTATCGAGCACCTCGCAGAGCGAAGGGTAGATGATTCATGGACGATTCTCTAGTTCGCAAAGATGCCAACGTCAACAGCCAGGTGGCTTCTAAGTGCTTCAGGGTATATCTGTGGCGCACCCTCCACAAAATCAGCAACAATCAACAACACATGGAAAATCCATGAGAATCTACCAGAATACAAATCATGTCCAAGGGAAATCATATTCTTACATGTCGTTTGGTTATGTTTGCATTCGAAACGGAGGTTTTGTTGAGATTTTCAACAACAGCCCCTTCGTCCTTGCGCGTCGAAGCCGTTGCGTCTGAGGCGTGCACAGCTGGAAGGTCTGTTGGAAGATACCTTCGCTGGCAACGGTGGAGGCAATGGAATTGAACAGCTTCAGAGAAGTGTCGTAGAATATCGTATAATGTGGTGTGACAGTATACATATATCTAATATTCTAATATTCTCTAATTGTATTAGATGACAATCTTGGTATATCTTGGTGTACATGTAGATTTCTATAACATATGTAATTATATCTATTATATACATATTCAGAATGCACATTGCATGTAGACATGGAATCACGGACGCAGACGGCGCAGAGCGCCGTGGGTAAAGAGGGCTGCCCGGTAGTAACGGTATGTAGCTGTCAACAATCAACAAGTTATGATATTGATAGGACCATGATAACATAGTGCTTATATATCTATATTTAAATACTCTTACTATCATCCTTTTTATTGTTGTTATTAAACTGTTATTAGATATACAGTTACTTTCTGACCGATTTCAATCGAAACACATGCAATTAAAGACATCTTGAGGAATCTCTACAGCAAATGTCCGCATCAACAGCCACCACGTTGGTGTTTTATAGAGTGACCAATGCGGGCAAGTTATGGGGTTGGCTGAACATGGGGCACTCCAAAATCTCATCGTAGATTATGTTTTTCCTGGCATAAATCAACCAAATATCTCACTGTGCGCTATCCCATTATATAACTATATCCCAGTTTACTCCCATATCTGAGTTAACATTGCAATTTTTTGGGGTAATTCTGACTCAGGTGACAACAAAGCTGAAATACCATCCATTCGGGTGACCGTGCCAGAGGACAGCTGCTCCCAGGATAGATACAGTAGGTGGTAAACGCCAAATCCACTGAAAAACCACTGACGACATATAATATCTTAAATGAGAGGAATTTCTGGTGATATATGCAACCATTTCATGGGGATATGGGGAAATGCGATGGATCGCAATGAGTCTTGGTGTCTTTTTGGTGGATAAAAACATCCCCAGGAGCAAGGCATTTGGGATCACGAGAGGTCGGTGAAGTTGGCAGATCATGGCACCGGTTTCTTGGAGCAAGAGGAGTTGATGGAGCTGGTTTTGGAAAGCGCAAAGCATGAAACATGTTGAAACTCAGAAAGGATCACCTGAAACAAAGATGTAGTATCACTTGATGTATCATTTCAAAGTACCTGAACATCATCTGAAATGACCTGAAATGATTTTCTCAAAGAACGGTGTAGCTCAGAGGCAGCATGAACTTGTGGAGGTCAGGGTACCCCTTGGGTTGTCAGCAAAACAATCTTAAAAAGAAGTCTTGCCGGAAAATTGTGGCCCGCTTTCCAATTTCTGTCTGTAGTGTAATTGGCAGGAAAACTTGGCTCCAACTTTCCCATCTCATGATTTTGCCATGACCTTTCATAGATCTTTGGTACGCGCGACCGAGGCATGAATCGGAGAGTGCTGAGTAAGGTCTTGAAGGGATTGGTTGCGCTGTGACTGGAACCACCTGCTTTTCGAATGTTACTTTTCACATTCCCGCTCCAGCTCAAAGGTACGTGTCTCCCTCAAAAAAAATTGTTTTGCCCTAGATTTAGTATATTATATGGTTGGGATTGCACGGATTGCATAGGTATATATATGATGAAGCTCAAAGCTACCTTGCTGGCTCACTGCCTCCTTGCTAGCTCAAAGCTACCTTGCTGGCTCAGTGACACGTAGCTGGCTCAATGCTTCGTTGCTGGCTCAGCGCCTCGTAGCTGGCTCAGCGCCTCGTATCGTAGCTGCCTCAGCGCCTCGTAGCTGGCTCAATTTTTTCAACGAAAAAAAAACACAAAAAAAAAACATTGGACAAATTGAGCCAGCTACATGCCCTGCCAGCTTGATGTCCTGTCATCAACCCGGCCAATACATAGTAAGTATTCGTTTTGATGCTCTCACATTCGTTTGCCAGCTCAACGTGACGTAGCTGGCTCAATTTTTTCGAGTTTTTTCACGAAAGGTAGCCTAGGCTACCTGAGTTCTATGTACTTTAGTACTAGTTTAGTACTGGGGGAGGTGGGTGCTCCTTTCCCGGAAATTGAGAGCCGAGAGTCACGAACGGAGACTTAGGGGGGGCCCCCCCCCATTCGATTCCCCCCTGGTCCGCATCTCTTTCTTTCTTTTTCTCTGACTATGTACTTACCTCCTTATCCATCTATCTATCCATGTATCTATCTATTTAGTTGTCTATCTATGTATCTATTTATCTATCTATCCTCCTATGTATCTATCTATCTACCTATCGATCTATCTATCTATCTATCTATCTTTTTATCGATCTATTTAGCTATCGATCTATCTATTTATCGATCGATGCTTCTATCTGTCTATCTATCTATCCATCTATTTGTTTATTTATCTACCTATCTATCTATCTCTCTATCTATATATCTATCTATCTATCTATCTATCCATCTATCTATATATATATATATATCTATATATCTATTTATCTATCTATCTATCTCTCTATCTATATATCTATCATACATACATACATACATACATACATACATACATACATACATACACACAGACATACGCACATACATACATACATACATACATACATACATACAGACATACATACATACATACATACATACATACACACATACATACATACATACATACATACATACATACATACATACATACATACATACATACAGACATACACACATACACACATACATACACACATACATACATACATACATACATACATACATAACATACATAACATAACATACATACATCACATACATACATACATACATACATACAGACATACATGATGTAACATAACATAACATTACACGACTTAATGTGACATAACATTACATCACATTACATAACATTACATTCATACATACATACATACATACATACAGACAGACAGACAGACATATTTACAAACATACATGGATACAAAGGAGTTATCTGGTTAGTGGCCATAGTCAACTGGCCCCATGGTCTGCAACATACACCTAGAATCCTTTCTCGGGCATTGTAGAAGGAAAAAAAAATACGACCGAGTTTTTCTACTCCGCTCACAAACTCGGTCGTAATTCTGTGGGGCATTTGTTGGCTCTGAATTCGTCACAGCCAAGCAAGAAAGCAACACTGGACACGTCATACCACTTATAATGTTTCATAGCTCTGGTTTACTAAGTCATCCAAATGGACTGTCGTCTATGTACTTGGCTTACACCCCCAGTTACCCCAGACTGGCTCCATTTCATTTCAAATTGGCCATTTCATTGCATGCGCTGCCAAAGCCCCGCCTGCGCTTACGCCCGGCGGGCATAAGAACAGGCAGGCACCCAGGCCTGGACCAGGCCCTTGCAAGATGATTCCAAGATATGTAGGCCCAACATAGCTGACATGGACGTACTTGGGGCCAGCAAGTCAAAAGCCAGTACTAGTTTAGTACTGGGGGAGGTGGGTGGTCCTTTCCCGGAAATTGAGAGCCGAGAGTCACGAACGGAGACTTAGGGGGGGGGGGGCCCCCCGAGAGTTGGACTGTACCGGACTATGAGGCAAACGTGTATGTATATACATACATATATATATACACATCATGTATGTATGTATGTAATGTAATGTAATGTACGGTAATGTAAGGAATGTATGTATGTATGTGTGTGTGTATGTATGCATGTATTGAACAGCAGCATCTGCGCGACGAAGTCGGTGCCTGGCAGAACAACAGAAAACACCGGCTGTCACGAAGACTGTTAGTTTCAGAAGCACAGATTGATAACAGACATATGAGCACCGTCAACTGCAACAGCACTAGCAAAGATCACAACATCGCAGCGTGGTGGACCTGCCAAGCGACGGCGGCAAGTGCAGTAATGTAGCTCCCACTGAAAGCAAGCAACACAAGAATAGCGGCAACCGATTGCACAGAAACTGTTCTGATCGGTCATGAACGTGATCTTTTTTCTGTCGCTCACATGGCCGCGTTCAGGCGCTAGATCTTCGCACGGCGCGTCAATCCATGCAAGCTAAAGCTAGCTCCTTTGGCTATAAACGGTATATACTGCACACGGACTCCGGATCAAGTTCAAGATAAGGTAACAGCTACATCGAACAGCACGGACACCTACGGACAACCGCGGACGGTCACAAAGTCCAGAAAGTCTCCTCCAGTTGCACTTCTGCGATACACAGCCAAGCGGCATATGGCAACGACACCTCCGCTGCAGACTCTCACGCGGCACGCAGCATGCCGAGGTCGCCCACAGCAGTTTCAAACTGACTCTTATGGTACCTGCCGACGAAGGCATGAAAGTCACGCCAGGAGGTTCCTTGTGGCACGACCGCTTCCAGCTGCAACACTGCTGCATTATTCTCCAGAACCTTAAGAAGGGACCAGTCGTCCATGGAGGCCACGCAGAGAAGACGTCTGACCCGGGCCAAGATGCTGCAGTCTTCGCCTTCCAAGTCATAGACTCTGCCCTCTGTCTGCTCCAAGCACTCAAGACATGACATCCATGCTTCCTTCCAATCTCCAGCAGAAATCTGACTGTCAATCGTCCTTGGGCTCCCAAACGTTTCTTCCATACATTGGCGAAAGAGGCGCAAGGCGGTCAGAGAAATCGTATAGTGAGTTTCTATTCTAATACCGGCAAAAGAGCAAGACATTTTACACAGCAAGAATGACCAAAACTGAGCCGAGAGCTCCTGGAGCAGAGATCGATTTTTTTTTTCAGTTCTTCTAGTGTTACAAATCAGCAAGCAAACTTGGAATTTCTATGTGTATATATATATATTTCTCTCTCTCAACATGCGTATTACATAGTCATTATGATTGGTTGATGTCTACTGCTGAGACCACTGCTTCGAACAGTATGTTCAGAAACGGCAGCATCTGCGCGATGAAGTCGGTACCCGGCAGAACAACACAAAATAACAAGCTGTTATATCTATACAGAAAAGGCGACGTCATCATGAAGTCTGTCAGTTGCAGAAGCAACAGTACTGTCAAAGCTACGTTGACATCGCTTGTTTGGGTGCGATGCAATCATATCCGATGTCCTCTCATGTCACTTCTCCGCGCAGCATGTTAAAGCTTTCAGATGTGATGTGATGTTTGCTGGCTCCAAGCGGTCGTGTCATGTTGTATGTTGTCTGTGCCTCCATGCTTTCGAAGTGTGCTGTTATGTGTCGTGGCCGTTGTGTCATTGCTGTCTGACTGCGTGCTGTCTGTCACTTCTCCACACGGCGTGTTAAAGCTTTCTAAGTGTGATGTTGTGTGTGGTGGCCGTGGTGTCACTGCTGTCTGACTGCGTGGTGTGACATGTCTACAGCTGCAACATGTACCACCATCTCGTCGAAACGCGCCACCAGAGCCAACCCAGTGCCATAAGTGCCACGCCTGCCACGCAAAGTGACGATCCATGTCATCAAGTGCGACGCCTACCACACGGCGCAAACGGCGCAAACGGCGCAAACCGCGCAAACCGCGCAAACGGCGCAAAAGGCGCAAAAGGCGCAAGCCGCGCAAACCGCGCAAACGGCGCAAACCCCGCAAACGGCGCAAACGGCGCAAACCGCGCAAACCGCGCAAACGGCGCAAACCGCGCAAACCCCGCAAACGGCGCAGACCACGCAAACCCCGCAAACGGCGCAAACCGCGCAAACCGCGCAAACGGCGCAAACGGCGCAAACCGCGCAAACCGCGCAAACAGCGCAAACGGCGCAAACGGCGCAAACCCCGCAAACGGCGCAAACCACGCAAACGGCGCAAACCACGCAAACCGCGCAAACCACGCAAACGGCGCAAACGGCGCAAACCGCGCAAACCGCGCAAACGGCTAACCCGCAAACAGCGCAACTGCGCAACTCGCGCAACCGCGCAAACGGCGCAAACCGCTCGAACCCCGCAACCCCGCAAACCACTCAAACCCCGCAACGGCGGAAACCGCGCAAACCGCGCAAACGGCGCAAAAGCGCAAACGCGCAAACCGCGCAAACCCCGCAAAAGTCGCCAAACGCGCGGACCGCGCAAACCGCGGCAAACGGCGCAAACCACGCAAACGGCGCAACCCGCGCAAACCACGCAACCCCCGCGCAAACCG